AATTCGTTCGCACGAATTAGTAATTCGTTCGCACGAATTAGTAATTCGTTCGCACGAATTAGTAATTCGTTCGCACGAATTAGGCCTAGTAATTCGTTCGAACGAATTACTTATTCGTTCCCACGAATTAGTAATTCGTGCAAACGAATTAGGAATTCGTGCGAACGAAATAGCAATTCGTGCGAACGAATTAGCAATTCGTGCGAACGAAATAGCAATTCGTGCGAACGAATTAGCAATTCGTGCGAACGAATTAGTAATTTGTGCGAACGAATTAGGAAATTCCAAAAAAAAATCCACCCTGTCCCTTCCCGGGCTTCATAATCGGTCAATTTGGCTGCTATGTTTTTAAAACAACGGGTTACGGAAGACCCGACAGAAGGCGCCCGCTGAGTGGTCACAATCTGGATGAAAAGACGCAGTCAATTGTTTTGCAAAATTAGTCGCTGAATCTGAGCGAATAACATAGACACTTTGCATACAAGCATAGACTACAGTACTATAAGGGTAAAATCCTATTAACCATTTTGGGAACATACTTTTCGGATTAATTTAAGAAATACCCTACATACCTTTTCCTATGGTTGACTTCTTCAGGGCTTTCGCACTTGCCACGGTGACCATAAGTTTATTCTTACATGCCAGGTAGGACATACAAATGGTAATGCGCCCTGTAGCCTGTGAAAGAAAGCAATGGTTTACACAATCATAAGAGAACATCTGTCTCTTTCATTTCATTTTAATTGACAAAAATATATGATATCAAAAAATATTGATCAGGAAGCTACCTAGCATTAAATTTGAAATCGGCCTAAATATTTTGTTATTATGAAGGTTAACTTGCTCGTGGCTTTTGACCAAAGGTATCTCCGAACTTAATATGACTTATTTTAAGACCGGTTCATACTCAGCGCAAAAACGAACGCAAATGCGTGTTTGCAAAAGTTGAACCTATTTCAACTCCGACGAAATTCTCAGCAAAATTAAGGTTTCGTGACGTCAGATTCGCTTCACATTCGCGTGAATCGGCTTTAACGCTTGCCAGGAAAAAAATCACATAAAGAATTGAGGCTGTTTATAGTAGGACAAGCCAAAACCAAACTCATGTACAAACCTTGCAATTTGTTAGCGAGACCCAACTGGCATGCCCAGTGAATGGCAACACAAAGAGGGGCGTGCAAGCTTGATACAGCAGCTGTCCTCGTTTGCGAATCAACCCTTTAGTATATACACTGACTGCCAGACTACCGGACGATAAGCTGACTGATCTGACCCCATCAAATACCGCTGTTTTGGACAGCGCTTCACCGGCGGACACGTCTTTTGACACGCCCAAGACGCGACGCTGCTTGCCAGAACTCAGAGTTAGTTCTACCATCAAGTCACGAGTCGAGCCACCCTTAGGATCTACGAACGTTAAACCGTGGATTTGGCCTGTTAGTGTCTTGCCATGCGGCTTGTAGGACAAAGATATTTTAATAGAGTCGTCTGGCTTTGTTTCTTCCGCCGTTGCCTCAGTCAGAACCTTCAGTTCCACATGTGGGATTGTTGTCTGAGGGATGACGGCAGCTTGGTTCCAATTACTGTTTGAAATAGACCATAGCCCACTCTGTGATTGCTTGAATGTTTCCGACTCAAAACGCTGCACCGATGAAGGGTTGTTCGCTCTAGAACGGAACATGTTTAGGTGGCAAATGTTCAATCTGGGGAAAGGGAGCCACGGTGGGAGTAATTTTTTCGGGAGTTCCGCTGGAGAACCAATCTCGCGCGTTATATTCTTGTCCTTGTCGAAGTCTATGTAGTGGTGACGTCGTTGTTCAAGTACAATGGGCTGATCTGTGGAGGAACGCCAATAGAGTCCAGCTTCCTCGCTGGACCAATGAAGATGGTCATTCGGCAGAATAGAAGGAGCTGGCGAAAACCCAAGTGAGCTATTGCTGAAGGAACTATTGTAAGTCGACGAAAACTGACTGGTGGGAGTCATGCTTCCCCCTGTAAACTCATGGGGTCTTGGTGAAGAGATTCTGCCTCCAGCACGAACAGCTTGCAATCCAGTGGGTTGCTGTGAATCACTGGATTGCACGGTGCTGGTCTCTGAACATCGTCTGACTGGGATCATGAAGTCGGGCACACCCGCTGGTGTGATGGTTAGATCGATCATGCTACTCTTGCGTCTGCCGCATCTCCGGTAAGGCAAAGACATTTCTGCTGGCTAAATTCTCGATGGAATGTCGAGAACAGATCCGGATTCTCTTATGAGGAGTTTCTTTGAATGTGTTCACATTAAAAGAGCAACAGTCTACTTGTGAGAAGTCAACAGCAGTATAAACTCTACAAAAGCTCGTTTAAAACCGAATACCCAAACAATCCCGCCCATCACTGCACACGCATGATGTCAGATTTGGCCAACCAATGAAACTAGATGATGAAACTGGATAATTAAAGAAAACAGCTGTTTCTGCGCAACGGTATCCTCGCAACAGATCCCTCGGTAAGACTTCAAACAGTGATGCAATGACAACTAATGCACATACATCATACGCACGACATATAGTTTTGAAAACTGTCAAGTCGTGCGTGTACCATCACATTGTCTTTTACTTTAAAAAAAAAATCTTTATTTCATATAAAACGTGTTATTTGTTCGTGTTTTTTTTAAGATAAAGCTAGCTTTTAGGCATTTTGTGAAAGTAAAATATTGGCCAAGTTCCCTGATGAAAAGAATGTTTCATAAAAGTAGTTATTCATGTGTGTATTTGTTTTTTGCATACACACGCGGCGTATGTCATAATGAGTCTGTACTGAGTTTCTGCATCACGTGAGTTTGCCGGTGCACGTTTCATCTGCAATTTGGAACCCTGACAAATCCAGTCTCTTGCCATGGTTTCTCATCTCACTGTGAATTTTCATTGAAACCATGGGCGTCGCCCCGATTTTTTTCTAGAGGGGGGCAAAGCACCTTTTCCCCCCGAAATCCCTGTACTTTTCCAACATAATTATTCTCGATTTATTTGTTTATTTATTGATTATCCACATCCAACAGCAGAAAAACCGCCAATTACAGGACTGAGATTAAAATATAAAAACAAATATATTCCAAAAGAATCATAGGCCTATATAAAAATGTTAAATATATATATATATTTATCATTTTTCGAGGGTGGGCAGGGACATTCGCCCCCCCCCCCCCCCACCATCCCATTAAATTAACAGCAATATGACTCTTTTTCTTTCTTTCTTTACTTTCCCTTTTTTTCCCCTCCTTTTTCTGTGCTTTTCAGTAATGCACAAATGTTTTCAACGAGCAAATTTTTGGGTTCACAATTTCAACTGAACACCCCTAAACTGAACAGTGTCTTCCTGAAATGTCATCACAGCAATATCGCCCTAAGTTGTTCGGAGAAGCATAACGGTCATTCTTATAAATGTTTAAAGAAGTGCACTTTTCAATAAAAATTAACAAAAAGGGATGTCAAATAGTTTTGATACAGTTAAGAGGAGTCAAGAGGAAAATTCATCCCATGCACCCTTTAAGCCAATTCCCCTCGGTACAGAACTTGTTATTCTTGAAAAGAATCTAGTCTAGAAAAGACATTGTCTAGAAAAGACATCTGCACTAGAAAGCAGGAGGTCGTGGGTTCGAGTCCCACCCGAGTGATTTTTTCCAACTTTCACTCGGGAGGTAACACACTGAGTATACAGTGTTTAAAACGTCGGTGAAGGGCAAAACCTAATTTGATTTATATCACCCCGACGCAAAATTCCATGCATACCTCTTGTTTTCATTTTTTGTTATTCATTAAAAAAAATGTGCTCCCCCCACCTTGCCCCATTCTGGCGACGCCCATAGACAAACTTCAATTCCAGTCTAGTGCACATGCAGAAAACGTAAAGAGAGCCAATATTTAAGTCCGAACGATGGCGGTGCCAGACTCTAAAATTGGGGGGGGGGGGGGCAGCAAATGGGTAGTCTATCATAGACCAGGGCGAATCTCCAGAATTTGGCTCACTCAGACTAGCAAATGGGGGCAATGAAATATTTGGGGGGGGGGGCAGTCAAGAAGTGCAGTCGTTTTTAATGAATGATTATGAGAGATGTATTAAACTGCAGAATGGTGTATAACAAAATCATAACAAATGTACAAAGACGTTGTTTTGTACACGAATCCAAATTGGGGACCCGGTCCTCTCACTGTTCAACGTCCCCTATGGAATGCAGAAACCAACTCAGACATCCCTCACACCTAGCTCGTTTTTACTTTACTCATGAGGACCTGATCCTTTTGTTCCCTTTTGTTTGTACTTAAACTTTTTCACGACTGCTCCCATAAGGTTTGTACACGAATGCTCCCGAGGACCTGGGCGCACACGCCCCATTGTCCCAAGTCTTCAGTCTGAATGGATATAACCAACCACCCATTTTACCAAGTGGGATGGCCATTGGATCATCGCCGATTATAAAGTTATTATTTCAAACTTTCCAACTGCCCAAATGTATTTAATAACATTTTTTAAAGGAAAATGGAAAACAAACAGTTTAAAAGCTATAAATGCACTGTTTTGATGCAAGGCCAAGGCGTAACTTGAGCTATCAAGTTTGTGCAAGATGTAATGGAGATCAACGATTTGTCCAATGCTGTGCTGTGGTCCAATGGTTACGGTGTTCGACTCGTGTGCTGTGGTACACGGCTTCGAATCCTGACCTTGGGAACATGGTGCTTGTGCTCTTGAGCAAGGCACTTTACCACTATTGCTTCGTCCTTCGGATTGGACGCAAAGCCGTAGGTCCCGTGTGTTGTATAATGCACGTTAAAGAACCCAGTAACACTTGTCGCTAAGAGAAGGGGTTCGCCCCGGTGTTTCTGGCAGTGGCCGCAGCACCTTGTAAACCCTGGTGCCACATAATGGGTCTCATATCTCTCATGTATAGGTTTCTGCAACGTAGCCATACAGATACAGATACAGAGTATCATGAACAGCGCCCCCTTGTGTTGCGTAATGTCCTCGATCGAGCCGGCCGGCCACGCCAGCAAGTCGCGTTATCATGGCAGCAGCACTTGTGAGGAAGTTAGTTTTTGAAGTCCCGGTCCTACGCTGCCGTAGGTTGACGTCCATATCCCAATGCCTTATTAGTCGAACTGGTCTTAGGACCATGGCAACCGGTGTGAAAGTGGACCTGAGCGGTGTCTTTCCACCAATAGTCACCCCTTTTGACGAAAAAGAGAACGTAAACTATGACGAACTGACGAACAATCTCCAACGGTGGAACAGTATGCCATTGCGTGGTATGAATTTCGCTAAGTTTAGTCCATGGCCCTGTTATTTTTTACGCCCCAACTATGGTATCGGTCCCAACTATAGTTGGGATCGTCCCAACTATAGTTAGGACGGTCCCAACTGTAGTTCCACAGTTGGGCTGGCCCAACTACAGTTGGGAGTCATCAAGGGGGCCCATCTATAGTTGGGCCACTCCAACTTTTTATTTTGTGGTGTCCCAACTAGTATATTATAATTATTATTAGTTTACAATTACATTGATGTATCGTCACTACAGATGTCAGACCTCCTAAAGCTACGCGTTCCTATTTCTGCGCACTCGCCTTTAAGTTATATTTTGTAAGGCGTGCATCCTAAAAAAATGACAAACTTTCACTGGGATCCTATTCTTTGATAAACGAACTTTAACCAGCAGCTGAAAAAAATGTGGAAATTGAAGGCTTTCCTGGGAATTTAGGCAAAAAGTGAAAATAATCTGCTTTTTACAGCTAATTACTAAGTACAAATGCAGGCAGATGCTTCCGGGCCTGCAGAAGTCGAAAATGTGACCGAAAGGTGATCTTTCTTGGTCTCCCAATATCGTCAGTTAAGGTGTCAAAAATAAGAATTTGCAGTTTCTATAAGGGTGTATTAACACTTACGGTCCAACAAATAAGACACAATTCTTACACTTTTTGGGAATTTTTGTGGTCATAAGTTGTAAAATCCGACATGACATCTTAAAGGGAAAATACAACATTTGCAAACATCGAAAAATAAAACTACCAAGTTTTTACAAAATACACAACAGGATGTTGGTAAATGACAATCTAAAGCATCCTGTAAAATTATGGCACCTGGTGGTGTGAAGTCACTTTCAAGAAAATGGTAATTTTGTATACATTTCCAACGGTGGTCGGCCGACCACCGTTGGAAAAATCTAACTATTTTTCAACTACTGCTCCAAATGTACCATTTTTTTTTCAGTCCAAATTTTGTTTGCTATTGGTTGCATGTTCTGAATGGGTGCAGCAGGCCATCTAGACTGGTTCCCTTATCGTACAATTTTCCGGCATCGATAAATTAATCCATTTAATCTTCAGTGGAGTCAGGGAACCAGACTACTCGTACATTTTTGTTTTTCTTAGTTTTTCCAGCATTTTCCAACACAAAACTTCAAACATGTCAGTGTAACAATAATTTGATATATAAATACTAACCCCTCAAATAGTTCATTTCTGAAAATTAAAGCAAATGCCAATGATGTACATTCCCTTTAAAAACTGTGTCCGTTGATTGGGATGATCAGAATAACAATATCATTGGGATCTACATTTAATAGGTCAATATGTATAAAATGTATTTAAATATAAATATGTAAATTTAAGCCCTAGCTTGCATAAATCTCGAAAAATAGGATATTGAAAATAATCTTGAAATTACAAAAAGTGTATTGGCATTGAAAAAAAGAAAGGAAAAAGAAAGAAAATTTGTTTTAAAAGCTCAGAAAATATATTTTCCTAAACATGCTAAAGCCAACAAGTCTAAGTTATTAAAAAAAAATGTATATATTGAGTTACATGGCCCGGACAGCACAGATTTTTCATGAAGCGTCCCCTGCAGAGAATTAGGCAGGATTCTTTTCTACAACGCCAAAACTGCACGCTTTGGAATTCCCTGCTTGCTGCCACAAATAAAGAGATTTCGCTTTGTTATACGGCACGGTGGATGAACGTAAGCCAACCATATAAGTTTTGTTGAGGACAAGAGTGGTTGCTTTGCTATTTTTAAGCTACTTGGTTGCAAAGCCTTATCTGCGCAGAAATAGGAGGATCGAGGATACAACTAAAACACATTCCCTAGGCCTACAGCTCTGATACACGTCTGACTTTATACTTGGGACCAATGAAATTAGCTATGGGTGGGGCCTATAGTTGGGCCACTGCAATCTTTTTATTTTGCGGTGTCCCAACTATAGTTTACATTGATGTACGACTATAATTATAAAACATTCCCTACTACAGCTCTGATACATGTCCGACTTTACTTGGGACCATTGACATTAGCTATGGGTGATAGTTGGGCCCCGCCAATCTTTGAATTTTGCGGTGCCTAACTATAGTTCACTTGCTGTAAAGCTACCGTAACATTTTTCTACAGCAGTCTGATACATGTATATATAGTATACGTCTGACTTTACTTGGAACCATTGAAATTAGCTATGGGTGGGGCCCATATTAGCTGTGCCATGCCAATCTTTGAATTTGGCATAAAACATGTTGCTGGACTGAAAAACCCAGCTGGACAACTCATCCAACTAGGCAGTACCACGTGGCCGGCCAGCCCTGCGGCATGCATGCACGACGAATACATAGTGCCAGTGCCGCGGAACATTAACACCCTGTATAGAGCGTCTGGCGCAACTCCAGTCCTAACTATAGTTGGGCCGACCCAACTGCCGCACTATACTTGGGACAGTCCCAACTATAGTTGGGACCGATGCGATAGTTGGGGCGTAACAGCCCTAGCCCAGGTTGGACGACGCCTTCATTGCTTCCCTAACGACGGGAGGCAAGGGAGTCCTGCCATCCGGCACAATTGCAGAATACCCCGCCACTCAATCTATGCACCTCGTAGCCGGCTACAGAGTAACGGTAGATTGCCCTGAATAAACCTTATCAGTCATGTCAGTGTATACACTAACTATGCGTCATGCTCCACTGCACTCCCACTCCATATCCACGTAGCCGGCAACAGGGTAGGCCTAGATAAAAGTTTGGACTTCCGTTCCTTTTGTGTTGCTTCGTTCTCAAGGGGACCTCCACTCAGTGTCTGCACAGTTGGCAACAATTGGTTTGGACTTGAATTGTTTCTGTTCCAGCGATTCCAACCTCGTAGCCCATGAAGGCTAGGTTTCGAGTCAACTGGGTCCCAATTTGGTCAAAGGTCAACTTGGTCCCAAGCTGAAGCAACTCTGGTTTTACAGTATACTTTGCCGAATTTCCACTTCGCCAACAACCACTTCGCCACCCCGCTGAATTATCCCTTCGCCGAATTTCCACTTCGCCGAATTACTATGCTGAATTGGCACTTCGCCCATTTGCCACTTGGCCCACTTCGGCGAAGTGGTAACGCGAAGTGTTGGGGAGTGGAAATTTGGCGAAGTGACCGACACCCAACTCTGATTCGGTCCTACTCCTAGACCAACTTGGGCTGAAGTCCCAAGTCCCAAGTCCCAAGTCACCTCCATCCCAAGTCAACTCTGTCCCGAGTCAACCCGGGTTGCCGTCGGATGGTCCCATAAGTTGTTAGTCTTGGGTCAAGACATTGTTCAGTTGTACTACTTTTACCCACTGCCGCAATTACCAGCCGCCGCAGTGTTGCCAAGCCTATTTGTTGACAAACTTCATATTATTAGACAGGCCTACTATCAGTACGACAGTTCCGGATCACTTTTTATACAAGCTCATGTTCGCGGACTTCCATGGTCCGAGTAACTAGTGTGACAATGGTATTGCTGTGCTGTGCTGATGCCACGCATCCATGCCGACCAACCAACTGAGAAAAGTGTCATTTATTGGTGCGCGAAACTGATGTCTCAGCTTTTGCCCTGCAGGTTGATTAGATTTGATTATATCCAATTTTTCGAAAAATCGAGGCATCTTTCTGGAGCTGAGACATCATAGAATACAGCCATAATGAGTGCAGTTTTGTACGCCAGTAAATGACACTCGCCTCAGTAGGTTGGGCGGCATGGTTATATGGCATAAGGTACAACGCAGCAATACCGTTGCCACACAAGTGGGGCTAGGTCCAGGTGACATCATTTCATAGTAAAATTTCTCATTTTTAAAGTTAAAACGAAATTTTTCCATACAGACTCATATTCAGGGGAAATAAATCATGTCTTTTTGTACAGGACTAAACCGGACAGTTGCAGATCAAAACTGCATTGTTTGCAAGTGTCTCACGCGGGGATAAAAATGTTTTGGCGAATACGCCAATTCACTTAAGTCAAATGCCCAAATCATTATCAATAGTACTCAATGATACTTGAGATTATGTCCTTACAAAAAAACCTAATATAGTAAAGAAAAACGATAAATGTTGACTATGTTCCACACGAAACCAGATCTTTGCCTTTACAAAACATGCGGATATTTTGCCGAATTGGATCGTGGGTAATGTTTAAATCAGTGACGTAACAATAGAAATCGCCATGCGCATGCAACCGTTAGCACATCCATGGCAGGGAATAGTGCTTTAGCAGCAGCATGATGTTCTGCTATGGTAAGCACAACTTTTCTGCGAACTGTTAAGCAGCGCAATGAAATTGGGCCATGGTTGAAGGCAAAAAAACTTGTTTACCAGATACAATGGTTTTGATTAATTTTGTAATTTATCTGACTTGATTAACAGGCTATGTGGTACAAGGGTCCAATGGTGAATATGTTTTTCTTAACAAGGAGGAACGCGTTGAGATGGTTCGAAGGGTTCGTCAGGCTACTCCGGCAGATAAACTTATTCTGGCTGGCTCTGGATGTGAATGTAAGTAAAGGGCTTCAGCTGTGGCTGACAGCACTCATTTTCCTTCTTAGATCTTTAAAAGTCTTTGTCAAATTTTTGACAGTGTTGTAGTCAAGACCAGACACAAGACCAGACACAAGACTAATCAGCCAATTCAACATCTCTTGTGAGCAATGAGATGTGGTACCGAAATTTGGATTTAAACCCATGTGATGCTGTGGGCTAGTCTTCTAGTGGGCTAGGATGTGTTTTGTTTATCCATAAAATGCATTGTTCAAGAGAGTTTGGACATGCGCAAGTGCAATGTCGAGATGGCTTTCTCAGCAAGCACAAGACCATTCACAAGACCAGCCACAAGTAACAGGGCACAAACAATGACGAAGGAATGCCTTTGTTGCTGTTCATTTTAATAGCTTGTGACTTGAATTGAGACACAAGACCACCACAAGACCATCACAAGGCCAAGAAGGAACTGGAAATGAAACCCCATAAAGCCAAGAAAGCCAAGATTGCAGAGAAAGCCAAGAAAGCCAACATGGCGAAGGAAGTCACCCACGAAAGCTGCCAAGGAAACAACATTTTTACAAAAGCCTTGTGTTGGTCTTGGGATGGTCATGTGGTGGTCTTGTGATGGTCATGTGTAGGTCTTGTGATAGTCTTTTGTTGGTCTTGTGATAGTCTTTTGTTGGTCTTGTGATGGTCTTGTGTTAGTCTTGTGATGGTCTTGTGTTGGTCTTGTGATGGTCTTGTGATGGTCTTGTGTTGGTCTTGTGATGGTCTTGTCACTTGTGATGGTCTTGTGATGGTCTTTTGTTGGTCTTGTGATGGTCTTGTGATGGTCTTGTGTTGGTCTTGTGATGGTCTTGTGATGGTCTTGTGTTGGTCTTGTGATGGTCTTGTGTTGGTCTTGTGATGGTCTTTTGTTGGTCTTGTGATGGTCTTGTGATGGTCTTGTGTTGGTCTTGTGATGGTCTTGTGTTGGTCTTGTGATGTTCTTGTGTTGGTCTTGTGATGGTCTTGTGTTGGTCTTGTGATGGTATTGTCACTTGTGATGGTCTTGTGATGGTCTTTGTTGGTCTTCCGGTGGTCTTGTGATGGTCTTTGGTTGGTCCTCAACTCTTGTGATGGTCTTGTGTTGGTCTTGTGATGTTCTTGTGATGGTCTTGTGATGTTCTTGTGATGCTCTTGTGTTGCTCTTGTGATGGTCTTTAGGGTCTCCAGTTGATACTTGAAATTGACATGCTGTGGTAAAAATCCACGGCTACAGTCAACAATACCCGTTGTTGAACACAGAATTTGTATCCAGAAATCAGATGATAGGGTAGGTTATAGCTCATCAAGACATTCAGCTAGATCAATTCCCATACATACTACAGGCATGCAACTTTTCCTCAGATTTGCTGATTTCCTCGTTTTTTACTTCTCATGAATGCCATTACAAATTGAAAAAACACTGTACAAGGTCTTGTGTTGTTTGGAATTTTCTCGATTTTTTCTAAATTCCCAGTTGCATGCCTGATACTAGAACCACAGTGTTTGCAGATAAACAGGTTGCATTTCGTCGACTCTCTCCGATAGCACCTGGGTATTTCTGGGTATAAAAAAGGTTGTATTTACCTGCCAATCCTGCCATGTTTATTAAAAAAGAAAAGTGAGTTCTTATATTGTATTTTGCCAAAAAACTGACTTTGTGCATCAAGTATGCACTCTGATCATACGAGGGACTAACATGTTTAATTTGCTGCCGCATGTACCATTTTGAATTTGACAATGGTTACCAAGGGGTATTTAAAAAAACGTGGCGTCATCTAATTTCGGCTTCGCCTGTTATTTGGGTCCCTAACTTTGCAGATTCCAGCTCAACATCAGTCAATGTTTTCTTACAAAAATATCAAACTGTATGATATGAAGCAAGTAAGTTTTGGGGTTAAATTTGATTGGAAAATTAAAAGCTTTTAATGATAAAGCCAAACCAGAAATGAAGCCGAGCTTTGAGAAAGGGCCATCATGTCTAGTTTTAGCCGTGGCGGCTACCTGACCTACAATTTATAATTGTCAGGTCAGGGAACCAGACTAAGTCGATGGGGGCCAATCATGCAAAATCAAGGACGAGGGAGGATTAGCCTCTCCACTCCTATTTGGGATCATCTATTTGGGTCATGGGTTCGAATCCAGCTGCTGGCCATATGCAGTGGCTGCACTATGGGGGGCTGGGGGGATTTTCCCCCAGGTTTTTCCCTTGCCCCCAGGTTTTTCCTTTTCCCCCCAGGTTTTTCCCTTGCCCCCCAGGTTTTTCCTTTACCCCCAGGTTTGTCCCTTGCCATGCTTGCCCCCCAGGTTTTTCCCTTGCCCCCCAGGTTTTTCCCTTGCCCCCCAAGTTTTTCCCTTGCCCCCTAGGTTTTTCCCTTGCCCCGATGCAGGTTTTTCCCTTGCCCCGATGCAGGTTTTTCCCTTGCCCCCATGCAGGTTTTTCCCTTGCCCCCATGCAGGTTTTTCCCTTGCCCCCCAGGTTTTCCCTTGCCCCCCTGTTTTCTCCCAACACTTTATAAACAAATAAATTAATTATGTGATATTTTATGCTGTTAAGATTCATAAAATGTGGACGAAGTTTGGGCCAATGAAAGCATTATAAATATAGGAACTTTGGTAGACAAAACACGCAACACATGCAAATACAGCCGTAGATAGTGTGCAACCAACATCTTTGTACATTTTTAATACAATTGTTATACACTATTCTGCGCTTTGATACATTTCTCATTCATAAAAACGACTGCACTTCTAAATTACTCTAGTGGCTTATTTCCGGACCATTGACAAAGGGCAGGCGCACCCGTACACAGGCTAAAGATTTTATTTTGACTGCCCCCCAAAACTATTTCCTTTGGCCCCCCCCCCCCCAAGTCTGGCGCCACCACTGGCCATATGTTTTGTCCTTGGGCAAGCCACTTCATCCCAACTTGCCGAGCTCTCCACCCAGGAGTATAAATGGGTACCTGCGTTAGCTGGCGAGTAACCTGCGATGGACTGGCATGCCATCCAGGGGTAATGGAAGTATCCTCAGTCGTTTCATGGTACTGAAATCAGAGATAAATGCTGCCTTGGCTCGTGACAGACTTTACTTACTTACTATACATGTACAGTGAAACCATACTACTTGCTAGCTCCTCATTGGCGCACAACAGTTGGTATGATTTCATAATTATACACGTCATTAGCCATTTCCACTCTCATTCTAGTGAGATTACAGTACAGTACTTTGAAAGTGGTCTTCAGTTTAAATAAAGTATTGATGGGCAGGGGGGGGGGGGTCTTCAAAATGACTAGTCTATGTAATAGACCATGGCGAATGCCATAGTCTGTGATAGTGAGCAGATTCGCTGATTAATTTGACAACCGCCTCTTGACCTCTCGATTTTGACCAATCAGCGGGCGCTTCCTATGTCCGTTCTTCGGTCATGCATTCACCCGTTGGGCGTCATAGACAATGGTAAAAAAACATGTGTCACGCGCTCTGTATCATATTTACGCGATATGCGCCCGGCTGTTGTTGTATTACATTCGAATTGACCAATCAAACCATTCAGTCCTGATTTGGGAATGAAATGACGTCACGATTTAGTAAAGTCGACTCCAATTGGCTGGCTTGCGGCTTGCATAATATCTGCATGTCTAGACATATCAGACGTTATACAGGAGACTTGGCTCTGTGGATAATGGGTCAGGGCTCGACCTTAACGCTAGCGTGGCGTACATTGTCTAGTAAAAACTGCTGCGGGCAAGTAAAAACCACTTCTCAACTCGCCCGGCGGGCTACTTAAAAACATGTGCACGTTCCTTGTTTTTCAGATGTGATTCAAGAAAATAAAACGAACTCTTCAAAGCTTTACCTTTTGTGTGTCATGAATGTAACTTTATTTTATTGCAAATGCAAACATGTGAAATCCCCCAGCATCGCTACGACTCAAAAGTCCCTGTGCCGCGTGCCGAAAACGCAACGAAGCTGCCTGGCCAACGCGCCATCATGCCAGTTGCAGATGTACGTACATACAGACCTGCATCGATGTACGAAAACACGTGGGCCCGTACGTGCTACTGCAGCAGTGACTGGTTCCCGCAGTGCCGCGCACTAAGGGCCAAAGAAGGCATGATGGAAATGCGGTAACCAGTCAATGCAATAGTCGCGCGCGGTTCATGCACGCTGCAGCAGTACACAGTGTTTTGCATGCAGGCCGGACGGAATAGGCCCCCCTAGACATAAAAATGCCAAGAAAACATCGATGGAGAAAGACGATCTTTGCAAACTTATATTCACAGAACTTGATCTCTCTTGTCTGTGTATGTATTTCCCTTGTTCATGAATTTATTTTGAGGAAGTACTACTGGTATATGAAGTGAAATGATGCAGCGTGTTTCACCAAAATCCCCCTCCGTAAAACGAAGCTCATTGCCGGCCCATTGCCGGTCCACAACACACAGTGCATCATGGCACGCTCGTACCAAGCGAAGTTCAGACATTGTTAGCCAGTTTCTTGTCGTGACTAGCATAATATGGTATAATTGACCTGCATTTTTCATTATTTTTAAGATTATCGACTTCAAATATTTTAGATAACACTTAAGGCAAGTTTTTGTCATTTTTCAGGCCCTTATTGTATAGCTTTCGTAGCTGCAATGGAAATAGTTCAGGCTGAAAATTTTATATAATTTTAACGAATCTGAAAACAAATATTCAGTTGCTTTATCATGTTTATGTGCCGTTTATTAAATCCATTTTTCAAGTATAATTAAGTGATGAACCAACTGACGATTGTATTCAAAGTAAAATGAAAGCGTATAGCAGAAGTCAAACCTTTTATTAATCTCCATTTAGTTAGGGTTTTTTTTATATTAATTTTACCTTGTCTTACGGTTACAAAAACGAAACAAGTTACGCCACTTGAGCATATTATTATGCAAAAACTAATAAAAATGCAGCCCCTTGAATAAATCCTGATATTCAAAACAAAAACAATGTTTACCGTCGTTTCACGCTGTTTATCTGTGGATATTAAGGAGAGCAAATCGCTCTCCTTAAAATCCATTTGTTCTCCTCAAAGATTTGAGGAGAGCGATTTATAGCTCTCCTTGATTTTCTTTAAATTAAGGACTGCTGTGCCTGCTGGCAAGAGAAAGACTAATTTTCCTGGGGAACTAGCCAAGTGCACACACGAAACGGGTGACTCGTAAATAGCATTTTGTTGTATTCCTGTCACATACATGTAGTGCAAAATGTTGTTTTTTCTTATTTATGACACAGGTCTTGTAAAAATAGTTCAGGTCCAGTAAGATTCCTTCAGTTACTAGACCTGCTGTCTAGTACTTTTTTCTTTTCATGAAATTCGAGCCCTGCATTACCAGCGACAGTGATTTCTAGCCATGAACAAAAGTCAACCTTCTCAGTAGTCAATATTAAACCTGCTTTAATCGTTATGTATTTTTCAAACATTTCATGGGCTAGTAAAAATTTCTGCGGGCTAGTAAAAAACACAATTTACTAGCCCGGTGGGCTACTCTCAGAAAAAAATTAAGGTCAAGCCCTGTGGGTGATACTCAGACTACAAAATCACAGCATACCGGAAAGAATAATTTCACAAGGAGTTTAGTGCCATTACTATCTTTAACCCTAACAGAACTCAACCCATCAAACCCCAACGACACGTTTTGTTGGAATCTGTAAGGATGGGTACAGTACCCCTGAACTGACAGTCTTTTACATTGGGTTGGCACACCTCCAGAATCAAAATCAGAAATATGTTTCCCCTATGGTGTTGGAATTTGCCAGGATGTGTATGGTTCTTAGTAAATCATGCTAGGGAGTTAGGGTTAAACAAAGTAAAAAATTTCACAATAAATTGGCCAGTTACTTTTTGGATAGCTGCAAATGATGTACTGTACCTTTAAGTGAAAACTTTCTATCATTTACACTAGCTACAAGAGATACAATTGAGATGAGTAAGATGATGGGGGATGCCGGAGCAGATGCATTGCTGGTCGTTACTCCATTCTACTTCAAAAGCATGATGACCTCAGAAGCACTTATCAATCACTTCACAAAGGTACAGGCAATTAGTTTTTACTTGCGTTTTAGCTTATTTACTTAATTTAATTTACTTTACTGTTTATTTCTCACTGATTAGACCATAAAAAAATGACTTCTGCTTTCCAAAATAGGGTCAGGTTTGGCCAATTATTGAGTATTCACACCCAGTTCGGCCCAAATTGTTTTCATTTTCGCTGCAAAAGTTACACAATATGTTACTAAGAAAGATTCACTTCATGGACCAAGGGGCGGTGCAACTGGGGGGGGGGGGGGGAGTCACTTGCCACCCCAGATTTTCCCAGGCCAACAAAAGCGCCCCTCTTGCGGAACCTTATAAATGTACCCCCTTGAGATGAAAACAAAACTGCCCCTCAAACGCACACGTTTGAAAGCATATGATCGCGCTACAAATAAAATGGTCTCGTTTCTTGTATGCAAAACTACCCCTCGAAAACACCAGTACCCCTCTCGCATATTAACAAGATTGTGCACCTTCTTGAGATGGAAAACTGCTCTCGAAAGCACAAATACCCCTCTCGTTATAATGAAAATGTGCCCCTCTAGATCTGGACAATTTGCCATCAAAAAGAATAGTGCTCCTCTCGGGATAACTTCTCAAGCAGGATGGAAAACTGCCCCTCGAAAGTACAATAAGTGCCCTGCACGCAACATTAAAATTGTGCCCCCTCTCAAGATAAAAAATTGGCCCCTAAAAATATAATAGTGCTCTTCACACGAGTAAAATGGTCACTGAAATGGCCATCAAAAGCAACAGTACCCCTCTCGCGATAAATAAAAAAGGTCTCTCTACATAACTAGGTAAAAGAACACAAAGAGTAAGATGGACAACGTATTCATAATTCGTTCCTCGTCATATAGGTTTATAACGAAATGAAGGGGACCATTTTTTTCCCCTCCACTTTCACACGGATGGAAGATGCCCCTTTTTCTGACCAAGTTCCCCTTTTTGGTGTTGCCCCCCCCCCCCCCCCCCAGTTTGAAAAGTGTTCCGCTGCCCTGCATGCACCCTTTACATCCACTACTTCACTGCATGGGAATATCACATTTTGCAGCAAGTACATGCCAACTTTGGATGAGCTAGAAACCAAAAAAAATTAAAAATTATTCTCCCATTTTTTGGATATTTTGTAGAAAACGGCAAGAAATAGTATTTGATGTAAAAAAAAAAGTAAAAGAAGTAATATTGATGGCTGTTTTATAATTTAAACACAACTTAACAATACATTAAGGCAGAAAAAGTTTAGAAAACGCCGTACTGTTTTAATACTTAAAAGTTTCAAAACCGTGCAAATGTGCACCTCTTTCAAATGGATATGTTGTGTTTTGATAATATACTTGTTGCTTGAACAATTTGCTCTATTGCACATTTGTTCTACCCTCTGTCTTTGATTGTACAGCCGTTGGAGCCTTTTTCTCTTATTCAATCCAGGTTGCTGATAACTCTCCTGTCCCGGTGATTCTGTACAGTGTACCAGCCAACACAGGCCTAGACCTACCGGTAGACGTTGCTGTTGCACTCTCCAAACATCCAAATATCATTGGAATGAAGGAGAGTGGTGGAGATGTAAGAACACATTCAATCAAGTAGCCATCTTCCCTTCTCCCCCCCCCCCCCTTCAGCCTAGCACCCTGCTCCAAAACAAGAAAAAGTGTATGTGTATGTCACAGTTGTGATGGCTCGAGTCAATTACTCGACTCGAGTCCCAATTTTTGGTGACTCGACTCGACTCGAGTCCCTATGGGTAAATGACTCGACTTATCTCTAGTCACTGCAAGCAAGCTAGTGACTCAACTCAACTCCAGTACCTCATTAGAAGACTCGACTTGACTCGAGCAAAGGCCAATAAGACTCGAGTCCCAAAAATGAAAGCAAAACTTTGCAAAAAGTATAAATTTGCAATGACTTATTATGGTACAAAATTTATGTCCCAATTTATGTTCATGTCACTTTGCGAATACAGTATGATACAGCAGCCGCTTGTCATGTACAAACATACAACGTGTTACACTCCCACCTCATGGTTCTAGAACCGGATTTTAAACACATTTTCCGATTCGTTGTTGCATCATTGACTTTGAGTGATTTCTTATTTAGCTCTTGGATTTGAACGCTGGCTAAATTTATGCCCTCCTTTTATACATTTTGGTATACACAAAGTGTGCAAATATTCGTAACTCGAATTGACTCAAGCTAAATATATGACTCGACTCGACTCGACTCAACCTTTTCGACCTCATGACTCGACTTGAGTCACTTCTTCAAAATGACTCGACTGAGTCACAAAAGTCAGTGACTTGTTACAACTGGTGTATGTTCTCTGAGCATAAGTTCCCCTCAACGGTGAGAAAGGGAGAGTTGGCCAGGACCACTTGGACAGCCATTCAGAATAAGATCAGTAGTGTGTACTTCGCGCCATACGTGTCTATGCGCTCTCGAAATTGCTAAAAAATGTACCCTCTCTTGTCCACACACGAAGCCCATGGTGGCAATGAGCCTTTGGCTAAAACATTGAAAGAAATGCTAAACTCATGATAATAAAATTTGGAATATTTTTGGACTACTGTGATATTGGCATGTCTCCTGAGGTTGTGAAAGCAACCATGTCCTACATCATGGGGGGGGGGGGGAGCATGATCTATTTTCAAGAAGTAGACTTAGAATTCCATGTATGTATTATTCTATTTGAATATTGCATACATTTAGTACGTACGTACTTGACCCTAACTCCCTAGGTCTTTTTGATAGGATGTAGCCTCAATTCTGCAAAATCCTCCAATTGGCCTCATAGAAAAATAGCTTAAAGCGTCAACCCTGCAAATTCCTCCATTATTTCTTGAATAACGCCCTAGGGCTAGGAGGGGGGACCACCGCCTGAATCCTGTATTGAGGATTAATCGAGCAGTATCGAGGATTTCAAAGCATAATCCAGGCCTCTATTTATGTATGGCTGAGCAAAAACAACACAAGGCTGTGGCAAAGTGCATCCTACGAAATCAGTAACGCAGTTTTGCCATGTAACCTCAATCCTCCAAATTCCTCCACTTTGGCAAAGAGGATTTTGAAGGATTCAGGGCGGTTAGGGTTAATGATGAATTGTATTGTGCTCTGTACTTGTTCCTTGTGACCCGGTCCCTACATTATCAATTCTGATATTGGGCTGGAACCAGTCTACCCTGCAAGAACTTAAATTTAGTCTGTCGGACCACAAACCAAAAAAGGTGTAAAATAATCGCTCCAAACTTTGGCCGATTGTTTTCACTCAATGTCTCCATTCCTAGAAACAAATATTAAAAATAAAAAAGAATTTCTCGGGATGATATTTGAAAATAACACGGACACTACATCTATAAGGTGTTAATTTTGTTTTAACTTGTAGGGGTTGAACAAAATGAGGCTAGAATAGTAAAGGATATCCAAAAATATGCAAATGTAGCATGTTGCCATTGTAAGAGTTCTGAAATCAACCAACTGGCTTAAAGGACATACTATACTTGGAATTGTCTCTTTGTAACTTGTCATTTCATTTTAGACTCATTACGACATGTGTCTTGGTTATTTTTATGCCCCGCTGGCGAAGCCGAAGGAGCATACTGTTTCCGCCTTGTCCGTCCATGTGTGTGTGTGTGTGTGTGCGTGTGGGTAGGCATTACATTCACTGTGTGGACTCCTGAACAAAAGAGGTCCACATAAACCAGGTAGAGGCGAGGTTCTGTGGACTTGGGCAAGTCCACACAGTGTTTCCCCATTTCTGGAAAACAGGTTTAGAGGCATTTTTGGGTTTAGCTTTATCTGTGCAAAATGAAGAGAAACACTATAGGGAATCATAGAAAAAAAATGGGTTGAAAGAGTTTTCACAGTTTAAGTAAAGTTATTTTTGTACCGAGTTTTCTTAACTACACAAAAACAAAGGAATGTCCACATAAATGTAGCGTATGTAAAACATGCATGTGCATGCGTGTGTGCATGTGCATTTGGTTCCACAGCGATATCCGGATTGTATGTCCATGTATGTCTTGAACCTTGATACAATGAAGGTAGCTTGCTAGTATAACTTATAGAAAATGAATAAGTTTGGACCCCATAAGACAAAGGCCAAGTCATTAGGATTAAAACAATAGGATTTTATTTTGTTTGATTTTTTTTTTTTTTTTTTTTACCAAACCAGTAAAAATGTGCAAATGCAATCACTCTCAAAAATATTAGGGGGCCTGAACACTGTTTAAATATGTTTTTTGTATAATCAATGTGGCTTCTCCACCCTTTTTTCTTGGACAGTCATATTTTTAATTAAAACAACAGAAAACAAACACATGTACATGTATTACTTAAACTTGAGACTTGCACCATAGTACATGTGTATGTATATGCAGCTCCGTTGGTTGTTCTTAGGATTTTGAGTCACTTTCGGACCCCATAGGCCAACTGTTCTCATTATTAAAAACCAAAGAAATGATGTCATGATGATAACTCAAGCTTATTCAAATAACCGTATTTTCTTTTGATTATTTAAAAATTCTTATTTCCATGTAGGCCTTGTAAATGCTCAAAGGATTATGCTCAAAGGATTTGCCTTTGAGAAATGTCTTGCTTAAGACTGAAAATATCCAGTCAGTTTGCTTAAATCACATACAATGACTTCCCAACAGAAAAGCAAAAAACAAAAAATCATTATGGGATCATATGCATCAATACATTACATATATAACCTAAAGAAAACAATCACGATGTCAATGAACGTTCCATGTGACCCAGGTAAGTTGATGCTAATAGAGTGGTGTTATGTGATGGAAGTAGGCATGGTTGCGGGGCATTTGTGTTTTTTTAACACTACTTTTCTTGTTTTATGGAAGGTCACCAAAATTGGACTAATTGTTCATCAGACGAAGGATAATAACTTCCAAATGCTGGCGGGATCAGCAGGTTTTTTTCTACAGTCTTTATCTGTGGGTAAGTTATAATTAGATCATTACTTCACAAGTAATTAAAAACAAACGTTATGTATGGGACAATTCCGTTACGTATGGGACATTGCTTGCAATGTATGGGAAAAACTACATATATTTTAACATAGCCAAAATTGACCACAACTCTAGCCATTAGACATTTTGGGCATTAATGTATTTTCATGAGACCTGAAACTTCAGCTACAGAAATTTAAGCTGAGTTTTGAGTTCGATGGTTGATCTCCATGTCTTGATCCATCGGCAGAAACTGTCTGGCAATCTTGCTCGCAGGAATTGAAGATTCTGGTATCTTGCGTCAGTCCTTCCGGCCAAGGGCCTCAAAATCCCTCCTTAGACTCCGTTTGCTCTCACTTATATAGCCTTATTTTGTGTTATGTAAAAGTCTACATAATTTTTATATAAGCTCTAAAACAAAGAGTTTTAATAGAAATTGCTGTGTGTGCATTGGTTACGTAAAAGGAGTAGAACAAAGTTACAATAAGAATGCAGCCTTGGAGCAGGTTGCATAAACCCAAAAACTGCAGTATAAGCAACTTATGGTGCCATCTTAAGAAGGTCACCAGATCCATGTTACACAACTTGAAAATGTTGCTGTGTAAACAAGTTAAAAAAAGGAAATTCATCCTTCAACAATTATCAATATTATTGATAATTGTTATTTATTATTATACAACACCTGAATAAATCCCCGTCATCTGATTGGTGAATTGTAGATCACGTGACATATTATTATTCGGTATAAAGCACGGTGCGACCATGCGTTATACCCATGCGTTATACCGTTTCACCTTGCGCTTGTTCCATGACGCGGTATTTGCCTGCAAAATGCATGCTGGTGTGCGCGTTCAGCGTAGCGCGTATTGTTCCAAAGAGCCAGCGCTACAGCGTTGGGTTCAAAGATTTTCGTGAAGGGGTAGTTCAACATCTTTAAAATCAAAATAAATTGTAGTTTATAATTTACCAATCAAATGACGAGAATTTATTCAGGTGTTGTATAAAACAAATAACGAATGTTTTACGTTCGTGCGATGGAAAGAATAATTTCATTCGGTGACAGATTAAATGTTCTATTCCACTCGGCTTCGCCTCGTGGAATAGAACATTCAATCTGTCACCTCATGAAATTATTCTTACCATCGCACTCACAAACATTCGTTATTTGTATAATATCCCATGACAGTGATGTCATAGCAATGGTTTTAGTTATGAAATGCAGTTTCATAACTTAACGATCTATATAAAGCCTATGGAGAATTTTGTCCCATATGTAACATGTCCCATACATAACACAACCTTCGTTATTAAACACTAATTACTCTCGCAGTGTGTATTTATTTCTGTAACAGAATTTGCGACGAGTTACTCAAGACAGTGTTTCAACTTTCTCCACACTGAAAATTTTGCTGAATAAAAAAAAATGCTTCAGGGAACTTTGAATTTGAACATATTTCTTTTAAACGCACCGTTGGAAAGACCTTCTTTCGTTGATTTCTTCAAAATGACAGCTTGCTAGAAAGAATAATTTCACAAGGAGTTTAGTCCCATTACTATCTTTCAACCAAGTATGTTTTTCAACAATAATTGTCTCGATGTCTCATTGAAAAGTGAATAACCTTAATTAACATAAAGAGGTAATCAATTTTTCTAGTGACATTGCGAAAATATCAAAGACGGAACGTCTTTAAATATTCTCAGGAAACTCCGGGACAAAGTTGCCACACCTCAAATTGTACGTGGCTGACATTAGAGAAGCTTAAATGTTATTCAGATAGTTTTGGGTTTCTCTCCAAGGTGCTGTGGGTGGAGTATGCGCCCTTGCCAATGTGCTGGGTCGTGAGGTTTGCCAGGTACAAACATTCTTCAGCGACGGCAAGATGGAAGAAGCCATGAAACTGCAACACAGACTGATTGAGCCAAATAGTGCTGTGAGTGGAAGGGATGGGATAGGGATTAATGATGAGCCCTGCAGCCAAGCAGTGTTGCAGTCAAGTCTGTCACAAGTCCTCACAAGTCAATCACAATGGGTGCATACCTATGTTCCCCAATACCGATGTTCCCCGAAATTCCTACCATCTAACCCTAGCCCTAACCCTAACCCTAACCCTAATCCTAAGGATTTCGGGGAACATTGATAGCGGGGAACATCGGTATTGGGGAACATCGAGTAGATCCCAATCACAATTCATCCAGGCTCAAGTCACATAGTGTTCAATTGAACTGTGAGAAAGGCATTCCTTTATCATTGTTCATCCCTGTTTCTTGGGACAGAACTTGTGAATTGCATGTGATTATACTTGTAATGGACTTGTGATGCACCCATAGAGCTATATTTAATTACTAGAGCGCTAACTCCTCATTCTTGCAGGCAGAGACGCTCTGGGCGCAGACATTTTGAATTTATGTGCAAGTTTGTAGAACATAATTAAAATAGATGGATTGAATTTTAAAAGTGTACTCTAAATGCAACGTTCAAGTAGAAGATACGCAGACAACTTAAGCGCGTCATGACGGTTCAAGAAACGTCACGGCGAAAAGCATCTGCAACGGAGGGACGCGCACACATTGCGCTGTTTGCGTAGAGCAAAATGAAACGCTCATTTGCTGATCGTGCGTTTCGGTTTTTGGCGTATCGGCTTCGATGACGCACCAGTATGGAATACAAACGCAGATATGCAAATAGCCGTACAAAAGCCGTACAAAATTTCAAGTTTTCCATAGGTTTGTGCACAAACATGGATGCGCCCACCAGGCATCACTTTGTACATCTAGTTAGCGATCTATTAATTTAATATAGCTCTATGGTGCTAACTCATGTACAAAGTGATGCCTGCTGGGCGCATCCATGTTTGTACACAAACCTATGGAGAACTAGAAATTATGTACGTATTTTGTACATCTATTTGCATATCTGCGTTTTTATTCCATACTGGTGCTTCATCGAAGCCGATACGCCCAAAACTGAAACGCACGATCAGCAAATGAGCGTGTCATTTTGCTCTATCGTTGCAAACAGCGCAATAAGTGTGGGTATCCACTGCAGCCTTGATTAACCGTGTGGTTTTTTTACCGTAACATGCATAAGAAGTTTGCATACCTCTACTTGCGCGTTGCATTTAGAGTTCGCGTTGCATTTAGAGTTCACTTTCAAAATTCAGTCTATCTAATTTCATTATGTTCTGTAAGCACACACATGAATTCAAACTGTCTGTGCCCAGGACGGCTTCAAAGCATCTCCGCGCGCAAGAATGAGGAGTTGGCACTCTAGTAATTTAATGTAGCTCTATGAAGGCACCCGACTGTAACAAGGCTGCCAATAACACCCAAGGCACATTCTTCCCTTTTCAAGGGGCATTAAGGCTCTTATTTTTTTCTACCGTTCCTCGTTAATCTTCTAGGAGATTTTGGATGAATCTGGGAGGGTTGACGTTAGTGTTGTGCAAACCCGACCCGAAACCGACTTCGGGTTGGTTTGTCCATCATTTCAGTTAGGTTGGGTCGGGTCAGTTACAGTTTTGCGTTTGCGATTTTCGGGTCAGGTCGGGTCGGTACGGGAATGTTGGGAAAAACCCGAAATAAACCAAAATAAACCACCCCCAAAAAAAAACCAGTTCGGAAAGTCACATGGTGCAATATTTACTGCAGAGTCACTGTGCCCGGTACGACCAAATGTGGTTTGTGGTCTATCACGCACGGTTTATAACATGTAGGCTCACCAGTGGTTCACATTGTGAGCACCATATGGTATGATTCAGTTACTGAGAGACAACGATTTTCACACGACGTGAGTTAGTTCAGGCACAAAAAAGCAGACATATAGTTGCCCAAGCCAGATATTTGGGGGTTTTTTTCAGTCAGTTAGTTTCCGGGACGGTTTTCCTTGAACTTTTTTCGGGACGATTTTAGGGAATTCAGATCGGGTTCGGTTGGGATTCGGTTTATATCTGTAATGTTTCTGGTAGGTTTGGCCTTGTCAACCCAACTTGATGCACAATATTAGTCGGTGTTAAAGTTGGGTTTTATTTTGAATATTTTTATATACTGATGGAGTGAGTATATATTGATATGGAAAGAGTTGTAGGGTGCATACCACGATAGTAGGAGACACTCAGGGATTTTCAATTATTACTGTGAAGGTCCATGCAACAGATGGAATTTTGTGGTGTAGCGTTTTGAGTGTCATTCAGCCTGCTCAATGTGTACATTTGTATAACTTCGCTTCTTGCACACCTACTTGATTTAAGTAACATGTTAAGACACAGTGATTATGACATGAAAATTCAGACAAGCATTCCAGAGTCAAGCCAAATCAAACTGTCCTGAAGAGTTGAGTACATGAAAAGTCCATTGTTTTGAAACAGTTTTGAATGTCTGTTGCAATTGTTGAGATGGGGTCCGCTCATAAATCCGACGCCTCATAGGTTCGACACCTTATAAGTCCGACAAAATCGCATCCCCCAACCAAATAAAGGCCCATAAGTCCGACGCCTCATAGGTCCGACACTTCATAAGTCCGACGCCTCATAGGTCCGACGCCTCATAGCTCCGACGCCTCGTAAGTCTGACAAAGTAAACGCCTTGTTTTTCCGACGTCGGACTTATGAGGCGTCGGACTTACGAGGCGTCGGACCTACGAGACAGAATAAATAAATTGTATGCCTCATAAGTCAGTAACCTCATATGTCATTTAATGAGGCGTCGGACCTATGAGGCATCGGACTTATGATATGGCCCTGTTGAGAACTTTGTGAGTCTAACGGAAAATTTGTACTAATTTATTTGGCATTACCCTGAAATGTCAGCCAGAAACTAGTGCTAGAGGGTCTGGTAACACAATGGATGTGAACCTGTTTTGATTATCTGCCCAGGTGACCAAACGATTCGGTGTTCCTGGTCTGAAGACTGCCATGGAGTGGTTTGGTTTCTACGGGGGACCAGTCCGCAACCCCTTGCTGCCCACCTCCGAGGCCCATAAAGAGCAGCTACGAGAGGCGTTCACCAGGAACGGGTTCCTGTAAAGATGATGATGATGCTACCACAAGACTACAAATCAGTCTGCCTAACCCTCACATTACAGCACTGTACTCTAAGATAAAAGAAGCATTTGCCTTTCTGATACTGAACAGTACTTCCACTACCATAATGTAATCTTCAATAGAATACTTCTTGAAGGACAAAGCAACTTTGGCCTGTCTGAAATATTAGGGCCCATTCAAAGCTGTGGCTGGCCAGTTGGCCCCTGAAAATTTGGGGAAAATGTTGTGGATCTGCCCTCCCCCCTCCCCATAAAATACTCCCTTCTGCCCCCCCCCCCCCCTCTTCCTATGACCAAAAACCTGGCTGTGCTACTGTAAGGATTCCGTGGATTTGCGTCATCAGATAAACCTCATAAGCACAAGTTTGGTTTCTTTGCTCTGGCTAATGGATATTCAGTGGTTCAAACAGCAATTAATGCTGTCATTAAGCCTGCGTGTTAGGGAGAGAGAAACCCCTCCATTTCCTTCTTATTGATGGGGAGAAGACACATGATCATTATCTTGCTGGAATATATCCTCCTGCTCGGTGATAACTATTTTCGTTTCGATTTGTGTACACGTGTCATTTTGAACATGTGCACATTAGCTTAAGCATGACATAAAAAAATGTAAAGGACCAGTTTGTTTGCTGCCACAAACTGTCTCGAAAGTCTCCCATTGCCTGATTTCCAGCTTTTTGCAATTTGTAAATAACATAATGGCACATAATATTATTTTTCCCACAAACGTGAGTGGAACAAAGAATAATGTAGTACATCTTTGTCCCACATTTTTCGGCCGCGTGGTATGTGGGGCGCAATACGCACTACATTTTCCATATCCACGAGCGCGAGTGGGATAATGAATTTATCTTCAAGCAAACTTGACGCCCAGTACAGATGAAACATGCACGTTGTACTCCAACATTTCAGCTGTTATCCTGTTGACCTATTGCTGTTTGCAAGTTAGCCACACCCCTTAGACAACCCTATGGAATATTTGTACACTAAGTTTTGTTTGTCTCAGATTTTGCGCGTTCCGCGTCCATTTGTATATCATGTAAATGGACAATATTCCACAAGCTGCGATTCTACCGCGATAGGTTAATTACACACCTGTGTGCAGCTGGAATGGCGCGTACCTATTAGAGTAGCATAATACGCAGAGTGCAGTATGGATCCTGCTATGTGGGATTATGTAGTACTGGTTGTTGCCATGGATCGACCAATCAGGATTGAGGATTTAAGTAAATTACCTGAATATAAATGTGTATGTACTTTTCCTTTATTCTGCAATTTTTTTTCAGTATTAAAATAAACCATATAAGTTGAGATATCATAAGAAAGTTGAGAAATCTTTAACAGAAAATGTTGAAAAGCACGAACGTTTTACCTCCGTCACAGCTTTTTTTTTTTATTCACGCTGAAATGAAATTTCCTTGGGAGTTTTCTTTTCCGACTGTTTCTGTTTTGAAAGCAGCAGCTAGTTGATGGTTCCTTCAGGCGAACTTAAGAAAAAAATTGAAGGATTCTTAAAAGTTACTAGTCTGAACACACTAAAAATGGCAAGTCATTGTGGACAGTCATTTAAAGTCAAATACTGGCCAGCACGTTGATTGTCAGGCTGACCTATGATGCAGGGGTCAACCTAATTTAAATATCTAAGCGCTTACCAATATGGATGCAGGCCAGTAAATAGGCCCAATATTGTCTACTCTGGCCAAATCACGATTTGCATGCCCTCAAATGTTCTGCTATTAGTTCTGTTAGAGCATTTTGTGGGCTATGAACTTGAGGGTTTGTAAAAAAAAAAAAAAGTGGTTATAAAGTAACATTTATCAGCTAGTTTATTTTCAGTCTTATCATTGGTTGCTGTGTGGGTCCTTCTATGGGTGCATTCGAGTAGCTTAGACGTGTAAAACTTCCACACGAGAATGTGCCCGTAGCCATCATTTGATACTCGTAAATACTCGTCGGCTGCCCCTGTGTCAACCACCACTGCTCCAGCTCGCGAGGTGGTCTGTGGTGGATGCCCGGGTGTAATGACGTAGCCGGACGAGTGGCGAGATAGAAGGTGGTGGTAACTTGAACTGAATACGAAGAGATTAACGACTCAAAATGTACAGATTTATGCCTCAACGTAATAACATTTACGTTTACGTGATCACCAGCAGATCTTGGAACTTTCCGGGGGGGAGGGGGGGGGGGTGTCGTCTGGTCGGGGTGTCAGATTTTGTCCCAGACACCTGCCATCCACAAAATTTAAGGCGGGAGGGCTGGACATTATCTTTGTAGATTTTGCTGACACATCCATTTTCTGACAAAAACCAATAGGAATGTCCCCGTGTGTTGACCGGAAATAGTAGCGACGACATGGCAAGTTGTAAACCCGGAGTACACAATGTGGAAGCTACTCGAACGCACCCTATTTGTTTTCTTTTCTTTTTGGTGTGTTTTGCTTGCGATGGGTGTGTGTTTACGAAATCTTAGTAATGATGTGATCATTTTATGCCAGTATCTCCATTCATACTGTTTGACAAGTTGTGTTAAGTTTTACTTTGATACCCAAACTGAATTTTTGGACATTAAATTATGATATATATAAATTGTGATATTGTACAATTTTAAAGCATATTCTACAATTTTAAAGCAAAATTATGTATCGATATAAGATGAGAGATATCAAAACAATCTTTTTTAATTACACTTCTGTATACAATAAACTGTGCGTTCACAAGGCGCATTTGTAAATCTACAAAACGGAGCACAGTGTGTCTTTACTACCCCTGCTCACCAAGCCAACAAAAACGTTCCTAATGTCTTTGAGTCTGTTTTGAGGAGACTCTGAGGAGACAGGTCTCTACCGATAGACCTGTGATATATTTTGACCAAACATAAGACACTGATTGCAGCCGCTTTATGGTCTCCATGCACAAGTACCCTCAACCCGTAAGAAAAGGAAAGTTGGGACCGGCCACATCCGGTCTACTGAATGGCACAGGTATAACAAGACGGTATGACCGCGCCTAGGGCGCCCCCTCCCACACGCTCCAGCTTCCGTTTCGCCATGTCCTCTTTCTGCCGTCGACGGCGCTCCAGTTTCTCCCGTTTCTTGCGGTCGATGTCGTTCTGCTTGTCGATGCAGGCCATGGCGAACATTTTAAATTCTTTGTAGTCCAGCTCCTGTGAAGGAACAGTCAAGAAAGGTGCTCATTATGGTAGAGATGAACTCATTTACGATGATAAAAGATCAGGGGGGGGGAATCCTTAAACTGTCGGGATGTTGGAAATTCGAAAAGACAGGGGAGGGGAACAAAGTTGTTTTACGACCGCTAGGTCTATTGGCAGTTCGCGCCATCATGGAGGTAGGAACCTCCGTATTAAGTTGCTCTACCCTTGGTCTTCAATTTGGAATTTTTGCTCCTACAAATTTTCAATTGTACATTTTAACGGATTTTGGATGTGTTCAACCCTCTGTTAAATACGTTTCTATTTGGGTTGCTGTTGCGCCCATAACGTACACAAATGTACGCCTGCACTTTTGTCGGGCTGCATTGATGCACCTTGTCCAACCTACTGACCTTATGCGTTAAAACGGAGTCGGAGGGCAATGGTTTTGTATCGCTGGGTCGAGAGATCGGCATGAGGTAACCTTTTGCGAATTCGTCGTTAAGTTTATATCAAAAGAATGTTAGTATTTAACCTCGTCCCCTGATATGTCAAAGTCCTTAAAGATCTGGCTGACTGCTGCCCCCTGGAAGTTGAAGAGAAAGCCGAATGCTGAGAACTCCTCGGCCGAGATACTGTGGCTGCGGTCCTCGTCTAGTAGCTCGAAGACGGTACGAGAGTGCCGATAAATGAACTGCTTCTCCTCCTTGTCCTATAAAACAGGATGTGGTGGAGATGTTTGAAATTATTTCAGATAACCAGTGGAGACAAAGCAAAGGTTGTAATCGAGTCACAATCGCAAGATAACCCTAAGTCATCACAAGTCAAGTCACAAATAATGGCGACAGAGGAATATCTTTGTCACAGTTTTAGGTGAACTTATTTTATTTTGAAAAAATGTCTTCACTTGCAGAGACTGATGTGGGCCATTTTCTTTTGGGTGCAGATGGATAATCCCGGTTGCCATGCTATCCTGCGCCCAAACGTTGCATCCTTGGCCTGTTTTCCCTTTGTGTATTATGACCAACAAACAAGGGCTGATCAGGGGGGGGGGGCAACGGGGGCCACCCCCCCCCCCCCCCCCCCCCCCCCCAAGTGACGTCGCAATAAAAGGCAGGCACTGCGCACACCACCATCTTTTCCTCACAGACCATCTAGAATCCAAACAAAATTCGGGGCCCTAAAGCGGGCCCCGATCCCTACGCCTTTTTGTTTGTTGCCCCCCCCCCCCCCCCCCCAAAAAAAAATGTGGTCTGGATCCTCCCTTACGAAGAGAATGAACGGGAAGATAGTTGGTGATGTAACTTCGCATATATTATGGCTAGGACTCATTAATTGTACTTTACTGTGATGTGGAAGTGACCCGTAACAATTAAATTCCTGTACTGTAGGGCGGAACTTCTGTGCCCTGTACCAATTTTGTCTTCACTGTGAAGGAAGTGCCTCGCACCAAATGGTGGTAAAGAGGAAGTGCCTCGTACCATGGAGGGCTTCCTCCATGCTCGTACTTAATTAAGGCCTGGGAGGAAGACCGCCAGCGTTTTTTTCTCGGGTAACTAGACGTTGGTTCATAAGATGGAATTTTTTGCGTCGGGGTGATGTAAATCAAATTAGGTTTTGCCCTTCACCGACGTATAAACACTGTTTACTCAGTGTATTACCTCCCGAGTGAAAGTTGGAAAAATCATTCGGGTGGGACTCGATCCCACGACCTCCTGCTTTCTAGTGCAGATGTCTTACCACTCGACAACCCAGCTAACGGGATCGGTTGGCTGCATGGTTCGAATCTGATGTACATAGCAGCGGTACCGCATTAACTATTCATAAGATGGAATTTTATTTATTTTAAGATGTCTTACCACTCGACCACTTACCATAATAAAAAGTCCCCTTGTTGAATAAATCGGTTCGTTAAGTTTTGTTTTTATTTTTTATTTGTTGGTGTCTTTGTTTTGCATTTGTAATATTTTTCTATTGGTCCTGCAACCGATACACGGTAATAAAAGACACAATGAAGACCAAATTGCTCAAAGGATAGTTAATTTTTAAATTAAAGCGAATTCATATCACCTAGTCAGTGTAGTCAAACAAAAAACCTGAAAAGATTGTGCTGCAATAGCATGCGAACTGGCAAACAGGAAATGAAATGGGATATAGATAGAGACGGAGTTAGGATTGACATTAGTTTTAAAAAGTGTAAGCTTTGTGTTCACATATTGAGTTTCCAACCGAGTTTTTTTTATTATTATTATTATATTATTATTATTATTATGGTTTATTAAAACTTCAAACATCACAGCCCTAAAGCTGAATTACGTTTAAAGTATATTTGACATTCACAAAACAAAATTGAAGAGTTATGTAGCAGTTCATTAAACAAAAAGGGAAAAAAGACAATGATTACAGAGGACGGAAAATACATTAAAAATATGTAGAATATAAAAAAATATATACACAATTAATCACACTGTATGTAAAATATGCAAAATCAAGCATAGGAAATACAAAAAAGCAAGGAGGCCAGCTCCATTAAAAAAAAAACTTGCAGGTCTTACTATATACAAAATTAACTGCATGAATTGAGAAGTGTAGTCAAGGATGGGATTGGGCTGTTTTTGCACCTATTGGTTCTATACTTGATTGGGCACAGTTTGTTTGTATTTCTGAGATTAGTATTTCTGTTGGTTGAGAGCCAGTCTATGTAGTTGTTTGAGGTGATGAGCGATTGACCAAATTTAACAAAAGCTGTTCACGTCTGACAGAATTAGAAACAGGTGAGAAACCAAACTGGGAATAAATTTCACTGAAAGACCGTACTACAAAAGTCCTTTGTTAAGATAATGCTGAGGGCCTTTCGCTGTAATTTCTCCAGACATTCCATCTGAGATTTGCTAAGACTTGAGAACCAAACTGGGCAAGCTTATTGTGCCATTCCCGCGCGCATCACAGGTATTTTCGGATTTTTTAATATAATTATTATGCAACACCATTAAAAAAGAACCTCAGCTTCAATCTCTAGTTAAGGGCCCTGATGTCTATAAAATATCCCAAGATATAAATATTATTGTATAAACCTTAAAAGCGGAGTCTCATAACATATTAATTGGATCATTTGCTGCAGTTTTTCGTTCGTTTCCAATAACACCACTCAAAATCCAAAGAAAAGAATGTTAAAAACCTAACTTGTTGAAGTTTCAGCTCAGTGGATTTGAGAAAACAGTGAAGGACCATGCTAAGTCTTTATTTCCAAAAAGAGTCAATTTACTTGAGTTGGAAATCACCAACATTTCTTGATTTATTCTAAATGACAAGCAAGTTAGACGGAATAATTTCACGGGGTGTTTAGTATTCGATCTTTAATCCAAGTAAGCTTTTTGATAATAATTCGGTTGGCTATATTTTGGGGTAAATGCAAGTCATATGTCTTATTGATACCTTAAGAGAGATCAGTATGCACGCCAGTAAGTAGAACTCATCGAAGTCTATGCGACCAGATCCATCGACATCCAGCATGTCGAAGACATTGTAGATGTGTGCCTTACTCAGGTCGGTCACCGCGTGAAGGAAGTTGTAGAACTGTATATCTACGTCAACCGTGGACAGATATTGTCAGAAAATGTTGGCATAACAAACTTTAATATGTGGCCCAAAAAAGTTGGAGTACTACCAAGGGTTTTACCAAGAAGTCGAAGACAAAACACTATACTTCAGTATACAAAACAGCATTTTGACCAAAATATAGGTCTATGACTTGCCACCTCCCTTCCTTTCCCAAGTGAATGCCGCGTGAATCAACCGACCAAGGTGTGTGCATTCACTATGCCTCTTTTCATGACATTCTTGTTTTTCTTTTCAACATCGCCACTCGCCAGCTATTTTGGCGAGTCTAATGACATAAAAGGTGGATTTTGTTGTCATATGCCTTAGGAAAGGGGTCCTGATTTACTTTTTCACCGGTATATAAAAAGCTCAACACAAAATCACAACCCGTTTATATTTAACCCATATAGGCCTATGTATTTCCGGCTTATTTTCAGAGACCTATTTTCAGAGACGAGAAAATCAGCGCAAGCCTTCCATGCTACAAGGATTTTTTTAACAGGATAGGCCCTATACCAAAGCACTTTATCACTTTTATCACTACAGTCGTTTTCCTAGTTCCGGATTTTTCCTAGTTCCGGATCGCTTCAAATAAAAACCAACTTCTGTTGGATTAGTCTCCAATAAAAAAAATTCTGACGAAGTGCAATTTGAAAAGGAAAATGTAAGCTTCTTGATACTCAAAGATCTTTTCGATAAAATCTTTAGAAGAGGAATTTTGGCCAGATTTTGGCCAGAAGTTTCAAAATCATTTACGTTTTTCTCTTTTTAAAATTTGCTGGAATTCTCTTGAATTAACTATTTTTGGTAAATTAAATAATACTTTATCAGAAATGTGCTTGATTCGGGTTTTTTTCTGGCTAAAAAAAGTGATTTTCTCACGTGATTTTTTTTTCGCGCGAAGCAGTGTTTGACAACTGATTGAACCGATCTGGAACTAGGAAAAAGCGGCATCGTTACTTTTGACGTCGTTAAGTCAAATTAAAAGGAGCTTAAGTTTGGAAAATTATTGTGTAGTATCTCCATCACTCAAGGTAAACTTTTTAATCAATGTCACTTGAATTCGTGGAGTAGTTGAGCTGAAAGCTGCCTGAATGATGTTTGCTATCCGGAACTAGGAAAACGACTGTAACATTACGTTTTCAAGTTTATGTACGGTTCAGATTCTCACCATTAAGAGACATTTCACCGTGCACGTCAAGCAGCTTGAAGTATTCCAGTAAGATATAAACGTTCTTTCCGGACAGCATGCTGTACGTCTTGTCTAGGTGCATGCACTGCAGAATTCCCGTCTTGATCTTCATTCTCGATCAATTATTTTGTTCAAATCTTTCCCACGAAAATACAATGTCAGTTAGGCCTACCTCAATTTTGACTGCTCAGTGAGCACGTGCGTTAGGCGCCCGCGCGCATTTAAAATTCCCGCGCGCTTCGAGGTGTGCGCGCCCTCGCCGCCCGCCCTGCACTGGGCGGGGGGGGGGGGGGGGGGTACGAGCGAAAGGAGGTTTCGTCGTGGAGGGCACCATTTATGGCGCAGGGGGACAATTTCGCTCGTACCCACGCCCTGCAGGGCGGGGGTACGAGCGAAGGGGAAATACATTATCTTCCAGCCTCGACTCCATGAGATCGCTCAAGGCATCGATGGAGAAACAACATGGCGCAGCAAGATCTCGTACCCATGGGAACGAGGTTGATTATCTTCATTAGAGATCGATAAATACAATTTTTTTTTTTACCTCTCAGCTAGCTGCAGCCGAGCGAGAGGGCTCGAGGGGTATTGTCATCGTCTACGGCGTCCGTCCGGCAGTCCGGATGTCCAGACGTTCTGACCATACCCCCCTTGTGGGGTGATGTTCCTTTCAGGACACATCACCCCACTATTTTCACAATAGAAAAACATCACCCCAGAAGAGAATCTTTAGAAAAAGGGATAATGGGAACACAATGCTATCACCCCACAATTCCGTCTGGCTGGAGCGTCCGTCCGGGCAGCTTAGTTTCCGGATGATAACTTGAGTTAGAAATGTTGTTTGGGATTGTAACTAATTCGGTAGGGGGTTGCCCTTAGGCAAGTTGGGATTGGTTTTGAGGTCAAAGGTCAAGGTCACCGTGGTGAGTTAAAGGTAAATGGTTTCCGGATAACTTGAGTAAGAAATGAGGTTTTGGGTGTCTAACTTTGGTAGGGGGGTTGCCCTTGGGAGTAGGCAAGTTGGGATTGGCTTTGGGATCAAAAGGTCAAGGTCACCGTGGTGAGTTAAAGGTAAATGGTTTCCCGATGATAATTTGAGTTAGAAATTAGATTTTGGTGTCCAACTTTGGTAGGAGGTTGCCCTTGGGTACAGGCAAGTTGGGATTGGCTTGGGTCAAAAGGTCAAAGTCAACGTGGTGAGTAAAAGGTAAATGGTTTCCGGATGATAACTCTAGTTAGAAATTAAATTTTGGTGTCTAACTTCGGTAGGGGGTTGCCCATTGGTACAGGCATGTTGGGATTGGTTCTGGGTTTAAAGGTCAAAGGTCAAGATCACCATGTTGAGTTGAAGGTTAATCAGGTTTCCGGATAACTTGACTCTGGCTGAGGGGTTTCAACAGCAACGCTGTTATTTTTGCAAATATCATGCATTTCGTTTTACCGATGTTTTCTTTTTAGCCCTCATATTAAAGTTCAGCCCCATAACCATTATAAATTTTCGATTTCATTTTAACTTTCAAATATCCCTGCAAGATTGTTTTTGCAGGAGGAAACAGCTTGGCAAATAAACAAAATAATGACATCAATTATAACAACCATGTTAAACAGATACCAGATGTAAGCATTTATTTTATCAACGTCATTAAAGTCTATTAAAGGAATACATTTTATGAAGAAATAACTAACAAGAGACAAACAATGCTACGCTAACGGGCCAAAGTCAACAAAGGGAGGCAAATGCTGCTCAGGAAAATACTTCGCCAGTCAAAAAGTCGATGAGAACAATATCACATATATGTTTCACTTAGTTCCTCCACAAAAAACCTGGTAACAAAGTATTGGGAGAGACCATGCATGATGCAACCATAGAGCTATATTAAATTACTAGAGCGCTAACTCCTCATTTTTGCGGCCAAAAAAGCTTTGAAGCCGTCCTGGGCGCAGACATTTTGTATTCATGTGTGTGTTTGTTTGTTTCTCATGCTATACGCGCAGAAACCAGTGTGCACATGCGGCGCGTTTCTCCCACTGGTGTTCTCGAATCGGTCACGAAGTCTCATCTCCTGCTCGAACATAGAGTTCATAGGAAAATCCACCTTTTAAGAAAGTATTTATCCTATATTAAAACCAACAAAAACTACCTTTCTTGACCAATATAAAACAAATCCTATCATGGAGTTAAACAACTGCAGGACTTTTTTTTTTTTACTAAAGCGAGAGGTGTTCTCCAGAAAACTACAATACCAACAGAGTGAATAAATACAATCCTTGTTCTCACGTGATAAAAATGCCAATTTCAGAAAAATTACTTGAACTTAATTCCAGCAACTAGAAATATGGAACAATCAACACTAACATACAATGAGACTTTGACAGCTACCACAATTCTGTACATGTATTAAACAGCGACAGGTTCTGGTCGGGGAAAATCAATCAATAAGCCAGAATGAAAGTGACACAGGAAAAGCTGCAAACTGGAAGCAAACAAGCAGCCCAAACTTAGGGGTTTTATTTCCACTTCAAAACTGAACAAAAGTGGACACCAGAGTAAAAGGCCAGCATTTTTAATATGTTGGATTACGAACCTGCTGAATCTGAATATGACAATTTTTGAGAAAAAAATGAGAAAAATTACAGTTATTTTATTCCCGACACAAGATTTTAATATTTGGAGATAAACAAATTAAATGATAATAATCATGTTCCCTGATGCATATTTTGAGTAAATTGAAAAAAAAAACGAGGGAAAAAAAGACTTACTTTTTTGTTTCCTGTTTTTTCTTAATAAAAAAAAAGCAGCACAGCCGATATCTCGTACCTATCCCTAGTATGCAACCCAAATGCATGCAGAAGTGTTGAGCACCTACATGTACACACATTGATGGAGCCAGCGCGCGATGGCTACTCGCACCTGACATCATCACAGAATGTCGCAGCATCATATTTTTAAACAACATGCACGTACTAAACGTTCTTGTTGTAAATGTTTGTATATTATACAAACATGTACATGCATACTAGCCTTGTGTGGTTAAAAAAAACCACTTTATTTAACACTTTAAAAACACTTTATTCTTACTCCGTCCTCTGATACTGCCAAATTTCATGATTCATTCATAATCCAATAAATAAAAAATGCTGGCCCAATCAACCATTGCGGTTTCTGTACACTGTGTACATTATACTACCAAACTGCCATTTGGAAATGAAACATTATATGTCGTTCCGTGTGAACTAGACGAGACTGTTGCTGCGGATGTCACAAAACCTTAGGTAACTCGGTACTTTTCAGTACAGTGTATTCTGTGGCTAGTGCAGCAAAGTTACAACCATTTCACAAAAGCTAGGCAGTGTGCAAGCCTGCGACAAAAGGAGTTAAAAATTGGCCTACTTTTGGTAGTACATGTGTATGAACACAACATGGTTCTGAGAGAACACATATTTGGCAGCAGAATTGCTGGGCTGGGAGTGACCACACTGCTTCGCTCTTACAAGAGTAAAACTAAGTCCACAACACATGGCTGTGGCTTCCATATACACACATGCCTATGGAAGCCGCTGAAGCCGCTTCACATTGACACATGAATGACTGCCGGTCCGAGCCTAGTTGTCCGCATGTGACTTATAGTTGCTGATGGTGACAGCTTGGAATATCTAACTCTGTGTAACATCGTCCTCCAGAAAATCCTTAGCTTGATCTTTGGAGATAACATCAATGTGACTGACCTGGAGGAAAAAAATCAGTCAAGAACAATGGTCAGTGGTCAAGTAGTAAGACCACAGACATATAAACGTATAGACCGCCAGATCGTATTCAAAACTACACAAGCATTTCGTGATCTGCACGGCGCCTGGCTAAAATAAAACTATGGGCAAATTCACCTCTCGGTATAAGCAGTTTACAAACAGTTGACGAATTCCGGTCATAAAACTCTATGAAGATATTTGTTGATTGCAAACAAATTCGCTTGTGTACTAAGTCTGGTTCACATAGATTCAAAACCATGCGTTACCAAACATTTTCATGCAGATTTTGGGTAAAAAATCTTTTTATTAAAAAACGAACACACTGTAAGGTATGTACGGGTATTAACTCGAGCGCATTGCACACTTGGCACATTGAATGCGTTTCACGCGGTTTTATGCGTTGCCAACAACTGTTTTGCCCATACTTATTCAAACAACAGTTTTACGCGCACGACTGGCGGTCTATGCGTTTATATGTCTGCATAGCTGCCAACATTTCAAAATCCCAATTAGTAATCAACCCGCGCGGTCATTTTCAACTTCTCGTTTTATCGAAAGCTTTACCAACATCGAGTACAGGTACATGGTTTACATGTACACATACATGTGCATACCCTTCTTGTTGTGAATAATAATGTACTGTAGGCCAAAAGATAATTTAAAAAAAAAAAAAAAAATTAAAAAAAAAAAAAAAAAAAAAAAAAAAAAAAAAAATGATGTCTATCAGGTGCTTGACTGCATTCTTATTAGACTTGTCCAGTCCATCCATTATCGCGACATTTCGCCAGAAGTTTTCGGTCAAAAACGATACTTTACATTTTTTTTTTTTCGTTAGGTAAAAAATGGGAAATTCGTAATGTTTTAGTGGCAAATCGTATTTTCGTAATTTAACAAACAATTCGTAATAATTACGAAAAATTCGTACTAGTTGGCAGCTATGTGTCTGTGGATAAGACGTCTGCATTAGTATGCTTGTGGTTTTGTTTTTTTCACTGGCCATGTTGGTGAGGAGCAGAACCCAATAATCTCACATGACACTTAGTCACGGTTAAACTGACAAACTGAAGTGTAATGAGGGGAATTGCAATGGTCAAATGTAATTTTTTGGGTTCAAAAACTGGGTTTTTTTGAGGGGGGGGGGGAGCCCAAGGTTATGGATTTTATGTAGTAATTTTTGCATCTAGTTTTCACATGCAAATGGCAAATGTTATTGTGATTTTTTGTCTTAAAGGAAGAGAGATAGGTTCATTATGCCCAAAGAGTTTATTTGGTTTGATTATTAGTTTCTTACATGTTTTAACTTGTACCAAAGATTGGTGTTCAAACTGTTACGCGAGTTACCAAAATACATCCCTCTAGCGATTTCATGATTGATCATTTTTAGATAATGGTTAATGATGTAAAGGGCACTGAAAAGATTCTTCCAACAGTGCACAATATGAGGAAAATTTCAAATACAAGGTACATGTATTTCTATTTTGGCCAAGTCCTTTTTTTTTTGTTATGTGAGTTACCAATACAAATTGTACTGCCAAACCAACAGAACTTTATATTGTTGGCATCTTGTTTTGTAATTTAGTCACTTAACTTCAAGGGATCTTCTGTGAGAAAAATCCACCCTCACTGCTTTGACTTTATAGAATAACAGCACTGAGTTGACGGAAGACCCTCTTTACACGTAACGTGAGTTACCGTGGAATTGCCCATATAGCTTCAATCTAGCATGCTAAGAAATTGTTGTTTGCCCAATTATGAATGACAGTCAAATCAATTATGGCCATTTAAAAGCCAACTGACAATGCAAAAATGACATTTCAATACAGACCTTGTTCCTGAACTTGACGCCGTAGAATTTGTCTGCTGACTCCAGAAGCTCTGGCCTGAACGTGGTGGTGATAAACTGCGCATTGGTGGCCAACTCGTGGAGCATGTCTATTGGGAGCGATCAAGCAAACAAACAAAATCACTTTACACTGAAAAACTCTGAAATTCACCCTTTTGAACAATCCTAGTAAATTATCACTGTACATGTAAGGAGGCCCCCTTCAATGGCGAAAGCATCGCGTTAACTATTGTTCAAAGCAACTGCTCCATAACAGAATGCCTGAACGATGGCTGGCACAATGTTTTCACCATTGAAGGGGGGGGGGCCCTCCATGAGCCTACGTAACCCTGCTTTATAGGGCACTATCATGTCTATTTTGATTATCATGTCTATTTTGATTTTTTTCCAATTCAAATCAACGTAACCAAAGTGAGGCTGGAAGAAAAATAGTCTGGTTCCTTTTTGCACAAGAACCATTATCATTCAGTACTGTTGTTGGATACAGGGAATATGACTGAAATGGTGGCAGCATGATAAAGGTCCTGATAAGTCCCAAACCTGACTTCACCAAAACAACAACATGTCTTAGCTCCGTGGTGCATTGTGGCTAACACTTGAACTGTGAGACATTTCACTAAACTCGTCCTAAGTGTGACTCCTCTTAACTTGGTGTTTGGGCAATATCCATTAGAAAACAGAACAGGCTGACTGTTTCATGCATTTGCTCTGTGAACAATCAATAGCAAAGAGTCGTCAGATTTCCTTTCAAAAAGTTCTAAAAACATGAATATTTCATTGGTGGACGTTATACTACTACTTACTATTGAATTTAATTTTTTTTGTTATCCTTTGAAGCAGTGAAAGTGTTCAAAGTCTTATGAAGGCATAGCTGCCAACTTTTCAAAATCCCAATTAGTAATCAACCCACGCGGTTATTTTCAACTGCTTGTTTTATCAAAAGCTTTACCAACATCGAGTACAGGTACATGGTTTACATGTACACATACATGTGCATACCCTTCTTGTTGTGAATAATAATGTACTGTAGGCCAAAAGATAATTAAAAAAAAAAAAATTAAAAAAATTAAAAATAAAAAAAAATTTTTTTTTAAATTAATTTTGTTTTAATGTCTGTATTTGTTTGTTGAAGTCAAATAAATAATAACGTGCGCATATTTTTTTTGAGATGCATGCTATCGATGTGGAGTTTTGAGTTTGTATCATGTTTTTACACACAATGATTTAGGGCCACCGTATGCAATAGAAATATCCCGCAAACATACCTTGCAAACGCATGCTGATTTATCTTTTCTGGACGTTGTGACAAACTCGAACTCTATTACCAATTATTCCAACCATACTCTTATTAAATTCCATGATGAAAATCTCGCACTGATGGGTCTCATCCCGGCAATAAGCGACCAAATGTGCTCACGATCGTCACTGAAAAGTACTCACATACAGTACACACAACCACACATCCACGAGATGCACACAAATGGACACACCATTGAAAAATATTTTTAGTCTGGTCCTCAAGTACTCCACTGCGCACACTGAATTGATGTCTATCAGGTGCTTGACTGCATTCTTATTAGACTTGTCACCAGTCCATCCATTATCGCGACATTTCGCCAGAAGTTTTTGGTCAAAAACGATACTTCACAAGTATTTTTTTTTTCGTTAGGTAGAAAGTGGAAAATTCGTAATGTTTTAGTGGCAAATCGTATTTTCGTAATTTAACAAACAATTCGTAATAATTACGAAAAATTCGTAATAGTTGGCAGCTATGCGAAGGGTGCATAACAACTAACTTGTTGATGTGTCAGCTCAGTGGATACTTTACATTTTTAAAACACAGAAAACATATGCACAATTTGTTTGGGTCTTGTAATTGGATTCTGTTGCAAACGCATGGACAAATTGTGCCCGCGTGCAAGTTACTTTAAAACCACCTTCAGTGTTTTCTTCCAAACGATACAATTTTAGGGGGGAATAATTTTAAAGGTTAATAGGGCAAGGTTTCTATCATTAAATCAGCAGGTACATTTCTATGTATTTGCAAATGATCCTACATGGCTTTAAAATTGACTACGTAAATTGATGTTATGTTCCTGTGAGATGTACCATGGGGGACAGTGAAGCACTATTTCTGCTACGACCGCCATTGTTTAAATCATTCGTCACTGTTCGTCTGCTTTTTTACTGTGCCAATTTCGCTGTAATTTCACCGTAATAATGTCGGCAGATGACAACAGGTCGCCTCCAAAGACGAGATCAGAAATTTGATTTTTGAACAGGACAGCATCAGCACGAAGAAAAATACAGACAATTCTGTGCAAATAGTTTGCCAATTCTGCAACGCAACAGGAAGAGACCCACAATTTCAGACGTTACCAGTGACAGAATTGAAATCTATTACCATGGTATAACTTCGCCTCGGGTGCCATTTGCCCCCTCGGGTGTACAAAACACCATGGACCCTGTCACAGCAGGCAACAACTGTATTCTGTATATTGCGACATTTCCTCCCACAAGAATGACATCAAGTCTTTTCTAGGCACTGTAATTGAACAGATTTCGGAAATTCGGAATTGGAATCATGACTCTACTTTCTGAGGCATTGACTACTTGTAGCCAAATCCAAGTTCCAAAGTTGATTCCAGATGATTCTGGAGACGGAGAGACTTCAAGATGAGTTTAAAGATCAGGCAATTTTGGCATGGATTCTAAGTAGTACATCACAGAGCAGAGTGATCTGTTTTATTCGTGAACTAGGATAAATCTCATGATTAAGATGGCACTTACACCTCTTGTTGTATCAGCAATACAATGTATACTAATACATTTCATCTGTGTTTTTTTAACGTTTATATTTATTTATTTTTTTGACTGATTTCCCCTTTTTTTGGCCTGGAAAATATGGAGTCAATTTTAAAGCCACGTAGGATCATTTGAAAATACCCGGAAATGTACCTACTGACTTAACCCTAAAAGGGCCGGGGGGGGGGGGGGGGGCGGAATCCGCCCCCCCCCCTCAACATTTTCCGTGATAGCCTATAAAAAATTTTTTTCGCGACCCGAGCTGTTATGACTTTTTAGCCTTGAGCTTTGCGCATCTTTTGATACCAAAACCATAAAAATCGGACCACGGGTTGCCGCGTAGCGAAAAATTTTCCGGCGCTACGCGCCGTGAAAACTGAATGTTCGCATATAAGTCGTGTACACAGAGCAGAATTGCCATTCGTACATATGAATAATTAATTAGCCATAATTCCAAAACCCTTTGACCTATAGTCATGAAATTTATTGGGTATGTCAAGGAAGAGTTGCTCTATGCATGTATCAAGTTTCATTACACAATATTTTTCGTCACTCGATGGCCGAGATCTTAGGGGGGGGGCCGAATCCCCCCCCCCCCCCCCCACCGGCTGAGAGATGGTCAAAATAACCCGGCCCCTTTAGGGTTAATGATGAAAACCTTGCCCTATTAACCTGGAAACCTATTCCACCAGAAATTGTATTGTTTGGAAGAAACCAACCGAAGGTCATGTTAGATCATTTGCAATAATCCAAAAATGTACCTACTGACTTAATGATGGAAACTTTGCCCTATTAACCTGGTAACCTATTCCACCAGAAATTGTATTGTTTGGAAGAAACCAATTGAAAGTCCTGTTAGATCATTTGCAATAATCCAAAAATGTACCTACTGATTTAATGAATGATGAGGATGAATGGTGTTTCAAGAAGAGGAGGATTTTGGAGGATTGCATTTAGAGGGACAGGATTTTGAAGGATTGAGACGCTGAATATCCTTCGTTTGAACGCAAGTTGCAAAATTTTGGAGGATTTTGGAAGATTGAGGATGGTTCATAGCCAAAAGGGCCTAGGTCGTTAGGGTTAACCATTGAGCTGAAACATCAGCAAGTTTTTGTTTTGCTCCCTGCATAAAACCTTTAACACTTTCACTGCTTGAAATTAAAAAAAACATGTGTACCTTTAAGCAGCATCAAGACTTCTGGGTAGAATTGGAATTGATTCCAAGCCTAGATATTTAATGAGTGTCTATTTTAATTCCAGTATGTACAGTATGTTGTTAACAAATACCCACCAGCCACAGACTTCCTGTGCTGAGCGTCCAGCGCAGAGTCTATCTCATCAAAGAGGTAGAATGGCGCTGGATCGCACTTCTGGATGGCAAAGATTAGCGTGAGGGCCACCAGTGACTTCTGCCCGCCACTCAGCTGCTGCATTTCCCTGGTCTCACTGGTTTTACCAGAGAAGGACACCTGCAAACAAGGGTGGGGTGGGGGTAAAGTCAGGGTCACAGAAACACATCGTAGATAACTCAGCAGGAGTTGAGTCCAAGTGATAGTTTAGGCAAAAATGAACCCGAATTTGTATACGTAATGTAAAGTTGCAAAAAGTTGAATATATTCTAATTCTGAGGAATTTCGCCATTTAAGTTTTACTGTGTCAACTTTACTTGGCCCAGAGGAAGACCAGCCTAACGGTGGGAGGACTGAGTGAGGTCCGATGGCACAGCACGAGGACCGAGCTCACTAACAGAAGCTACCAGACTAACCAAAGATAGGAAGAACTGGCAAGAAACCATGGAGCACAAGCCAGCGCACAGTCCTGGACTGGTGTGAATGGCGTTAAGGTCAACTTTACACGGCATTCCTTTTTGCATTATGTATGAACTGGCTTTAAGTCAACCGAGTTAAGGTGAAAATATTTGTTGTGATAACAAGAATCAGGATTTAAGGTCAAGAAGCACACACTTCCCGAAGAACAAACGGCCCACGGACTCTGTGCGCCACTATCACAGTAAAATATCTAGCCCAAGGACCCTTGTATTATTCAATCTTTCACATTTCTACTGTACCACATAACTTTGAAGGTTTGAAGTTAAGCAGGGAAATATTTCAGATAGACCGTTTACCTTAATGCCCACACCAGTGAACTGTTCAACAAGAGGGACACCAGCCTGCGATGACTCTCCTTCCAGCTGCAAATGCAAATACAATCACACACTTCAAAATGCTTGATTTTTTATATCTGCTGCCAATTGCACGACGCTTCTTAACAAACATACAAAAAAAAACTGTGCAGAGAAAATGTGCCAATTTTTAAGTGTATTTCATAGCTTGTTCAGGCTGAAGGGTTTCTTTCTTACTCTAAGTTTAACTTTTGAAGTTTGCCTGCTCCTTGCCTGCTCCTTGCCTGCTCCTTGCCTGCTCACAGTTTCTATCAACATATGCTTATCAGCACAATGAAATTACCTCCAGAGAGCTTCGTTCCATTCTTTTAATAAACTATTATTAAACTGATGTGATTGAGAACAGGAGCATGCTTTAAAGGTAACATACAACATTTGCAAACATTGGAAAAACAAACTTACCAAATTATTGTGAAATACCTTACTGGACTGTTAGTGAATGACATGCTGTCATTTTCAAGAAAAGTGGAATTTCTGTTTCTGGTTGGCAGACCATCGTTGGAAAAAAACTGACTTTTTTCAAATACTGCGCCCAATTTCCCAAATTAAGTTAGTCCACATTTTTTTTTGCAACTACTTACACATCCATCAACGGGTGCAAGCCAGCTAGTCTGGTTCCCTGACCTGACAATTCCCCAACGTCTATACATTGCTCTGTTTTGTCTGAAGTAGTGTCAAGGAACCAGACTACAAGAACGGCATTTTTTTTCCTTGGTTTTCCAGCAACTATGAAAACAATTCTTTAAACTGGTCAGTGTAACAATATTTACTGTAAAATACTAACCCCCAAATTCATCCATTTCTGGAAAAAAACGCCAAAGCAAATGCTGTATATTGTCTTTAATGCAAAAACGTATTTTTCTTAGAAAAAAAAAAAAAAACAGTCATGAAACCTTTGGCAAACAGCGTACTCTTTACAAATGAAACACTCCAACAATTAACAACGTGGCTAATCAAGTTGTACAACCGTATTTCGTTAGGGAAATAAAAATAGCCTTCACTCTCTTCTTGCAAAGAGCACACAAACGTAGTTTCAATTTTTGTTTAATGTCATACAATGACCTCTGACCTCTTGTGAGGATTCACTGTCCCCTTTCTTCATGACCAGTGTAGCCTTGCCGGCGGGTACCAGTTTATTGAAGACTTCACTGAAGTACTTGGAGACTTGTTTGAAGGTGAGCTGAATGGCCTCATACTTGCGCAGCTCCAGTACATTCATCAGGTCTGTGATGGACTGGTAAAAGAAGACCAACCATTAAGGATTAATTTTCATAACAACCAAAAAAGGGCCAAGAGCGGGCTAGTTATTTGTGTGGCTTTGATATGTAGTATTTATTCATGTTACTATCACAGTGCGACTAGCATTTTTGCATCATTTGCACACCTCTTTAACATTCTTGACCGTTTAATTTAAACTCAAAAGAGAAACGGAACCTAAGGCAGGAGATGCAGAAGGTCATGTCTACCAAGCGAGCAAATTCTATTTTCCTACACATCATGGTAATTTAGTTGATTTGCGAAACAATTAGCTCAGCCTGTTATCCTTACATGAAGCACAGTTTTGCGGGAATAAGAGGGCAAACCTTTGTTCCTCAGACCGACCAAGTGACTGACTGAATGACTCACTAAAATATAATCTATGTCCTACGCTGCAGCCTTTAGGTCTTGCTCGATTCGGCAAGCCTAGTCTTGTTTGAAATTGATGAATTGTACAACTTACTGCATGCCCTTTGTCCAGTTCCTCCTTGCGATTGATGAGCTTCTCCTTCTGGTCTGAGAAGTTGACAAATTGGTCCAGGGCCTTCTTGTTGACGTGGCTATACTTCTTCAACTCAGAGTTACACTGCTCCAGTTTCTTGAACAGCTGCTTCAGGGATAGGTGGGTGTACTTCTCGAAGGCGTCGCTTGGCAGCGAGCCAAGCTCACGGATCTTCCGCATGCATTCTTCTTTCTGTAAGTTGTTAAAAATAACAGGTCCAAATGTAAAAATGATGGATGGTAGGCAGAGCCAAATAATATAACTGTTCCTTTGAATGTGAAAAACTGCATTCTGTCATGTTTCTGAAAGCCTTGCACATGGTTGAGTGTCAGGTGGAGTGTCATGGCCTAGCGGTTAAGAGCACTGGACTCGTGCTCTGGTGTTTCAGAGGCAACAGTGGCGTGGGTTCGAGCCCGGGCCCGGACACTTGTGCCCTTAAGCAAGGCACTTAACCATTATTGCTTCGTCCCTCGGAAGCAATAAGGGATGGGATGTTAAGCCGGAGGTCCCGTGTGTTGTATAAAGCCTAACACACATAAAAGAACCCAGTAACACTTATCGCTAAGAGAAGGGGTTTGCCCTGGTGTTTCTGGCCTCCTAGTTATACTCCCTTGTGGAAGTCCTTAGGAGAAGAACCCACCAAGTACCAAGTACATGGGGTGAATTATTTTTGTCACTCAGTTGGATATGCAAATAACCTTCACAGGGAGTGTGTAAACTGCGTTGTACGAATTGCAAATGAGCAATTGCAACACGATCATCCTAGAGCTGCCAATATTAACTACCAAGGTCAATACAAGAAAAATCTACGGTAGCACCTTGTCAAAAATCTCTTTTGTGAGTTTCTGAAAAGAACCAGGGGAACTCAATCTTTCGGACAGTATGCTCTGTCCGTCGTCAGGAGACAAAAGGGATTCCAACGGTGAAGGGGTGTTATATAGAGATTTGTTACAATCTTTATCTTATTGCTCCCTTCACCATGCAAACCTTAAAATCTAACAAGAAAAATCACAGATTTGTTTTTAGTTTGGATGGTGCCGTTAAATTACTGGTTTTGAGAGAATTATGACCAACTTGGCCCACAACAACTACTGGTAACGCTTGCGTCAGTTATTCAGTAACAAATTTTGGTTTGAATAATCGTAAACCACTTGGTGAAAGTTAAGGTTTTCTTTTAGAAAGCGCAACTGCATGCACGAAAAAAATGATCATCCAAAAAACATTTAAACCCTTTGAATGAAACTTATTAAAAGGAAGACAGACGAACTTGATAAAAATAAAGTCAAGACAAACGTTCTAAAAGGTCAATGGATGGTTGTTTTTTGTACGTTTTGTTGTAGGCGTTATTTATATTTCCCGACTGATGTAAAATTAAATCAGTTGTTTGAAAAGGGAACAATCTACTGATCAAAATAAATTTCAATTGTACACTCTTGGGATGATGACTGACCTTCTTAAGGAGCAGACTCTGTTTATTGGTCATCTTCTCCAGAGCCTTGGTGTCATTGTTGATCTTGTCCCCAAAGTCTCGTTCCTTGTTCTTCTTGTCCTCCAGGTCAGATTGCTTAGTCACCTGTTCCCGGTTCAGGCTCTCAATCTGGCTCTCGAAGTCCTCGATACGGGCCTTGTTGGTCTCAATAGACATCTCTGTGCCTTGTAACTCCGCCAGGCATGTCTCCAGCCGCTGGGTGCGGTCTTCCACTGAGATCTCTTGCAGCTCCTGAAAGACCATACAAAACTTGTATTACATCAAAGAGTAAGGTCAAGTGAGGACTATGGCTAACCATGGTTCGATGAGCTTCACTCAAACACAGGATGATTAGACTACTCGACTGGTGGACTATTTGGAACCGAAGCTTAGGTCACATTTCCATCACTGGTCACCAATAGCCACAGGCACTATGATGCACAGCAGGGAGCCAGGATAAAGAAGCTTCACCATGATGTTTTGACCATCATTTGACTACAGCCGTTCACACGTTGCTTTTAGTGCGCATGCATAAGTTGCATCACATATCAACCAGTAGTTGACAAATGGTCCTTGCCCGAACATGCTCATAGCTCCCAACTTTAACTGATTTTCAGTAGTAACAAAACCAAGTGGTGATTTCTAAACTGCATACATACAATGTAGTTTAGAGCGCAGCACATGGCTTTATTACTACTGAACATTTTTAAAGTTGGGTTTCACCTTGTAAATGTACTTTAAAGTACAATATCATGGTACAAACACGAACATTAGTAATTTTAAACTTGTAACCCTACATTAATGATTTTAAACTTGTCATTTGCATCAACTTTGACATTGGTGATAATTGATTAATTGCAATACACAGGTAGATAAAGATAAACTAATTAATCTGTGTTTCAGGATTCACTAAATTAGCATTGGTACATTGAAATCATCCTATTTTCAATTCCAAATACCATATGCTCATCAAATATTTTTGATTGCAGGGTAGTTGTTCAGAATCCTGCAACTTACACCCGATATAATCTCAGCAACTTGTCATGAACTTGTCCCAGATATGATGTGAGACGGGCCCTGATTTGAATATCTGGTTTTGCCCTTCAATTACAGATTTTTTTAATTCAACACTTGAAAACTTGACTTAACACTCAGCTACTTACAGCTACTAAGCGCTCTCGTTTGCGCATCAGATTACCCGACAGAAGGTTCTCAATCTTGTTCTTTTCACCTTCAAGCTGTTGACAGAGAAACATAAATTATTAGTTTTGACAAAACAATTATTGTGATGTGAAAAAAAAATGGAATAAGCGGTATCTGCTTTGAGGATATATCAATAAACACTAACTTTCCCTCACTGCGGACAATCAATTTGAAATTCTAACTCTGTTCCCCTATTACTCAAATTAGGTTGTGCTCTTCACCGACGTTTTAAACACTGTATACTCAGTGTGTTACCTCCGGAGTGAAAGTTGGGAAAAATCACTCGGGTGGGACTCGAACCCACGACCTCCTGCTTTCTAGTGCAGATGTCTTACCACTCCACCACCTAGCTAACGGGAACGGTTGGCCGGTTCGAATCTGATGTACATAGCAGCCGGTACCGCATAAACTATTATATAATATGGAATTTTGCGTCGGGGGGATATAAATCAAATTAGGTTTTGCCCTTCACCGACGTTTTACATCGCCCCGACGCAAATTTTTTTTTCAGCATCTATGAACACAATCAGTGTAACAATATTCTCTATAATATTCCAACCTTTGAATCCATCCATTTCTGAAAATTACAGCAAAAGCAAATGTTGTATATTAACTCTAAATCATATTTTCAATCAATGAAAGCAAACAATCCTGGAGGACTAAGAAGGCCTTGATGACCTACCCTGATCCTGTCTGCCAGAGCTTGTTTGTTCTGCTGATTCAGCATCTTGATCTCATCGTTCAGACTGTCTACCTCACGCTGGTCACCAACGCTCAACTGAGACAGTAAGTCCGTGCCTGCAAGACAAAACACATACATGTAAAAAATGTTAAAAATGTAAGACGATTTTTTTTTCTCCAAATACATCACCAGAAAACTCCAAGGTTTTTTTTTTAATGGTCAAAGGCCCATGCGCACAACAGCATAGGAAAAGTTTCAGCCAAATGATCCTTGAAAACACTAGTCTAAACATGGATTTCATATTATGTTCATCATCATCCACAAAAAATGCTAGCATATACATGGCAACTGTAACCTATCTCGGGCTTTAACCCTAACCTTCGCAAATCCTCAAAAATCCTCTTTGCGAGATGGAGGATTTTGCAGGATTGAGGCTATATGGCAACAATGGCTGATTTTGGAGGATGCACTGTGTCAAGGTCTTGGGCCGGACCTTGTGTTGTTTATGTTCAGATCAGCAGTGCATAAATTTAGGCCTAGATTATACTTCAAAACCTCCGCACTGCTCCAGAATGTCACTGGTTCTGCCTCAACATATTGACGGTGATTGCTGGAGGATTTTGCAGGATTGAGGCAGTGGTCACCCCTCCAAGGACCACATTCAAAAAATAACGGATGATTTTGGAGGATTCAGGCTGTATGCAACTTAATACACGGAGGCAGTTGGAGGATTGACGTTGCATCTTAGCAAAAATACCTTGGGAGTTAGGGTTAAAATATGGCCTTACAGGCAATACAGTCACACACATTCCCACTAAGGAGTCATCTCAATAAATATCCAAAGCGGGCCCACTGTATCGGGTGTTTGTAGGATTCGGACCAATTTCAGTCAATGAACTTATCGGCATTGTTTACAAACTGATAACTTCATAACATGGAGATTTCGTGGAAGTTGTTCAGAATCCTCCAACACATACTTGATACAGTGGGCCCATTCCGGATAAAATTCCATGCGACTTATCCCCGATATTTATTGAGATGACTACTAAACCTAAGGAAATGTATCTACCTGGTTCGTGAGTGACGTCATTTCAACTTAAACCGCGCCCTGTGCACACAGGGCATTGAAACTCATTGGAACCATTGGAACCGAAGTAGTGCAAAATGGCGTGTTTAGCCAATGGGCGCTAGTAATCAGTGGTGCGTGCACGTGTATGACGCAGTCACTTACTAACCGGATTGTCCAGCCCACCCCTAAATCCAAAGATTCACATACCATTCAACCAACCACTCTTCTAATTTCCCAAAACCCAGTTCGGTTGAACCTGCCAAATAGGGAATTAGCCAAGACTAAATATGCATAGGTGTACACCAAAATAGATTTTCTCAGAATGAGCATCTTCCATCACTACCATTACGCCAAGTAGAAGCACTCACCGATTTCATCGTCCAGGGACTGGGCAGATCCCTTCATGGCTTCCAGGCTGGTAATGAGACTAGACAGACGCCTCTCCTTAGGGGTCAAGGCCCTCTGGATGACCTGGCTCTCTTCCTTCATGATGCGCATATCACTCTTCATCTTCTCGTAGATGTCCCTGGTAACAAACACCAAAGACAATGATACATTAAGACGAGTAGTTTACAATGACTGTGCACACCAAGAGGCTACTACACAGAGGCCATTCCAGTATGCATTGTTGGAAAACATTTGCATCTGTAGATATTACCCAAGGATATATATTCTGCACTAGACTTGGACCTGATACTTTTCAGTTCTTTGGTTATGTACCACCCCAAACCGCCCTACTTGTTACTCCCTGTAGCGCCCAAAACCGCCTGGCACTCTTATGATTTTATAAGTCATCAGGGAATATTAAAATGTAATACAATGTAGTTCAAGTGCTAATGGGTTAAACAATGATGGTTGTTACTTATGCGCATTTGAGTGACAAGGGACAGCATTACACAAGAAATCCACTGTGAGGTTGAAATATGGCCTCTTCGGTGACAATTGATAACACACCGTGTTGTGGATAACTCCTATTCCATGAGTAATTCCTCATTGCAATAGAGTTAACTATCCAATATTTTGTTCAATCATGAAGGCTTAACACGAAATTGCCCAGAGCGAGATTCGCACCTGGGACCTCTAGAATGCTGTACTGGTGCTCTACCAACTGAGCTTGCAAATCCGTTTCCTTTTCCCAATTTGTCCATGTTTTAGCTCAGGGGACACTGTTTTCTTCTTCAATAAATGAGGCATAGTAATATCCTTTGTCTTGATACTGACTTGTTCTTCCTATTCTTGGTCTCCATCTTCTGCATTTCACTCATGAGCTGCGTCACGTCCACCTCCACCTGTTGCAGTTTCTCCCGTAGTTCCTCGTACTCTTGCTCCTCTCGGCTCAGCTTCTGGCGCAGTTCCAAGATGCCGCTCTGCAGCTCCAAGCGCGACTTGCGCGTGTCGTAGTAACCGCCGGTGATCGCACCGCGGCGACTGACTTGATCACCTAGGCACAGGGGACAAGTAAGTGTTATCCGTCACACCAAGTTTCTAAAACACGTTCCAAACTGGTGTTCCAGACTCCTGTCAATCCAACTACATGTAGTAACAGGAGGAACTCGACTTGAATTGACCAAAAAAGATTTTGACCTAAACAGATTTTGACCCGACTCTGAAGTTGTTCCGATTGACTGCAACGGTCGATACTTGGTTATAGTTGCTCCTGACCGTTTCAACTGAGGAATTGATCATGTACTTAATTTAAAACTACAGATTAAATTAGGTTTGTTGCTACTTTGGTGCGCAAATGTAAAAAGGTTGCTTATTGAAACAATCTTGGGGCGCTGTGGTCTAATGGTTATGGTGTTTGGCTCATGTGCCGTGTTACCATGGGTTCAAACCCTGATGGGGAACATGGTGCTTGTGTTCTTGGGTAAGACACTTTTTTACAATTGCCTCTTTCCACCCAGGAGTATAAATGGGTACCTGTGAGGGTACAGACCAAATTGAGCTGATCTCGAGTTGGTGCAGAAAAATGGTCTCATTCCTGATGAACAGTAATAATAATAGTAATGCGCTTTGAAACCATAAAATCCATCAAGAATGGAGACCTTCAAACAAAGATATGTTCATGATTGAGTGGCTTGCCCTTATGATGTCCTCTATTCTTAAAAAATTAGGACATTTCATGAGAAAAGTACATCTTACTTTTACAATTTTGGTTTAGAAACATGCACAAGACATCAGCCAAAAAGTAACGAGTTCTCAGTGCCAAAACTGTGTGGGGGTGATATCATAAAAAATGTACAGGGGCCCCCAATTCTGAAGAATAAATAGAGCACTACGGAGAGAAAGTTCCTTTTTTAGATAGAAAATGCATTTACAATGAAATGATAATAGTTGTAAGGATCGTTATTATAACCATTCACATAACTATAGCTTGGCAATTTGCTGGGTGGTTTCCATGTAATTACTATGCAAAAGAATTTTGGGGTACAAAATTTTGGTCCTCAAAACTTGGTTCAAAATTTAACGCTTGAAATATGTATAACGTCAGATGTAAGCAAACAAGGATCTCCAATGATTGCTCCATAAATGTACGACATTATATTGATTTCCTGTTGCGACGTATACCTTTAAAATAAGGTAAGCAAACAATCATAAACATGAAACGTTTGCGAAATTTGGCCAAATGTGCATGTCGGACAATTCAATGTAAGGTACACGTTATGTGTACAAGTTCCATTACTTGCACCACCAATACACAAGTGTTAACTGTTTCCCGCACTGCTCCACACTGCATGTGATGCACCCGCACTGTACATATACTTGGCATGCAGCGCGGCCGGAGTGGTGGCAGACAAGTTCCCATAGCTCACAAGCAAACTCCCACGCAGACTGACAAAGCTGCAGTCAATTGATTAATCTAAAACAATAGCAGGTGAACACACATACATTTTAATTGACATTTTCAAAGGAACATGTGCAACTGGAATTACGAGTAGCACCCAAACAGCTCAATTTTTTGAGAGTCAAAATTTTGACCCCTCAAATTTGTTCTCGCAATTTTTGAGATATGGTTGTGTTGATGTTGATATTCTGCTTTTAAATATTTTTTCCAAATAATAAAAAAAGGCAGTTTGTAGCCCGATTCACGCAATTCACAATGCAGTGCGCCACCGAGAGTTTGCCATGGAGAGTTCATCTTTCCCAGTGCATTGTGGGAGATAGTTAACAAATTCGCAGTGCGGGACATTTGACATTGTTTGTTTTTCCGGTCAGTAGTTTCGTAAGCGTATGATTCGAGTATCTGTTTGCCCTTTTCTTTTCTTTTTATCAATATGTTTTTTGTAAGGCAGCAGAACGCTATGCCCCAATCTATAACAAATTAGCTCAAGCTGTCTACTGACACACTCATTCAAATGGGCCACGTTTTGTCCACTGTAAACTTGATAAGGCCTTTTTTTTTAATTACTTGGATTACGGAATTTTTGGGTCCCCATTTCCGGCGGCGAGCGGGAAATGAAAAAAAAAAAAAAAAAAAAAAAAAAAATGGGGGCGCCCTATCATCCAACATGGCGGCGCCCATAGAGACATGAAGAAACAAAAACGGGCACGAGAATGAACAGTCACTGCATTTTCAAAACCACGGTTTCAAAGAAATAGTGACCATGGAGTGACCAACGGCCCTTTCCTTTCTTTATTTCTTCAAACCTGTGCAATAATTGGTACTGGCGTATATTTTATGAGTTTTGTAATGCTCTGTGTACAAAGAATGGCAGCAACTAAATGAAAAACCGTGGCTCATAACAAACGCGTAGACTGTAGGTTCCGGGTGCTGTGGCATCGTGAACGTACATGACGTGACCCAGTACAGTGCATAGCTAGCTAGGTTGTCCGATTCCATGCATGCACCAAACAGGTCAGAGGACTAGACCACTATTCACTACGGGGGAGCGGTATAGTTTCACTGTACATGTACTGTTGAACAGAACGTGACCCGTAATTTCAGAATATCTAAAGTATATATTTCTAACAACGCCTTTCCAAACATCTCCTTTAGAACAATAGAAATACACATTTTACACAAAAGGTGCAAAGGTACGACTTTACTCACCCCTACATAATAAATGTTGCGACCCGAGCACCAAACACCTCAAACTTGACGCAACTTTAGCCAATTTTTCTCAAATTAGACGTTTAAAGCAAAATCAGAGTATAATACACATAAGAATATATAGGAATAACAAAGTCGGTGTAACAATAAAACAAAATCAAAGACAACGCTAGTTTGTACTTTACGCTAATGTTTCAACATAGCAGACATGGAAGATCTGGTTCCTATTGCAATGCATGCATTGCACACTGCATGCATTGACAGCGCGCGGCCTGGCCATGCACAATATTTACGGCCACGTGTGGTCTGTGCACGGACTCACCATGTGCACCATACATGGCTGCGCGCGGCCCGCACGGCACAGTCTGTAGTCGTCGCCAGTCTAAGTCATGTCGTTCGATCAAACCAGTACTAATACTATGGTTTACAGGCCTGGACAGCGCGCAATATAGAGTTTTTTGTACAATAGGCACATTTTTTTTTTTTTTTTTTTTTTTTGGGGTAGTCAGAATCGACAATTTCCGGCGGCGATTTTTTTAATTTTTTTCAAAATTCCGATTTTTTTCGGCGGCGATTCCGTAATCCAAGTAATTAAAAAAAAACGGCCTAAAATGGACTCTCCATGGCAAACTCTTGGTGGCGCACTGCATTGTGAATCGCCCGAATTGGGCACTTTCCAAAATGCTGTGTCCCTTTAAGTGACATTTTCTTCTAACAATGTTGTTATTCTGTATTTGAAATACCTTCCAGGGTGACACAGTCTAGATTCTGTGTTCTGGAGAACTGCGTTGCCACATCAATGCTGCGACAGATGAGCGTTTTGCCAAAGACGTGGTTCAGTACAGCCTTAAACTTGGCGTCAAACTGGAGGTTGTGTAACATGGGCAAGGCATCCTGTGGATCAAGCACAGCTTAGTTAATCAAGCTAGCAATCATATGAAGCAGCAAAGACATTTATCTTTGAAAAGATTTGTTAGAGCTTTTCAGATTTTTATATTTTCTTAAATATTCAAAACATGGATAAATGTAAAAACTTTTGACTACTTGACTCACTAGTAACGATAAATGTCTGAAACGCTTTTGCTCTGAGAAAAATGTTTAAAACTGAACAATGATTGACATTGTTCACGTTCCAGACATTTTGTCTGGAACAAAACCCATTTCGGACATTTCTGGTTCATATTGACATACATTTTGAGTCCAAAAGTGCGACATTTTCTGGTGTCCCTCTTACACCTGACCTGTGTAATTTGTCATTCAAATTGGCTTCACACTATCTTCATTTGTTTGGCAGGCACTTTGCTTTATATACTCACTCTTGGAGATAGAAGGCATTCATGAATGTGTCCTGAATTACAAAATCTCATTCATGTCAGATGTAACAGGGACCCAACAAATTGGACCCAGCTGATACGTTAGTGAGATGGAGGAGATAAGCCTGCAATTTGACGCCCTGTGTGCTATTTCAAAGCTGTGTGTCGCCTAGTTGTTTGTTTCTGTACAAATGTTATTTTGCCTTTTGAGAAAGGTCCTGCCAGAATCCGAAACATTAAGTCCTCTAATATTTTGGATGTGTATATTTCATTTTCATTTTTAAAATCTCCACGGAATTCATTTCTTACTTGAATCTGCACAATCTCTCAACGAATGCCGGAACCTCCCTATTTTCAAAATTGTCAGGGACCGACTAGAATGAACTGTTTGGGACCTAGAATCAGCAACTAATTTCAATTCCCAAAACAAACTGGCGCTACAATTTCAATTCCCAGTTTGCATTTGACTCTGGTAAATAGTCACCGCGCCATATATACAGTGAGAATGCCTTGGCAGTGCCAGTGGGGTCGAGGGTCAAACTTACCGGGGATTCTGGGTATTGGGTCTCTCTGTCTTCAAGACGGTTGAGAGGGAAGAACGTGACCTCGCCAGGCATCTTGGATTTGTTCATCTCGGACAGGATTTTAGTGCTGATGACGTCCGTGTCAACGATGTGGTAGAACAACCTGCGAGATAAATGGAGAGTGATCAATGCCATGCTCATCAGGTCTCATATTCACAAACTACAATGGTGAGTAGCCAGAAGCTTGCTCTAGTATTCTGAAGGGGGGCCAAAGGAAGACAATTGGGAGGCCAATTCCCCCCCCCCCCCCCCCCCCATAGCGTCGCTACTGGCTAAGAGCCAAGGTCTTTTCAATGGCTACAAAAAGACGAACACAAGGATTGTTTTACCTGTACCCCAAAAGCACGCATTAAGGGTTGAATGCAGAATGTGGAAATGGGCAGTTCCGTAAAATTCCACGTACGTCCGTTCACATGATGTACATGAACATGGTCGTTAAGATGGTGGTACGTTAGTTTAGTCTGTAAATTTTGTTTTCTACTCATTAGATGTCACATATTAGTGATGTATCACATTCCCTTTTCGAACAGCAGCTCAATAAAGTGTCTGCCATGTACATCCAAATTTACAGAATTGCCCAATACAGAACTTGTTCACATGTATAGGTGAAATAATACCACATTCATCTGAATCCCCCACCTGTTTCCTGCGGTGACCTCAGTGCAGGTGTTGAAGCGTGAGGCACACTGGAAGTTCTCGATCAGGACGCCGTGGTAACCTTCCAGCTCCCGGGTCATGCCCTTTGACCTGAAGGTATCCAGGACTCTCTTGATGCTGTCGATGCCACGCAGCACAGCCTGCAAACACAATCAAGCCCAGACTACATCATGACTTTTCAAATGCACCAAAAATGCCACATACACTTTTTCAAGCATAATTGTACAAATGTTGACCTATTTTTTCAAAGAAGATTTTCTGTGCTTCGTAAACTTTTGTGTCAAACAACTGCATGACATAGGGTCCAATTCTACCAAGTCTACCTGAACACTCCTACTTCCTACCTTGCCAGTCATGGAGCGAAGCGTCTGTTCTTTCTTGTGTAGTTCTTCCTTGGTCGTTGCTATCTCCTGCTGAATGCTATTCTCTTGTCTCCACAGGGAACTTTAAGAAAAGCGGAGATACAGTTTGAGAAATCTGGTTTATGAATTCCCATAAATCAGAAAAGTTCAGTTTGAAAAAATTAACAACTGAATTTATTTGTTTCTTTGTTCAAACTACTTTACTTGGCCCATCCTATCTTACATCTGAAAACCATTTATTTCACACAAAGTGTTGCAAATTCATTCCCATTCTCGGATGTACCTTCATTAAAAAACCCTTTTTAGGAGGCCTTTTTTTCTTTTTCATTTAAATAGGGTTTCACCATCAGCTGACAGAATACTTTCCCATGAAGCCCTGTGGGTTGGAGGTAGGGCTGTCCCGAATATACCAAATATTTGAATATTCGATCATCAACCGTATATTCAAATAGCTATTTGCTGGTTGGAATATTTGAAAGATAAATCACTAGCATACATGTACACACATGATTCTGATGTTGTTTTAATCCTAAAGTTGCTGTGCTTTATTGTCCGATGCCAATTTTTGTTGACAGTAACTGTTTTTGTTTACAGTGGCTCATTGTTCCCATACTTTTAGCAGGTTAACAGTCCTTGTGATTTGAAAATCACAGGCCTGTGGAAAAAGGCACACCTGGATTTTTTTAGGCGTGTGATTTTTCTAGGCGTGTGGTTTTCTAGGTGTGTGATTTTGTGGTCCAGGGAAATTTAGGCGTGCAATTAATCACACTTCTCGGGAAGCTTCTCGGGATGGCGTGGGGTTGCGATTGCACACCTCAAATCCAGAAGGACTGGGTTAAATCCATCGACAGCTATAAACTACTAACTACAAAACACTCCTACTTACTACAAAACACTCCTTGCCACGCGCTTATTTCAAAGGGAGCACACAACTTCTGACAGGTGCAGCACGTAGTTTCGATCAATCAAACGTAGTTTCGATCAATCAAATATTAAATGGACAGCCCTAGTTAGAGGTTGGATGTTCATGGAGATTGGGCACTGTTGGAGTGGGCAGAGCAAAGTGAGTTGGACAGCTTGAGAGTGGTATGGGGAAGGGTAGACAGACTACATGCTTCATCTTGTACATTGTGCGACCAGTGTCTGTGTGGGATCTCATTACTTGAGATTTTAATACTTTTCACTTGAGTACTCCATAAAATACTTGTACTCAGAGGTCCAAGTACTTGAACTCGGCTTCACAAAACTTGTACTTGAAGGTCCAAGTACTCGTTCTCAAGGGTCACTTATTCAGATGTGACTGGTATTTGATAGCTTGATACTCGGCAGTACTTCTACTCTGATAACAGTACTGGACTACAACACTGGCAAAGACTCCCATTACAGTGAATTTGAGGGTGCTCATTTACCTAAAAGAGGATAAGCTTGGTATTCAATATTTTACAGGAACCTCGTGATACTAAAGGCAAACAGTAAAGTGTTTGGAGGATGTAGTAGAGCAAGCGTTTACTCACTTTCTCTCGTTCTGAAGTTCGTCTTTGCGTTTCTTCTGATCGTAGTGACTGCGGTTGGAGGTGTCCACTGAATCCTTCATCTGTTCAATGTCGATATTCAGCTTAGCCATTCGGACCTCCAGGTCTTCATTCTTCTTCATGTCGGAGGCGATGTCTTCCCGCTGACGTGCAATCTGGGACAAAGGTGCCGGACAAAAAAAACACCTAACATTAAGTTTTTCATTCTTGTATGTCAATAAAGAATTATTTCTTAAAGGGACCATAACTTTACATTGTATAAATACATCCTAAGGTTTAAGCTCAAGTCATCAACTCCAAGTCAAGTGACTGGCTCTTCAAATGAACGGTGGCATAACTTTTTTTCTTTTGGTGGAATTTAGCGCATGTCAGTTGGACATGCCAATGCACAGTACAATGGTACTGTTATCAATAGGACGTGGTTAAAAAATGCTATCAGTCTGAGGTCATCCGATATCCGTTTACAAACTCTGAATGCCCAAAACAGCCATTGTGTAAATTATAGAATTTTCAAAGAAGATCTTGGATTTGAAACTTACTTGGTAAAATTAGATGCAAAAGAGCGTATTAGCTTATGTAAATTCAGATGTGGTAACCACAGGCTGCCTGTCGTTAGTGGTAGGTTCCAAAATATAAGTAGGGATTGTCGAGTTTGTGTACTGTGCCAACAAGCAGGGTTCTCCCCAGGATTTTTTCAAAACTGTGGGGGAAGTTTTGTTGTGATTCACCAACCTGCAAAATTTTGAACTTTAGAGGCCCTCTGGTGCATTTTATAGAGGAAGATTTTTCCTTAAAATTTAGAGGAGATCTTGTGATATTTTTGGTAATTAAAGATAAACAAATATCAAAATGTTTTACTTTAAAAAAATATCAACATTTCAAAACCTGTGTTAAAACTTCCTGATCTAGAAAGTATGTACAAGCAAGTTTCAAATTAAGAAATTAAGGTGAAGAAAAAAAAATCAATTTTGCTTCTGATTACATGCCTTTCAAAATAGCGTCTGTAGGTCGAAAAAATTATTTCGCCAATTTTTTTGGCTGCCGATTGAATCATGGAGAAATAAAAACACGTGATTGAATGGATTATATTGAACAAAAAATCATTTAGTTTTGTGCCTGGATTATTTTTCTTTGCACCACGAAAATTATCAAGACTGACCATCAAAAGTGATTAAAACTTGCCTCACCTAATTAAAAATATATTTGAGGTGGTTGACTCCACTATATGCTTAACGTACATCACGGCCCCTGGCGCCGTCAACATTCAGTCTGGCCGGTCGTACATTGCGCCGTGTACACAGCGCAGTATCAGTGTGCATTACTGCACTGTGTACGGCCCATCCCATGTGGCCGAAAATTTTGTACTACTGCTTCTAAGAAGCATGCTACGATGTTTCGCCACAAGTTCGAGCTTTGCAATCTCGTCATTTTAATGGAAAACACATACACAGAAAATAAAGATCACGTTCTGTGAATTAATTTGCAAAAATTATCTTTCTCCATCGATGTCTGTTTGGTGCTTTTACGATCCAACTTCGGCCGACATCATCATCATGTATGCACGCACGAGGCAGTAGTCACTGGTTCCGGTCCTTCATCATAGCATTAATACTGTTAGCACGCGGAGGGAACCAGTGTACCATACTGTATGCGCTAATATATAGCTGGGTCCTGGCGGTCGACGCGAAAGACCCGTCATCGTGTGCATTTTGATCACACATGCATCAGAAAAACGGGATTTTTGTCAAGATTTTGCATGTCAAGATGAAATAATGGCGTATAAAACGGTGTATGGCGTATTATGTTGTGCATTTTAATGGCTTGTATAATAATTATATTGTGCGTATCGGGGGATGAAAAATGTGATCGGCATTTTTGTCGGTGTATCGGGCCGCAATTCCAGCGTATCGGGCCGATACGCACGTTTGTACATGGGGAGAACCCTGCAACAAGACAAATTAGGTGATGAATTTCATTACTTGTTTGAATGCCCATCGACAGCCACTGAAAGAGCCAAATATCTCAAGCCCTATTACCTTCATAAGCCCAACACCCTAAAATAGCCCATCTCCTCAACACAACCAACTTTATAGAACTGAAGAAAAAAAACTCGCTAACTTCTGCTCGCAAATCATGGATAAATTTTAGAATATTTCATGTTGTTGTTACTGGTGCCTAGTTGTATACTGCATATCTTCTCTTTCTTTCTTTTTTCCTTTTTTATCCTGTTGTACATTCTGTGTCTTAATTAAATTCCTAGTTTATATTATATTATTTTTATTTTTGTAACTGTGTATTGTAATTTTGTTAAATATCCTTTGAAATTGTAATTGTTAAGTTGTCTTTTGTTTCAGCAGAGGCCGTACGGTGAAATAAAATTTATTGTCACTGTCACTCCACCTGGAATGTACTAAAAGATGCTTTGACTCACCAGCCAAGTGAATTCTAAACAATGCATAAAAATGACATTAAGAGGGCTTATCTTTCGGTCAGCAAATGGCATTAATCCAGAGGAATTAGGAGGGCCTAAGGGAAGCTCAGTACAGACAAGTTTACTTTGGTCTGTTTATTGCCAGCGATTGCAAGTCATAAGACTTAGTATTGTGGCATACATTGAAGGGCACTGCAAACAAAATTGTGAAGGCACTTTTGGCAAATATTGAAGTGAGCTGGAGGGTGTTGTGGAGCAAGGGTTAATCTTCCCTAGTTATTTTTTATTTGACTTTAAATTGAGTGGATTACAATGCCGGCTTTTGACACGATGTGTGCTGGGGTTAGCATAGTACAAAGAGACTTGATGAAACTTGAGATTGCCTATGAAAGTGCTCAATGAAAGGCAGATAGGATCATTTGCTTTTCATGCATTTTTTTTCCCATTTCCAATAATAACACCACTCAAAATCAAAAGAGGAGTGTTCAAAACCTAACCTGTTGAAGTTTCAGCTCAGTGGATGTTACACTTTAAAAAAAACCCAGTGATTCAATGCAAATGATCTTACGCTTACGATTTGCAAACAGTGAAAGGTCATCAACTGCACTCAGTATTATCCAATACCTGTTCTTCCTTATCTTTAATGGCCTTATTTAACGACTTGAGTTCTTTTCGGATCCATTTGTCCCGGTCATCGCGGGTGGTGAACTGGTTTCCACGTCCCTGCTTGGCAAACAGTTCAGTCCGTCTCTGCTCGCACACTTGGAGCCTGGATAATCAAAAAGAGTAGGATATATTTATTGAACTTACAATTAAAATCAACTACAAACTATCTCAGAGACACTAGGGGTAGGTCAGTAGTTCATAGAAAAATTTGGGATGAGATCAACATAATCAAACTAATGGGTATTCATATAAAGCTTTTACAAAAGATCAAAATATATGGACTTTCATTTTTATTAACCCTACCCATTGGGCATATAAAACACCCCTTATATCATCTCAGCTCCCTTGGAGTATGCAGCTCAATTCAGCTACTGTTCAGGGGCATACTGCTAATGCAAACACAATCACCATCTAGCTGCCCTCTGACAAGCACCCACCTAACTCCAGGGTAGGAAGCAATTTGGGACTCAATGTATAGCCAATGGACGCATCGATCGAAACCTCACAGGCTGGACTCGAACCCAAAACCTGCAGAACTATCCACAGATCTTGAATTCGATGCTCCAGACAGTGAGACCACAACACTCCACAATTAACAGTAACTACACTAGAAACCTGGAACAAGATACCTTTCTAGTGTAGAAAAATCACATTTAGGTGATCACTGGGGGTAGAACAGACTAGATTCATTTGTAATAAATATTTAGGTCATGCTCAACCAACTGAGCTATCCAGCAATAAATAGTTTAGCAGTCTCATAATGAGTCAGTGTTTTTGCTCAAGGGCCGCTTTTCAGAAGCTATAAACCTGGCTTTACCATGCGGCCAGGGAACACGATCAAAGTCACAATGCAAAGCAATGTTTGCAAGGCTGCAAAGGTGCAATTGGGAGTTACTCAAGAAGGATAAGCTGCAACTGAAAATCTGACACGTGAGGATTTCTGGTAAAAGAGACAGAACTGGGCAGACGTCGAAATGAGGGTTTGTGGGTTTTTGGAATGAGAATACAATTCTCATTGCAATACTGTTTGTTGCACTTCAATAGGACCTTCCGTTGACAAGTTATGGCTGCTCAAAGTTCGCATTTACCAACATGTCAAAAAAGTAAAACACTGAGAAAAAGGCCTTCAAAGTTTCAAGCTTCTTAGTTGTGAAAATGAAAGATGCCCATTGTTTTACCTTAAAAGCACTTTTAGTCCATGATTTTTATACTTTTTCTTTAAAATATGTGCAGTAGACATACAAGTATAAAAGAGTACAAATAAGGCCAAAAAAAAAATAATAATTCGGTCTCTGGTCAGCGCGCGCGTCGATTTTAATCATGCGCGTCGATCTTTTTTTCCCCCCAAAATGTTCCACGGTAGCTCCAACAGCGCCCTCTATTTCCGCACCTCCTCAATTTTTTTTACCAAAGAGCACCAAGGAATGGGAAATTGCACCAAGGCAAATGATCGAAAGCACCAAGGCAAATTATGGAGGACACTAATGTACATGAGGACACCAAAAAAGCAAAATAGTACCCACCTTGTCTGTACAATCCAAGCTTGAAGAAAAAAAGAAAAAAAAGCACAACAAAAAAAAAAGCCGCGTGGCAGCATCAATTCCGGAACTTTGGTCTGACCAGAGACCGAATATATATTTTTTTTTGGCCTAACACTCAATCTGAAACTCAAAAATCACCCCTATTCTTTTTTTTTGCATTTTTTTGCACTATGGCCTGTGCCCAGTTCCGTCTCATTTTGCCTAACACATATAATAGTGAATTTTAATTAAAAGAAGTTTCAGCAAAGCAGTTGACTCAAACAGAATTTGGATCTGCAAACTCTGGATCATCACTCTATAGACCCACTGAGCCATCCAGCCCTATGTAGGCGCAGTCCCAATATTGTCATATCTTCACTCTTAAAAGCAATATTAGTCAGAAGCCACAAACCCATAAAGTGTCCAGAGAAGTCAACCTGTTTAAAAATGTTCTGACCTGGCTGAGCAGCGTTCTTCTTCCTTCTTCAATTCTTCATATCGCGGCATTATTTGATCCAAATCATTCTGTTTCTGCTGGATTGTACTGTCTAGTTTTTCCAGTTGGTCCTCAATGCGACTCTGCCAATGCAAAGATCAAGAAATGGCATCAATGAAAACGTGTATTCAATATTTTAAAACGGGACCTTCTATTTATGCGATATTTTATTTACAAAGCATCAGATAATAATAACAGTTCGTACATAGCGCTTAAAGATCAAAGCACTTTACATCATTATTACCCCTGCTCCTTGGGCCAATTTAACATACCAAATACCATCTCAGCTCCCTAGGGAGTATACAGCTCGATGCTGCCATATCGGCACAAAGCAGCTCAATCAACCACACTAACCATCTCTGCCCTCACAGGTACCCGTTTACTCCTGGGTGGAGAGAAGCAATGAGTGACAAAGTGCCTTGCCCAAGGACACCCGCACCATAACCCCAGGCTGGACTTGAACCCACAACCTGCAGAATTACCCACAGACCACGAATTCAATGGCCCAGACCACGAGGCTACCGCACTCCACTCCAGATGCACCACGGTGACTAATCATTACGCTAGCGTTTGAATTTGTACAGTTGCTGATGACCAGCGAATATCGATTGTGTCAACCATAAACACTGTATACAATTTTGAATTCAACTTGCAACCAGGCCACATATCAAGGCCATGCGCCTCTCCTTCAAGCAACCACAAACACATACTGTGCCGGCGGCAGCCATGGTAAAATGTTGGCTATACAGTTTAAATGGTGCGTGAAAGTTTCACCAGAGGTTTTACCAAATTTAATCGTGGATTTCATCCTTGATCAAAAAGCAGTGTGAAAAACATAAATATCAAGCCTACACAGGTGGGACAGGAACCCACAACCTCCTGTTTACTAGCAATCGACATTTTTCATTTTTGGATGTCTGCAACCCTCTGAAAAATAGGTTTTTGTTTTGGGCTCAAACAGATCCACTTAGCGAGCAGACTGGCTCCCAATCCGTACATTATTGATACTGATTGTAAGGCGGGAACCAGCCTACCCCGCGAGAACGGAATTATTGTCTGGCAGCCAATAATTAGAAATTGTCAAGTAATAATTCAAGAACTAAACATGGGCCGATATTTTTCAGTCATGTCTCATTCAATCGTTCAAAAGGGAATAACTTTTGTATTGCTAGAAAAATTAGAAAAGAAATCTATTTTTTGGGGATGAAACTAGAAAATAGCATGGGTAACACAACTCTAACAATCGCACTTGCTGGGGTCAGCTTGCCGTTTTGAATCCGACATACTAAGGCCATGTTCGGGACGGGCTTCCAGAGCTACGGCTAAAGTGAAATCTCGATAAGTCAAAACCTGTTAAGGCAAAAACCGTTCTAACTCAAAGTAAAAACTTATTCCCCTCAATTGTTAAATAGAAAATCCATTGGATAACTCAAAACTCTTCTTAACTCAAAATTTGAGACAATTCCCCTGAGATTTGACTGATCGAGATTCCACTGTATATCTATTGTCAGCATGCTCCCACATAGTTGTACTGGAAGAAGACCTCGACAACAGCTCTGGACAAGAGATTGGGATGCAGCCTAAGTCTAGCACCCTATCTCTGCAGTCTCACCTTGGCATCCATGTCCCCATTGACTTCTTCTTGGAGGTCCTTGACAGCCAGTTCCAGTTTGGCCCGACGTTTGAACAGCTCCTGTCTCTCATTCAGCAGCTGGTCTCGTTCCTCATTGGCTGACCGAATGCGTCCCTTCAGTTCCCGCAGCTCCTTGTTTAATTGCTGCGGAGCAAAGAGACAAGTGAAGTTTCAGGGGAGCACAGAATTGAGTGATAAAGTGTCAGATGCTGTCTATGGGTCTAGGATTTGGCAAAGTCTTGAATCCAAAATCTGTGATGAATATAAACTCAAGTGTATTGTAACCACCTTCTTTCTTGGCTGCAATTTGCATGACTCTCCATAACTAAACCTGATCTCAATACACTCACGGATTCTCTACACAACGATAAACGCCTTCCTTAAATTTCTGGTTACATGCGTGATACGGCCCGTGCGCGTCGTGCAACTGCAGTCAAATTTCTGACAGGTTTTACTAAGATTTCAGGGAGGCCAGTGCCAGCTGTCAGGGATTCATGGTGCGCATTGTTCTACATGTTCTATGTGTTGTTCTATGCGCAGACACGGCACATCATGCATGTAGACAATCCATTCCGTACATTTTGTACACAAGCTCGATGAGTCGTTTAACATTGACACGTACATAACAATTGCGAAGGACTTTCCAAAAGTGCTTCCAATTCCCTCCTCCATTCCAACTCTGGCCCAGGGAATTAAATCACTCACATTTCTGTACGGATATAGCTCATGCATTCAAATACCTGGACTCTAAACGTGAATCATCATCCCTGGTTCTCTTAATTACGTATTATTATTTTGAATTAAATTGATAGCTCAATAATTTATTCTGCAGACCCCATTTTCATTTTTTTGTGGTTTACTACTTAAATAATTTTGTTTGTATTTCAGTAACTAACTTATTTCATTAATAAATGTTTTGGCCAATTTCACTCCTGGATTCGTTAAGATGTAGATAGTCCTTGATTCATCTTTATGTTCATGATGTTTGAGGTTTTCTCTGTGCTTTTTGTTAATTTATGAATAAAGGACGTGAATTAATAAAAAATATCCCAAGAATGCATTGTTAAAGCGAGTTTGTGAAAGCACAAAGTGCTTAATTTTAGTTGAGCTATCTACAGTTATGTGGCAATCCTAGGAAAAAAACCATTCCTACCTTAATTCGTTTTGAAGCCTCCTCTTGCGCATCTCTCAGTGTCTTGGTGACTTCACCGCTATTCTCTCGTTTATTGGCAAGCTAGGAATTCAAAAACAGGGCATCTATTATGAATAACATTCCAAACAAGGCTTCTAGGTTGTATTCAAATCACAAGTAAAAAGAAACCACCCACAATTTCAGGCATAACTTTTCAATATTGTGCCACATTTTTTGCAAGTGCGTTTTGCACCGTTTGACAAAATCACCTAAAGTAAAGAAAGATAATGTCACCTGAAAGAAACACAAACATATACAGTAAAAAGAGAATAAGCTCCAAGATATTATTCAGTATCGTGCTGGTTTTAACTACAATATGCAACCATCACAGTACATAAATTATGGAGCAAATTGAACGGGATGTTCGTTATTACAAAATGATCGGTACAGAGGTGTTTGTTATTCCGACGTTTTACTGTAACAGACTAACAGGCTTGCAATAGAACATAAGAAACATGCTCGTAGTCGCTATTTCTGCCCAATACACTTAACCTGACACAACCATTTGTTCAAAGAACGGTGGGTTCCTTCTATCAAAGAAAATTTCCAAATACGTAAATAAGGAATACCTCATCAAGTTTCTTTCGTGTGTCTGTCAACTCCTGATTGTGAATTGTGTACTCCAGTGAGCTGTGAGTTAAAAAAAAAAGGAACAAGTTTCTAAATGAAGTGTTACAACCATTCACAACCGCTTGAGAAGCACCCCTCCACCTTACCCGTCTGGATAGCAAAACGCTGGTCAGACCAGTGGAACCAGGGCTCGATTTACCCGGTGCACGCATGCACCAGTGCATGTAGATTTTTGCTTGTGCACGTAGCTTTTTAACTGAGCATGCACGACGTGCATGTAACTTTTTTAGCCACCAAAATACTCATTTCATGCATATATTTACCAGTGAGTGAGAATAAGAATAAAGTTTGTTGAATACTTGACCAGATAGTGTACAAACGTGTTATTTCTGTTATAAATCCATAAATTATTCCTCGCACCATGCTCGCACAGTCGCAGCAGATTCAGAGTACGAGTATCAAGATCTCGACGTACGTCCTGCAATCTCCTCCGATCATGCATGTGATTTACCACGTGATACATGCTGCGGATAATTTGGTATCGCACTGACGCTCCGGGCATTCCTTATGTCCGGATCATAAGTGCGAATCCAAATTATTAGGTGCGTTTATCACGTGGTCTCGTTATTGGCCAATCGTATGCGCCACATGAAGCAGACGGGTAGCTCGGAGGGCTCTGATAATTTTGCACGCAAATGACCCTGGGTACTTGTCCAGGATCATTTGTTTAGGTCACTTGTCAGGTTAAAATCTAATTTCTACACGTTCGTATGGGTCTTCATCGACGGCAAATTTTGTCGAAATGACACATCCTGAACACGCGGGAAGGCAAATTTAGATTTCTAGGCGAGTACTGAACATATGTACGAAATTATGTATGGCGGATCGATTTCGCCATGTTAGGCTTGAGCATGATAGAGTAAAAAAGGCTATGTACTGTCTGTCGCAAGTTCGATAAATTTCAAAGAGAAAGAATGCCTTCAGAGAAGCAGACGGGTTTAAGTCAATTATGGTGCATGTGGGTTTTTCTTGGTGCATGTAGGTTTTTTTGTCTACATGCACCAGTGCATGCCACTTTTTTTTTGTAAATCGAGCCCTGAGTGGAACTCGTCCACTACCAACCTGAAGGAGTTCATCTTAGTGCCCTGTGCAAAACCAAGTGGCAGTGACCTCTCAAGAAAAGCCTGGGTCAACCTTAACCGTATCAGATCTGGAGTTGGCCGTACACAACATTTCCTGCATAAAATTGGAGCTGATCTATCGCCAAACTGTGCCTGTGGAAACATCCAAACTATGGATCACATCATCGATGCTTGTCCTATCTACAAATCCCCTCATGGTGCTTCTGGACTTCGAGAGCTCGATGATGAGACCATCAGTTGGCTAAATAAGGATCTTCCTATTTAGATGATGTACACCTTGATATTCTTCGTACGAACGAACGAACGAACAACCAGACCACAAACATACGTGCGGAACCAACCTTCCTAAATCTCCGCAAAAATCCACAAGGTTGTCTGGGGGAGTTTGCGGGATTGAAGAACACACTAACAACACGGAGTGTCATGGCCTAGCAGTTAAGAGCCCCCTTCCGGACTCATGCTCTGGTGTTTCAGAGGCAACAGGATGTGGGTTCGAGCCTGGGTCTGGACACTTGTGCCCTTAAGCAAGGCACTTAAACCATTATTGCTTTGTCCTTCGGATGGGATGTAAAGCTGTAGGTCCCATGTGTTATGTAATGCAATGCAATGCACGTAAAAGAACCCAGTAACACTTATTGCCAAGAGAAGGGGTTTGCCCCGGTGTTTCTGGCCTCCTGTTAAAACTCCCCTGCGGAGTATTTAGGAGAAGAAACAACAAAGTACCAAGTAACCACCACCATATAACATTTGATTTGTTGTACCATCAAGGTTTGATAACAATGAATGGAATTATTTGGGCTCTTGCACAGTAATCTAGTAAGATTCCTAGCAAAAATGTTGAGATATTTACAGTTGGAAAAAGTAACAGAAGCATATATTTAGTAACCATTTGTTACTACTGTTTTTGGGTACACTAACATGAGCATCATCAAAATGGCTAATAATCAACAGAAATTAGCTGATTAAAACAGGACCTGTATGTTCAGAGGGGGAATAACGATCAGACATAGGACATTTTCTGAAAGTTTAAAATCTTTTTCCAAACAAAAACACACTTACTTTTCAAGTTTTGATACCCTGCACGTGCAACTCAAAATTGATTATATTAGTTCATTTTGTCCAAGACATGTTTGAGTCTTCTATTTTATCCTTTGGGTTAATGTTATTTGAACAGCACAATTTTGTGCAAAGCCACCTGTTTATGCTGTTGAGTGACATACAACTCCACGCTACATTGTCCATGCTAAGATTGCTTTCTCTGTTTGTGATCTTACCGTCTCATCTTATCCCACTTCTGGTACTGCTTCAATTCTTCTTTCTCTTCTTCCAGAGTCTGAAGTCGCTCCTCGATGTACTTGAGAAGATCCTCAATCTTTTCACGTTTCCCCTCTGAATGAGTAAGAAAAAGTCACACCATTTCCATTGTGTTCTCCATAGAAACAGGCCATTACAAGGAAAGCTTTATATGAACATTTTAGGTGGCGTAAGTTGTGGCATAGCGACTGCAACTGATCTATTTTACCAGCAAATCATGATCGCCATGGAGCCTGTTACTGCACAACTTATCAAGGTTGATACAAGATACTCACAGCTTTGTGTTTGCAGTAAAAGAATTCCTATTTTACTTGCGATAGAGTTTTTAGAGTTGCCGCACGATTCCAAAGAAAGTCAGTCAAAGAAAGTTTCAAAATCATACAAAATCATACGCAAATAGCCATCGTAAATGTTATTATTATCTTCGTCCAAGATGTTTATATTTAAAATGTTGCGTAGCCAAGCCAAGTTTCGTGAAATCGATCGTAAGTCTATTTGTTGCCCAAGTCCTACGCATGGTGTAAGTCCCACACGGTGAAGTCATGAAATCGGCTGCAGATGTGAAAAATGCAATGTTCCTTGCGGATAATTCTCATTCCTATATCTGTGTGATGTTACGGTTTCACACTATAAAGTACACACTCATTCAATCTTATCCCTTCATAGTATCAATATTTTGTTTAGATTGATTGATGCAGTTTTCTTGATTCAATGTTGTATGGACTATTCTCTCGCTTGACGACAGACACCTAGGCAAAACCCCTGACAGAATACTGACCGGTTTCTTTGAGAATGAGCTGGCTTTCTGCCTTGCGTTCATCGTAGACACGAGTACCAGCCACCTCACGCAGCAGCTTCAGTCGTTGGGAGTCCGGGGCAGTTGCCATCTGGTTGATCTTTTGGAAAAAGCAACACAACAAAAACTTGTGAGAACTCAATACCAAAAATAAAACATCAATGGGCAAGTAACAACATGAAAACAAGAAAAGCTTTGCAAGATCATAGCAGAAGTAGATCAAGAAATCCAATAAACTAGAATATGCAGACCAAGCAAATAAGACCCATGTAAACTGTAACTCTATTCAAGTAAAGGACTGAATGATTACTCCATTCAACAAATGAACTAAAAAATGAAAAGGCAAGGAATTACATAATTTATTTCATTTTCAATGGAAGTAGTTTGCACTTTTTTGGGGGGGGGTCATTCTTCGTGCAAACAAAAACTAAATCAGTGTTTCTACTAAGACTGGAGAGAGAGGTGGGCCTTTATTCATCAACTAGCCATATCTGAAAAACAAGTTGGATTTGTGAGCCAAAATGTACTTTTAAAGAAGGAAAATCTCAGCTGGTTATCTGACAAGCTTGTCAAATTTGAACTTAATGTCACTCTCAGTATTGGGATTTTGCCTTTTAGCAATTGATTGTTATATACAAACCCAATATCATATGATGGAATTGTTGTGAGGGAGATTTTAATTCCAGAAATGTTAAGTGATTGGTTGTGGCATCCACTGCTATATCAATAATCGAACCAGCCAGCCGACTCCGGCAAGCTTGGTGGTCGAGTGGTAAGACTTCTGCACTAGTAAGAAGGAGGTCGTGGGTTCAAGTCCCACCCTCATAAGCTGCTTACTTTTTTTATTGCAAACCTTCGGAAAACACTGAGTAGACAGTGTTTATGAAATTATGGCGAATGGCAAAACTTAACTTTGAATTTATACTCTAAATAAATTGCACTGCAAACAACTATCCCAAATTATCAACTAATTAACCCTTACTCCCAGTGTCTTTTACTTGGAACTGGACCAAGTCCATCAAAATCCATCAACCACTGTGCGACCAATACAAAACTGTACATGACATAATGGAACCCACAACTGACGCACTGGTTGACATTTGTGGACTTGCTTAACATGGCTTTTATCACAATAGCAGTACAGGAAGCTAGGCAAAATCAATCGGATACCCATGGCACTGCTTCTGGCCATTAGACCCAAGTCCATCATATTCCATCAATATTTAGTCACGCCAGGCTTTCTGGGCCAAGTCCCCCAAAATCCACCAGAATAGGGGGGGGGGGAGGGAGGGGGGGATTTTGACGGAGCTGGGGTGGTTGGGGTTTATAATGACTCCCACAGTATTGAAAAAAAGTAATTTATACAAAATAAGAAGTTGTTTACCTTTCCCTGTTTGACAATATAGTAAGGGTTACTCCTTGAAAAACCTGCACTCTCCAACAGATTCATCACATCAGTTTTCCTGAAAGACAAAAGTATTCATCAGGTTTAGGCCGAAAGTCCATGTTTCCGTTTTCGAAGTGCGTATTGCGCTGTGCATTTACCGGTTGCGTATCCGTGATGCGTACTCTCAAATTCCATGTGTGCCAATTTCTCGGCACACTTGACGGATGTAAACGCTCAATTAGAGAGGATTCAGTACTTTTGCAGGTAGAAAAATCAAATCTCAATCACATTTAGATTAGCTTTGGCAAAGTTCACATTTTACAAAATTAATCGACAAGATTTAACTTCTCAATAAAGTAGACAGGCTATGATTATTCAATGTTTTATCAACAGAAGGTTTAAAAATTAAATTAAAATTAAGGCGGGCCCTAGTTTGTTTCAATAAGATTCACAAACAAAGTGCTTCCACTTTAGGCCTCTTTTTATCCCACCAATTCATTGTTCTCTAAGTTGCAGGCAACAAATCCCATATGTATGGATGTGTCATCTGTTTTAATCGCTACCTGAAGCGTATAAAATTTCAGATAATGCAGTACGAATAACAAATTGTGCAATACGGATACATGGACTAGTGCATGTTACTTCTTGAACTAATCTTTAAAGAGAATATACAACATTTGATTTTTCTGTAATTTTCAGAAATGGATGGATTTGGGGGACTGGTATTTTATAGCAAATATTGTTACACTGATACTTGAAGTTTTGTGTTCGTAGATGCTGGAAAAACCAAGAAAAACAATCATGTTCTTGTAGTCTGGTTCCCTGACCCCACTTAAATTGAAATGGAGTGATTTATAGACGTCAGGGAATTGTAAGGTCAGGGACCGAGTCTAGAAGGCTTGTACCCGTTCATAGATGTGTAATTGATGGCAAACAAAATTCAGACTAACTGAATATGGTAATTTTGGGGCAGTATTTGAAAAAAGCCAGTTTCTTTCCAACGCTGGTAGCCGACAAGCGTTGGAAATTGATACAACAAAAAAAAACACTTTTCTTGAAAATGTCAGCACACCAGGTGCCATGATTTTACAGCATGCTTAAGACTGTCATGCACTAAACAGTCCAGTAAGGTATTTCATAATAACTTGGTAGTTGTTTTTTATGTTTGCAAATGTTGTATATTCCCTTTAAACCTCAAGCAGTGTGCACTACGGATTTGCAGCCTTACTTTCACTTTCAGACAGACCAGGCACTGTTTCTGTTACAAGGAAATCTATATGAGTAAATCAGTATACCAACATTCAAGTGACATAGATGAACAGTGGCATACAGACGTTGCTTCTCAAAACTTATAGCTGGGTTGTATAAGGGAGCTGCATTTACAGCAAAATGTTCCCAGTCTTTTCCTACAATATTATTCCATTAAGAATCTGAACTGTCATTAACAATATTACAACCTGAGATCTTATTGATTTGAATTACTTCATACTGCCTCGTTACTTTATACCTTTGAATATTTCTTATCACAAGACTGCCAAACAGAATTCCTTACGAAATCAAATCATTACAAAATGTGTAAGTGTTTCCTTACGTGACCATTTTCTTGTCCAAGAAATACTGATCCTTCTTGGATCCGATGACACGTCGCAATGTCACCTCTTCTTTTTCAATCTAAAGGAGGAAAAAAGAATGTGTCGTTACAAATTGCAAAGACTGTCTGTACTGTCTTTGGACTGCAAGGCGATATGGACTGTGTGCGTAAGATAGACCTCAACTTGCGCAACAAATTATTGCATAAATTGCGCAATTATTTTAGGTAGCCAAAATTGTGGCGTAGCGACTGCACATGACCTATTTTACCAGCAAATTCTAATCGTCGTGGAGCCTGTTATTGCACAACTTATCCAGGATGATACAAGACACTCACAGCTTTGTGCTTGAAGTAAAAGATTTGCTATTTTACTTGTGTCAGAGTTTTTAGAGTTGCCGCAGGATTCTGAAGAAAAACGGACAAAATATGTTCAAAATGGCAGGCGGAGGTTATTCAATCACTGACTGTTTCATAAACGAACAAAATCATACACAAACAGCCGTCGTAAATGCTGTTATTATCCTCATCCAAGATGTTTAGATTATTCAAAAATTGCGCAGCAGTGCCAAGTTTTGTGAAATCGATCGTAAGTTTATTGCGCAGCTGCGCAATAAGTTTGTTGCGCAACTCTCACGCATAGCGCTAGTCACGCACTGTGTCGTGAAATCAGCTGCACGTATTATTTTGACAGCTGAAACAATGAATACCATTCAGTTCTTTGTTTTTAGTCATGATGATTCCAAAATCAATGATATATCAGCACAGTCACAGGTTGTACAAGTCAGCAACCAGGTAATGCCAGCACTTGACAGAACTTGCTCTTAAGAGCACTCCCTAACCCTAACCCTCTGGTCACAGCACAGCTTGAGTCCTCTTTGTATCAGAGTGACTGACTGAATGATTGACTGACAGATCGACTGACTGTCACTTGTGAATAAGGCTTGCTCAAGACTCTCACTGACTGACTGTCACTTATGAATTAGACTGGTTACCTCCCCCACTGACTGACTGCCACTTATGTATCAGACTGGTTACCTATCTCACTGCCTGACTGTCACTTATGTATCAGACTGGTTACCTATCTCACTGACTGACTGCCACTTATGTATCAGACTGGTTACCTATCTCACTGACTGACTGTCACTTATGAATTAGACTGGTTACCTATAACACTGACTGACTGTCACTTATGAATTAGACTGGTTACCTATCTCACTCCCCGACTGCCACTTATGAATTAGACTGGTTACGTATCTCACTGACTGACTGTCGCATGTCAATTAGACTGGTCACCTTTCTCCCCGACTGTCACTTATGAATTAGACTGGTTACCTATCTCAGTGACTGACTGTCACATGTGAATTAGACTGGTTACCTATCTCACTGACTGTCACTTATAAATTAGGCTGGTTACCTATCTCACTGACTGTCACTTATGAATTAGACTGGTTACGTATCTCACTGACTGACTGCCGCATGTCAATTAGACTGGTCACCTTTCTCCCCGACTGTCACTTATGAATTAGACTGGTTACCTATCTCAGTGACTGACTGTCACATGTGAATTAGGCTGGTTACCTATCTCACTGACTGTCACTTATAAATTAGACTGGTTACCTATCTCACTGACTGACTGTCACTTGATAATTAGACTGGTTACCTTTCTCACTGACTGTCACTTATGAATTAGACTGGTTACCTATCTCACTGACTGACTGTCACTTGATAATTAGACTGGCTACCTATTTCACTGACTGACTGTCGCATGTGATTTAGACTGGTTACCTTTCTCACGCACTGTCACTTATGAATTAGACTGGTTACCTATCTCACTGATGAACTGTCACATGTTATTTAGACTGGTCACCTATCTCACTGACTAAATTCTCACATATTAATTAGACTGATTACCTATCTCACTGAGTTCCTTGTTGACAAAAGTCACCCATGGTAAGGAAAGGGTAAATAAATAAAAATAATATAAAAATATTAAACTTCAATATAAAAATATTGAACTGGCTCTGGAGAGTTATTAGGAAGTACTTACAGGTATCCTGTTATCTGAGTTGTCAAAAATGATTTCCACAAATGCGGAGATGACGCGGGGCCCGGTGCCTTCATGCAGCAGCGACTGTCGCTGCTCAGGCCGCAGGTTATTGAACTCATCACTGAGCACAAACTGGATGGCTGTTGGCAAAACATTTCAAATGAACACGCTTAAATGGTATAAACCAATACTTCACTTTTGAAATGATGGGTGAAAGTCCATCATTTAAAATGCTTTTCTGCAATCATGCTACATCCACTATCTACGTCTAACACTGGGCAACTTGCGCTGGGTTATTGATCACAGCAGCAGGATTTGTTTAACACAGGTATTTTGTGGATTCACTAGCTTTCAGCTAGCTTTTTACATTGTTGTCAGTTGAGTTTATATAACCGACATACAGATCCTTGTCATTTGATTGGTGGAACTCACATCACGTGACATTTGTTATTGCTCCCATTCACGCCGCCGCTCAAAAAGTACTATCCGCCCATGGGGAATGGGAAATACTATTCAACAGTTAGGATCATGACGCGGTATTTGTGTGCAAATGCATGCAAATGTGTGCGTTCAGCATTGCGCGTAGCGCGTATTGTTCCAAAGAGCAAGCGCTACAGCGTTGGATTCAAACATTTTCATGAAGGGGTGGTTTCAAAGAGAGAAATACATTTTCCTCCAGTTTTGTATTGAAATAAAAGTTCAAATTTATCAAATGACAAGGATTTATATGTCAGTTATATAAAACAAATATTGAGTGGCTTTAAATTGTGAAATGGGAGGAATATTATCGCTCGGTCAAATCTGGACTTTTCCATTTCACTCGGCTTCGCCTCGTGAAATGGAAAAGTCCAGATTTTACCTTGCGATAATATTCCTCCCATTCCACGCTGAGCCACTCAATATTTGTATACTGTTGAATTCAGAAGGAATAGGTAAAGCTTAATGTGGCCAGGTTAGCTATTTTCAGAGGATTGTGATGTTATGATAGTATATTGCATTGCATTGCATATAATGATGTTCATGTGCCAAAGATTCTGTAAAGGTTTGTGACAACGCAATTTTAAAGTTTAAAATTGCAATAAATTGTCAGATTGGGGAGTCAGGTTGGCGTAGCGGTACTTTCCTCGCCTTCCACTGCTGTGACCCGGGTTCGAATCCCGCCTGGGCCAATATGTGGATTGGGTTTTCAGTCACCTGATTCCGTGGGTTTTCCTCAGAATATTCTTCTGGGCTTTTCCTCCCACCTCTAAAACTGTAATTTCTTCTCATTGTTTTCTCTCCACAGGTTTCTTCAGGCTTGCGAGCTACAGTGCCTAGGGCGCTTTTAAGGAATCCTTGGTTTCATTACCAAAAATGATTAATAATTAATAATAATTAATTCCAACACTAGCTTTCATATATTCAAAATAAATTAACAATATGAGGCAAGCAAAAGTGCAACTGCAAATTGTAAAGATTCCATTGTTGAATTTAGTTTTGAAAGCTGGCAAAAAAGTTAACCACACAGAATAAAACGGCAACAAAAGTAGAATATGTTAGGAAAAAAATGAAACACATACCATAAAAGAAGTTGCTCTTGCCCGATCCATTTCGTCCCACTATGAATATAGAACACAATTTCAATATCATTACTAGTCTTGGTGGACTTGGATTTTATTCCCCTTATAACGAGGTCACTATCAACAAGATGAATCAAGTCTTGGCAACACTGGCAGTGCTACCCATGAAATTCCGAGTATACCTCACACGTGCTGTATTCAATCTAATGCATGCACGTGGGGTACGCTCGGAATTTCCTGGGTAGCGCTGCCAATATTGCCAAGACTGGACTTGATTCATCATGTTGATTGATATAGACCTCCATCTCTGTGGCAACTTAACCGTGTTTTTACGGGAGTGGCTGCCAAATAGGGAAATAAAAATTCAAATCCAGTCTTGGAACAAGACTATAACATTAGCAGTTTAGATATCTGAACTCAAGAAACATGAAATCTAATACAAACTTCTTGTATTTCTTTCTCTCAGAATGAAGCCTCTGTTCAATAATGTTATGTTATGTTATGTTTTATTCCACAAATAGGAACAAACCCCATGACTCTGGGGAAGGGTTACAACAGTGAAATTAAACATAGTCAGTCAAAAATTTCTTCCACTTCCACTGCCATGCATTTGTATACAGGCTAGTAAAAACACCAGTCACATCACATTCTCGTAAACACTGTGACTAGTCAAATTCCATCAACAGAGGTAACTGGTGGGTACAGCTGGCTTATCAATCACCTCCAATCAAAGCATGGCTGTATCAAATGAACACGGTAATTCCTAAATGTCAAAAACAGTCACTTGATTGACTTGGACCACTGTGACTGTGGACGGAATTTGCCAGCCAGAGACGTTTTGCATTATGCAGAGTATCATTCTTATATAACACTCTTTAAAAAGGTGCTCTTTGTTTGACCATTGAAAACGGCTTGAATGTTGTCTCAAATGTGATACCTTAATTTGTTTTAAATATGGCTTGTTAATCAGAAGAGAGACACTCAAGTCTGTAATAAAAGATCATGAGCAACATACAAAAAATACTGTTAGATTTTACTATAAGATTGCTTGCAAACTCACCGACAACATTATGCTTTGGACTGAAGGGCTCTATGACCGTTTGATCCCGATAACTACGGAATCCCTGGATTGTGACCTAGAAAATACATCAGAACAAAATTCAAAATTACAATATACAGCCATAGCGAGTGATCGCGATATCAATCATCACTGAATGTGAAAAGAAGATAATCTCCCCTCTTTAGAAAAACTGTTGGACCAATTACAAAAACAACACACAGGTTTATGGGAAGTGAATTCTCCCACTTTCTTGACTCTTTTGCTGATGGAAAAAACCCTAACTTCCTAAGCATTTTTGCTGGTTGCAACCTCAATCCCGCAAAATCCTCCAACTGCCTCCATGTAAAAATGGCATACAGCCTCAATCCTACAAAATCCTCCAGGCTCCAGCACTAACTGTCATATGTTGAGGCAGAGCCAGTGTCATCCCGCGAGCAGTGCAGAGGATATATTAGGCCTTAATTTATGTACGGCCATGACAGCTGAGCATAAACAACACAAGTTCCGGCCTAAGACCTTGACACAGTGCATCCTCCGAAATCAGCCACACATTTTTGCCATAGCCTCATTCCTGCAAAATCTTCTATTTTGCAATTAGTATTTTGTAGGACTTGGGAAAATTAACACTTTGTAAAATTGCATTTTCTGCCAAAAGATTGTCTGATTGTGTTCAAAATGATACAAAATAGGAAAGATTTCCATACTAGGCCACCACTTTTTTCAAGCACCAAAAAGTTGCATCCTTTATGGTTATTTCCTCCACTTTCCCTTCACTACTCTCACCCTGTCCTTTCCTTTATTCCTAATTATTAAGGCAGTGTATATTTTGCCGGAGACGGCAAACCTTTAGTAAACGTTAGTTTGCCGGATATGCACTGAACATGCGCAGTTACTGTTTTTTTTTACTTAAACATTTTCCGGTGACAAGTTTTAGTCTGGCTCCATGCCAAAATTATCGTTGTTACCTCGTATTCACAAGATGGGATTCAGACCATTTTATAATTTCGGACTTTATTTCCCTTTTAAAAAAAATCCTCCAGAGCCACAAATCTGAAAAAGAAAATGTAATACTCTGCAAAAAATGTTTGAGACATGTTAAAATAATAAAAGAAGAATATTCTTATTTATTTGGGGATGAGAGAAAAAAAACTTACAAATGTGGTGCGGTCGGAATCGAACGCGAGTCATCCCGCTTATTAGAGCCTTTGCTTAACCATTACACCAAACGTGCTACACAACTTTTGGTGGGAATTTAATACATCTTATAATTCAGCCCTATTTTAAAGAGTACAGCGCCCTCTGTTGATATGGATTGCCGCCGGCAAACCTTTAGTAATCGTTAGTTTGCCGTCATTACCTCCGGCAAAATATCCACTATCAATTATTAATCAGTCACTTACTTCATCAAGATTCGAACATCTTGACTCTTGTTTGAAACACATCACTTTTTACCGCTAGACCGCGCACGATCGCTTGTTCCAATGATCAATCTTTGGACGTATTTCAAGTATCCATTGAAATAAACTAAATATTCATGAGAAAATAAATATTCATATAAATCATAATGACGTTTTGCACTGTCATTGCTTTCATGGTTGTCGATGTCATGCGTATAATGTACTGCTGTCTTCCAGACACTTCAATCAATATGACAAATGATATGACCGGCTGCCGGCTGCCTAGCGCCTCCAACTTAGTTCTGCACGACGTGTGCATCCAAAATGTGCTCTAAAACACATTGTTCCTTAAACATTTTTCTCATTCATGTCATTGCCGGAGCTTCCTGGATTCATCTTGGGTGAAATCACAAGGTGAGGTGAAAATTGATGTATTTGGTGGCAGGTAAGTGGTTGGTACGGAATTCTTCCCAAGTCAAAATACAGTGTCATTACAATTACATTCAGTGACATTTATCACTTAGATTTAGAACAGAAGAAGTCTGCTTTTAAAAGCTTAGGTTAAGTTGCAGAAGTCATTTTGCAATGATAATAAACATACTTCCCAAGTCAAAATACAGTGTCATTACAATTACATTCAGTGACATTTATCACTTAGATTTAGAACAGAACTCAGAAGAAGTCTGCTTTTAATAGCTTAGGTTAAGTTGCAGAAGTCATTTTGCAATGATAATAAACATACTTGACTAATTCGACAAAAACTAAAGAGAGCCCCCCCCCCTCCCCCCCCCCCCCCCCCCCTCCCGTTACCCCGTTTGTCGTACTCAATCAGATCCGAAGATAGATGTTCTAATGTCATGAATGTGGGCATTGAAATGTGCGCAAAACAACAACTGAACAAACACAGCATGTCGAAAAACCAAAAACTAACCTGCTTTATGTACATTTTCACGGACTGCAAGGGCTACTTTAAGCGGTTGCTTCACGCAAAAAATCAATCAAACCCTAAATGTAAAGTAGCAATTAAGACATCAGGCATCGCTGGACCTCAAAATGTGACAAAAGCATTGACAAACCGCGAACAACCCCGTCAAAATTTAGCACAAAACCAAAATGGCGCGCTTCTGGATTACGGTAACTACCATTTTAGCGTAGGTATGGCTGTTTAAATGAGGGAACAAATATTTTGTGATTTGCGTTTGGAAAACCTTAATTTAGATATCACCTCAAAAATAAAACAAGGAAATATGGCACTCAATATTTTATTTGTTTAATTACATAGATGTTTCGTTAAATAATGTGCGCTGTTATGAGATGTTTTATTATCATCAGTTTACACCTCGTTTTCGACACTGTGGTTCATACCTTTCATAGTTGGGTGTTTCCGATTACAGTTTATCTGCTCCGTTACACAATACTTTATATACCTTGTAAACCCACTAAACATCAGCCAGGGGGATTAGCTCAAGTGGTAGAGCGCTCGCTTAGCATGTGAGAGGTACCGGGATCGATACCCGGATTCTCCAAGGAATTTTTTTCACTTTATAAATATATATAATGCGAGAATTTTCCTGGTCTTAATACAATAACACACTGTGCTACTATGTTATAACATCCATTCAATTTTTTCCCGGATGGCATGCAGTTGCAAAAAAATAAAAAGGGAATTAGAATACTCAGAGTAATACATTTATAAGGCAAACGAAAGCCGGGGAGGAAAAGAAACGAAAAGCACGAGATCGCGGTCACAAAGTAAAAACTTGGAAAACGTTTTCCACAAGATACACGAGAAATAAATAATAAAACATGTTATAAACATAATATTCTCATATAGCGCCACAATGATTAATAATTAACAATTAACTTAAAATCTTGTTCAATGTTACAATAAAAATACATGCCTAGGCCTAATACTTTCAAAACTGTTAGATGTAAAAGAAAGTTAGGCTCAATTTAATTCATTCAATTACATTAGGAATCATAAGAACTGAAATTATTAAAGAAAAAAAACAACCACTAAAACTATAGAATAAAAGGAACAAATTTGGCGTTCAAGTTGCATTCCCGCCGTGATTCCTTTTCTAAATTGCTAAAGTTATTCACTGTTGCATGAGACATGTACATCGACCGAAAAAAAGTCAGCCGATGTTGAGTTATTAAATTATTAGGCCGACTTAACAATTTTGAATTAGGCCTAGTGGCGCTGTCAGACAATCTGTTCTCGTGGGGTAGGCTGGTTCCCGCCCCACAATCAGTATAGATAATGTATGGATCGAAAGCCAGCCTGTTCGGGAAACGGGTCTGCCTTTTTGTGCCCCCCCCCCCCCCCCGGGGGGCAAATAAACATAAAAAACCACAGATCAGTTGGAAGGTGTAGTCATATATCATGAAGAAGTCCTCATAGTACACTAATTGTTCTGAACCCGAATCCATAAGTTTCTGAATATCTATATTTCAATCCTAATCATCAGTTTTTTACGTTGTACTCATCAATCCATATTTATTTTCAATATAACTTCTGTTTGTATTTTTTTCTTTTGCAATGTTATTTTTATGTATTTTATATATTGCCGGGCCGATTCAGCACCGGGGGCACTGCCGTTTGATTGTGACGTTCACATCAATGAAAGGGAGTGCTGTTATGTTGATTCTATCTTCTGTTTTTATGTTAGTTTCTTGTTAGCTTACCCGTATTTTATTCTTTTCTTTGTTTGTGTATGTTTATTCCCTGAGAAATAATAATGAAATGAAAATGAAAAGTTTAGAAACTTGTTCACGTCCCGCCAAACCAAGCTGTGTTGAGCGCAACCGTTGAGGGCGTAGTTGCGCAATCATGGCGGCCTCCAATGCCAGCAAGGTGCAATCGTTGTACTCGGAGTTAAACAGAGCTGGGCAAAATGGAGATTATCAGAGGGCTTTAAATGCCGCTAATAAAAGTGAGTGACATAGCTAATGTTATGTGTAATTTTACGTGTTTGATCTTGCTAGAAAAAGTGTTCTTTTTCAAGGTTTTAATGAATCATATGGCATGTATGGTGAGCATATGCGTGAAGCAAACAGGTACTTCGGAGGGCTCCTAACTACCATTTTGCACGTAAAGGACTCTGGGTACCATGCGTGACCTTTCATAAATTGTTATTTGTTAACTCGGCCTATATTTTTAAGTAGGAAAGAATGTTGCAGCCAGAGTGACGCCTGTTTTTTTCATATATCATCTCAGTGAAGGTCAGTCATTTCAAAAATGATGATAAGACATGAATCTAGGATTGAGAAACATTTCCAATTTTGATATAGTCGTGTTCCCTAACCTGCTAACGTGGCGCACTTCGAAGCTTACCCAACTTTCCTCGTGTAGTGTTGCCAAACCTCTTTGTTGATAAACCTCAAATTCATGCAGTGAAATACTGGTACTTTTACCTTATTAATGCTTGCTATTTATTACCTCTGTTAACAATTTCGGTTTCATAAAATTTAATCCGAAATGCAAAAACGGTCGCGTCCGGAAATTTGGCACAAATTGGCGGAGTGTTCCCTAACGTGGCGCACTTGAATAAATCTCAGAAAATTCCAAATTAACATTTAAGAATTTCTGTAAACTTGAAAAATTCTGATCAATCATTATTATCTTTACTTACAAACCCAGCCAGATGTTTGTCAGAAAATTATTTTCGGGGCATTTTCAAAGGGTTCACTTTGCACTTGAAAATAAAATCGGAAAATCATGCCAAAATAATTTTTTCTTTTAACTTTGTAACGGGTAAATAAACTCCCGATTTATGAACGGGAGTATTTAGAACTTGATGAAATTTCACTTTCTGTGAAATTTCAGTTAAAACTTTTGCTCTAGCTAGGCGCTACAGGCGAAAAATAAAAGTGCGCCACGTTAGGGTACATCAACAATATAGACTTTGTACACAACCGCTGAAGTGGCGTCAGGTTGCCGGTTGCAACATTCTCTCTGGCCTAACACGAAGTAACAGTAAAGTATTAACACAAAAACGTTGTGAATGTTCGTGGAAAAGAATGTATCCAGACGCCTCTTCTTTGGTTGTGGTACAAAGTCTATGGAGAGTCAAATGCATTTTCAGTATTTTCTAACAAAATTGGAACTTTTTTTCTCAGTCTTAGAATAACCTTTTGGAAAGACTGTTGCACCCTGACGCCACTTTTTTTAAATCATATATTATCTCAGGGTATGCATGATGCAACATTCATTCCAAAACCATACATGTACAATGTATATCAGGCTCCATATTTTTTTTTCTCAAATTTCTTGGCAATAGTACGGAAGCGTATGTGACCATCCGTGTTACTGCGTTACTGAGATAAAAAAAATTTGGAAACATGGAATTCCGTGAAAGGCTATCGTGGAAACATTGAACACTGTGATAGCCTATCACAGAAATGTGGAATTTCGTGATATGCTATCGTGGAAACGTGGAATATTTACATGTAGATAGCTTATCACGGAAATGTGGAATATCGTTATAGCCTATCAAAGAAACCTAGAATTTGCTGATAGGCTATCGTGAAAGCATGTAATTCCGTGATGAGCTATCGTGGAAACGAGGAATTTTGTGATAGGCTAACGATATCATGGCATTTCGCTTTGCCACGATAAAACATCACGGAATTCCACGTTGCTGAGATACCCTATCGCGGTATTCCGCGTTTTCGTGATAGGCTATTACAATATTCCGCGTTTCCACGATAGCATATCATGGAATTCCACTTATTCATGATAGCCTATCATGTAATGCAGTAACTCGGATGGTCATATATGCTTCCGTACAATAGACCTTCATGGTCTTATGCGTATGATGTCATCAGTCCTATAGTGAGATGCACAACATGACCTCACTGAGGTCCAATCTCGCATATAACTTAGGAAAATGGCTGTGCATACCCTCTATGATATATATATATGACACTTTGCAAAATTATGGCAATCGTACAGTGTTGCCCCATTCCCTAGTTTAAAAGTATAAGAGAACAAAGTCCTACTTCAGCGGTTGTGTACAAAGTCCATGGAGAGTCAAAAGAAAGTATTTCCTAACAAAATTGGAAATGTTTTTCAGTCCCAGATTCATATCTTATCATAATTTTTGCAATTACTGAACTTCATTGAGATGATATGTGAAGAAAATCCTCTTTTAATTTATTTGACTTACATGTAGTACCAACAAACTAGTTGGTGACGTAAAAAACAAACTACCTTGGAATACCCAGCTCTAAGGCTCATGACATGGAATAACCCCATAAAATATGTGGCCAATACTGGACTACCTCCTTAAAAATCACGGCCACACTATCATGATCTGGAGTGACAAGGAGAACATTGTTGTTTTTTGCAATTTTTCACATTCAGCCTTTGCTGCTAGTTTATTTACGCTTTGGAAGCACACTCAGCTTCTTACTAGCAATGAAAACAAATTGGCAATCCCTAAGACGTCTACTTTTCATGTTACCCTTGGTTTGAAGTATGCATCTGGGTGCACATTTTTGCAAATTCATATGTGTGTGTGTGTGTGCGTACATCAGTAGCTACCACACATCTAGCTCCAAAAAAATTCTAAAATAACGACAACTAGGCGTGTGATTTTTCTAAGCGTGTGATTTTTCTAGGCGTGTGATTTTTTTAGGTGTGTAATTTTTCTAGGCGTGCGATCTTTCTAGGCTGATTCTGTGGTCCAAACTGCGAATGAACAATCTGGTATTTTTATTTATAATATTCATCTTGGTTTACAGTAAAGCCATTTCAAGAGCTCACAGAAGTATAATTTCAACATAAATGTATACTGAGGTGTGTAGTACAGAGGAGAGAGATTCAGGTGTGCGATTATTCGCACTTCCTGGGAAGCTTTTAGGTGGGCAATGGTGTGGGAGAATAAATTCTTTTCATACAATTCAGATATTTGGGATTATTAAACAATTTGGGATTTTTGTTTCGTTTTGTAGTTTTGAAGGAGTCAAGAAATGATGAGACAGCGTTTCATTGCAAGGTTGTGTGCCTAATCCAGCTCTCCCAGTTCCAGCATGCAATTAAAGAAATTGCCAACAATCCTGCTTTGGCAAGGTAAAACAGTATGGCATATTGATATCTTGCACATTTGTTTTTCAATCAAACATAATTATATAAATTATATAATATTGGATGGTTTTGAGGGGGATACAAGAATATATTTCACGAGCTGCAACAATATTGCACGAGTTGAACAATGTTATAGCGAGTGTAATATATTCTTGTATCCCTCGAAGAAAATGACATTTAATATTGTTGATATTATTATTTGATCTTGAACCGCAAAAAAATTATTTAAGGAGACTGTCTTTATTTTTCAAATTTCGTGGAATACTGTTCACTTACTGAAGCAAATTTCATGCCGCTCAGAGCTGGCTGGGTGCTGGCAAGTGTGTGTGTATACCCTGCTAGGCGCTGCGTCCCGGTGCGACGGTACAGTACGCTACGCTTTGTTGACAACTGTGAGTTTTTACGGTCGTGATTGTATGGAACCAGCGAAATTTGTTACAATGCCTGGATGAGGACAATATCAAAAAATTATATTGTCCTCATCCGAGTACTTTTACTGACATAATATTGCAGTCATCTGGGTATTTTTTTACGAAAGCATATAATACACCGATTTATTTGTTTTCCACTGGAAATCCGATATAAATAATAATGGGTATGGACTGTGTCATTCTCAATTTGCAAGAATTTTTAATGATTTTTTTTTCTCTTAATTGCTCTTAGTATCAGAAGAAAAAAAATCTTCTATGGATATGAAATTTACATATTTACTCAAATGTTCCAATATCCTATTGTTGGACTGCAGATCAGATCCTACGCAAAAGTAGAGCTTGTCCATTTTTTTAGGGACTCAATAAACGCACATTGCCTAAAAGTCACAGAATGGAGATCATCAGTCACTGCTTCTAATACTGGCCGTAACCTTTTCTTACTAGCTCAGAATTTGTTTTACATACCAACTTGCAACCCGGATCTTTCTGGGTGAAAGATATATAACAAAAACTCAAAGGAGTATAGGAAATCTGAAAAGGAAGTAGACAACTTAAAATAAAACTTTGAGAGCTCCGACGTTTTCATCCTCCTTGATTCTTTCGCTTTTACATTAGGAAAGATTCTTCTGACATTCAGGCCCTAACTTAATTACTTTTTCAGTCAGTTGGCAATTGTCCACGGATTTTTATTAATTTGAGTTATCATAGGAACCACATGTATTTATTAAATTTGAATATGTCAATGAAATCATGAGCTGCTTTTTTCTTTTCTTGGTACTTTGAAGTGGGCTGATGTTTGAAAAGGCGTACTGCCAGTATCGTCTGAACAGAATACAGGATGCACTGAATACTATCCAGGCTGTTGGCAACCCAAGCCCCAAACTCAAGGAACTCAAGGGCCAAGTGGTAAGGGGAAGACATTCCACACTCTTAATACAATTTAAACAAAACTGTACTTTTAGGTGGAGTTATGATCATGCTGTTTTAGACATTACAGCCTAGGGCTGTCCCGTATGTATCGAACATTCAAATATTTGATCAACTCAATATTCGAATAGCTGTTTACTGGTTTGAAGATGGACAGCCCTGTTTGAGTTCATTAATTATTCTGTTCCATGGCAGGTCACTAATATAACACACGTAATTTCTGTCATATTAAAACCTGTTTATGTTCTATTTCTTGCAGTTGTACCGGCTAGAGCAGTATAAGGAGTGTCTTGATGTTTACAAAGACTTGATTAAAAATACATCGGTAAGGTCAGATTATTAAAGGCACACATTGAATCACTTTAACTTACTTAATCCAGGTAAACCTTCCTGCCTGTACTCTCTATGGGCTCCGTGCGCCAACAAAAGAGGGCGTCCTTTTACCTAGCAACAACGTCCCATGGGCGGGACATTTCGCTGGTTGACGCGCACTGTTCCTTGTGTATGACACACGTACACCAGGGGATTTGTACTATGTACACGCATTGGCCGCGCTTTGCGCTTCTCGGCAAAATTGCAGTCAGGCAAGATGGCGTCGGTCGGCCACCCCCAACTGTACTTTCTTTGCCGTTGAGGGGGTACTTGTGAACGGAGCGGATATCGCCCAAAACCAACCCAGCACTCAGTGGCTTGTCAGGAATTGTCAGGGAATAAACACAATGCAATACAATGTAATCTACATCTACATCTAGGAAGGTTCTCATCAAAGCCTGTTCAGCATCTTAGATGAGGGAGTACAGGTGCTCCTGGGTTAGATTGTTGCAGGATATGAGACAGTGCCAAATCACTTCATAGCTGATCATAAAAGTTGTCTAAGAGTCTAGGAAAGCCAACTGGGTCAGATTGTAGACGTGGAGTCCAGGCAACGAGATGTGTGAATTTAAAGTTCATCCACGTGTCTGCCACGAACTTGCACATTATTTGTAGCAGTTGTAAGTTCTTGCTTACAACATTTTAAAATAACGATTAGACAATGGCAGGAAAGTCACTGCAGGAAAAAAAAATCATTTAAAATACTCCACACATACTTAGACTGTGCAGTATTAACACTATTGCCAATAATGAGTGGCCAGATTTGTCATAGTGTAGCAAGAACTTTAGCTTTTGGCCAACTGCCATCTCTTGGGATATTGACAAAGAGCCATGTTAAATTACTAGAGCACAAACTCCTCATACCCTTGCAAAGGCTACATTTGGAGGCATCCAGGGACCGGACAGATTGCATGAATACTAGGGCTGTGCATTGGAATCGGGTACCCGAGTACCCGACCGCAGATGTCAGGAACCGGTTCCACATTGGATCGGGTACCCGTAACCAACTTTACAAATTACGTACTAACTTCCCAGACAATGAAGAAGAAAGCTTTTGAATGTCATTTGTGGGGAATTTTCAAAATGAAAACCAGGCTACATTGGAAAACAAATCATATTGCATGTTTGTCATGCTCAAGAAAGTTGCAATTTGCACCGTAAAGATATTGTATAAGCTCACTGTACACACTTGTATTTTGCTGTATCGATGTACCGATGTGGTAGTATTATCATGCAGACCTTTATGAACAATCTGAACAGCAACTTCTGAAATTTGAATTTTGGGGTTGGGTTTTTTAAACGGGTACCCGGGTACTCCTGATTATTCTATTGGAAACCCGGTTCCTGTACTACCCATAAATAAACACGAGTTCCTATTAAATACACATGACCGTAGAATATTTTGAAATTAAACATTGTGAAATTTCACTGGTGAGTTATGTAATGTTAAGAGTACAACAAATGCTGCCGCATAGGCGCAGTTTCATAAGTATGAGCAAATAATCGGAAGTGCATGTACACACAAGCATGTTAATTGTGCTGAGTGAAATGAAATGCTGTCATTGTGCATCTCGGTTCGGGTGTATCAACTTCGTTTACGCAGTACAAATGCAGATATGCAAATAGCTGTACAAAAGCTGCTCAAATTTTCAAGCTTTCCATAGGTTTGTGCGCAAACCTTGACGTGTCCAGCAGGCTACACCGTGTACAGCAAATTAGCTGTCTTGTAATTAATGGGTTTTGATGACAAGTAAATGATGGTTTGAACCTGACCCATTTTCTGCAGTTTTCTGTACTTTAGTTTAAAACAGAATATCTTTACTGATTAGGTCTGCTTTATGACTTGTATTCTCCATAGGATGACTATGATGAGGAGAGAGCAACCAACCTATCAGCCGTGGTCGCTGCTCTGCAACTATGGCAACAGGAACCAGTGGTAATAATGGATGTCACGTTTACATGTACATTGTACACAATTGATTGTGGTAGATACATTACTGGGCAGGATCGATAAGCCAGTTTGGTATTTCAACTACGCATGCGCACAATGATATACGTCATGGGTCATTCAAGATAATAGAAGGCGTATGAATGCGCGCGGAGACGGTCGCATGACACGCTTATAACGTTAGTGACTTTATCCCGAATGACCTTTGACCTGGACTACTTCATTGAGATACGGAACTGGCTTAATCTGAGTACCTGTCCTGTGTCTGCACATATACTGGGTTAGGTTAACATTTAAATGGTGTGTAAAAGTTTCACTTGATTGTGTACAAATTAAACATGGATTTCTATCCTTATTTGCACTTCAAAACCCGTCAAGGTTTGCTTAAATACTTTTGCCCAGATAGTTGGCCCTTATTCTTCAGAACTCTCAAATTTCCTGTTGGGTATGGATGACAATTCAAATGTGATGCGATCAAGCTACATGAGTCGTTTGTCAACCCTGGTAAAAAAAATAAAATTATTACAGATTGCAAAAGAGCACAATCTCAGCATTATTGCTTTGAAAACCGCATGCTGATACTATCTTTAGTTTAAAAATTATGGAAGTCGAAACACCAAGAGATGTGATTAAGTGATGTGATGAAGTGGCCCTATTTTGGCCTGTTTCTCTACATTAGAATTCCTGACAAACGATTCATTTAGCTTGATCGCATCACAAATAGAGAATTTGGTTCCCTGCATATTTCTTGTGTTTGGTTAAAGCTCAGGGCAGATGGGTTTGGTCATGACTCACTGCTCTCCACAGTGCTCACAAAATCATTGATTTGTCTGCTTCAAGCTTTTCTGTAAGAATAGAATATCAATTAGAATAGAATATCAGTTAAAGCAAAAAAAATTCTTGAACGACTCCAACTTCAGGCAGATCTTGGGCTGAAGGAGGATACCTTTGAACTGAGCTACAACAAAGCCTGTCTGTTGCTCGGCCAGGGGGAGTATAAGCAGGCATTGGATCAGCTGGACCTGGCAGAAGAGCTGTGCAAAGATGGTTTGGAGGATGAAGCCGTAAGTTGCTAGAATCAGAATTTTACAAAATCACTCTCACACACTCACACTTTAGCTAAACCAAAATGTACTGTTAACTATCTGGTTCTTTAATTTACTGTTAACTATCCGATTCGTTTGTGTGACGTCAGTTCGTTTTAAACCGTGCCCACTGGCCATTAAGTACCATTGGAACCATTGGCCACATCTGGCCACATTTGAGAGGAAAAATCACAGTAACGAAATTCCATACCAATGTTGTCGGTATTTGGTTATTTTGACAGCATCATTCAGTGATGCTTGGTATTACAAAAATATTGTCACTGTATCATATTATTGAAATATAGTCCAAGCCTACATGTATGTTGTACCCAAAGTCCAAGCAAATTGGTTCATTTTTGTGCAGGAAATGACTGCGGATGAGATTGAGGCAGAGCTGGGCGTGATCCACGTACAGCGAGCCTACATACTGCAGCTGCAAGGCAAGACAGAGGAAGCCATGAAGATATACAATCAGCTCGTCAAGTCACGGTGAGAAACAACACCATTCACATAAAGGCACGAGCAAATTCAGTGGAGGGCCATTGGTCGACTAGTGGGCTTGGAAAAAAAACTTGTTCTCACTCAGTCCTGCTCCATAATGTAGTGAAGTAGGGGTACTGTGCTTGCCTGCATTGAACTGCTCTGTATATGGGCTCCGTGCACAAGTACCCCTTCAACGGCCAGAAAAGGAGAGTTGGGGGAGACCTAGACTGGTTCCCGGTCCATCCACTGTGTGTTTCGAATGATCCAAAGTTATTGGGGGAGGGGAGTCGTCTGCAAGTTAAATTTGAACGTATTCACGCGGCGACAACGCTTGACGCTAAGATGCTAGGGCTTAGCTTAGTGCACATATAGGATAAATAAGTCGTGCGTACTTCGCACGTGAACCAGTAGAGCATGCACACGCAGTGTCCCTTCCATCCAAGGGGCTCTTAAAAATGGTAAAAAATTGGCGCACGGAGCCCATACATGTCATCATTGTGAATTTCTTAATTTAAATGCATTTGGAGACAGTTTTGTACATCATGGCACATTTGTGTACAGGATTTGATGATGTGAATGTGACGCTGACTTTCTGCAGACTGTTCTATTCTGCACTGCATGTGCATCACCTGAAATACGGTGGTTCAAACGTGCTAATCTTTACAATACGAGTATTAAATAACATGGGAAAGATGCTCGGGGCTGTTTTGCCAACATTCATAAAGTCACAGATGATATGGTCAATAAGTTGCTTTATATATCGTGTCTTGGATACTGTGATTTCATTGGTCTAGAATGGCCCTGTGTCCCGTCTATAAAAGTGACTGTTTGCTTCATATACTGCGTTGCATATATATTATCTACATGTATTCACTTCATTGCATATATTGCCTGCACGCGAAGGATGCATTGGTAGGGCCCACGCGCCTTGCAACAGAGAACTGCAACCTCTCAAGCTCATGTCTGGCAGGAAAACTCACAGTAATCAAAAGATTACACTGCAGTGATGTAATTTATTTCCTGCATAGCGAGTTCAAAAACTTCCTCTTGGCCTGATTTAACAAAACAGTTGTCTACAAAACAATTGTTGTTGGGGCGCATAGCACCCTCGGCTTCACCTCGTGCTATGCAACCCTCCTGCTCCGGTGTTAAAACTGTCATATCCCATATTTTAACAGTCAGCAATGTTGAATATGAAAGGCGTATTCTTTGCATTTTAATATACAAAGTTCCTTTTTCTGTATGCAGAATTTCTTTTTCTGTACATTACAAAGACAACATTCTTGTAATTATTGTCCTGCAAAGGAGATATATTACTTGCAAAACAGATAAACGAGGGAAAGGTAATATTGAGAACTTAGCACTGGGATAATTAGCATACAAATGTAACAATGAGAAATTCTGTTCATTTTTCATTGTTCTATTGACATGGTTTGTGCTCCTTGTTTTCCCAGACCCTCGGACATTGGCTTGATGGCAGTTGCTTCCAACAACATTGTCAGTCTAAATAAGGTAAAATGTGAACAAAACATGTTAAATGACATATTTTGGCCATGTCTATGGTATGTGCCTCGCATGCGGAGTGCTAATAATCTCCTTCTATGGAGATTGGCGAAGCACATACTGAGCGATGTGGTGCAGAACGCAGCGGTGTTTTACAAGCGGTTAAAAACCACCCTCATAACGGGCTCTCGACCAGTAGGAATGGGTAAACTGTCTCAGGTATTATGAATGCTATATAAATTGAAAACTGTTAAGGACAAAGGAGAAACGGCTTACAACCTTCTCTCTCATTTCATTGTAAACATCATGTTGTGAGATTGAAATGTTAGGCTTGTTCCTAAATTTATCCTTGAGTATCTCAGAGGTGCCTGTTGAATTTTCATTGGCAGCGTTGGTGGCTAACGCAGTCAATATGTTTCACTAGACAAAGTCTAAGTCATTTTGTATCGAGAGCGTGCACTCAAAACGTTCTTTTTTTTTTCAGTTGCAATTTTCATTATGCGTGTAATTGAACTTTCTGATGTATATACACTGAAATCGCGATAAGTCAAACTCAGAGAACTTGAAACTCCGTTTTTCTGGAAGTGATACTTCATTCCCGTCAAGAAAATAGGATAATATGTACATGAATAACCCCGCAACTCGAAATGCCGTACCTTCATTTAACTCAAAGTTTTGTTGGGACAGTCCATAAGAAGCTGCAACCTAAACAGTCACAAAGAAGCATAAAAAGATAGCAAAACTTTTTCATTAGTCATTTTTGCGGAACGCACTTCTTCTTTTCACGTGGGGATGCAGCGTACACAGTGCCATTGTGATCGGACTCCTGTCTGTAACCGCAAAAAAATTCCTGGCTTTCAAGCCAGATTGCTACCTGTGGCCCAATTGGAGTTAGCCTTAGATCGCTACCACTGGCCAAGCTGCAGTTTGCACGATAGCGCGCCCTCTACTGATCAAATAGGACCGGTCAAGTGACTGCACATCGGAAAACCCTGAGTGTGGTCCGTGCGAAGCATCGTGTGATCACTAGTCTAGACTAGACAACGACAAATGACACAAAGTAATAATTTGCTTCACAAAGTTACACAATTTGAGTGTTTTTTTTTACATTGATCACTAGAGCAGACATTTTTAGGTAAGAAAAATATATACTCTGACCAAAATGATGATTTATGATTGAAATATACATTATTAAATTGAATTAACAAAAAGGAAACTGAGCCACATAACGTGTCCATTTCATAGCCAGGCATAAAGAGTTACAGTGAAACCCATTCATGTACTTGCATATGCACGTGATCGTAGAAAAATTAGGGACTTTGCTTAACTCGAACTTCAGATATCTTGACTTTTGTTGATTTAATGACCTGACATAACCTCAGTCACAGCTTTAGATTGACCCTACTTGATTTGAGTCACAAAATGCAGTTGCTCATCGCAACACTGACTCCCCTTCTCTGCCTTTGTCACATTTACACAGGACCAGAATGTGTTTGACTCCAAGAAGAAGATCAAGGCGACTACCGCGGACGGCCTGCAGCACAAACTCACCTCAAGTCAGCAGTCGGCCATCGCTTACAATCGCTGCATCCTAATGCTGTATACCAACCAGGTGAGAGACAAACCTGAATTGAAACGCAAATTTCTGTCCCCCTGCCAAATGTACAAAATTGTTATCATACAATGTAAGTGCAAAATTCCATAGTTAGTACGGCCATAACAGTTTGTCCATTGTTCATCTTCCATGAACTCAGTTGATTACAATATAAAGTCAGGTCTCGGCAAAGGTATAATTGACTAAAACCGGCATACAGTCACAGTAGAATGTCCATTTAACAAACACAATAGGGTCCGCAAAATACTAATTGTTGTAGTGGTCTGTTGCTATTGATATTTTCAGCTTCCAGTGTACAACATAGTGACACATACAAGTTTGGAGCTTTGTTCATTTTATTGCGTTGTACTTTACAATATTGATTTTGACTGTTCCTTGGGAAGAATTCCAAACATGGACATCAATATTTGTTTTCCCTGCAGTGACCTATCAGGCATTAGAAAGTGATAACATGTCCTAAAAATTCAAATTTAGGGAAAATATTGAAGCATTTACTAAGAAAACACTTGGAATTTGCCAGACAAGTTTCATAGGGTTTGTGCACAGTGTGTCAAGTGATGTATTGAACTCTTGCCGGTACTTTTGGTAAAATAGAATTTGGTCGACTTTTGTTTGGTTTTGGTTTTTTACAACAGTATGATCAGTGCAGGAAGCAGCTGCAGCAGTTGAGGGTGTCATGCCCAGACAGCGACATGCCGTGCTTGGTGGAGGCTGCGTTGCTCTGCAGGGAGAAACACAACGCTAAGGCAGTGCAGAAAGTCCGGGTAAGGGGCATATATTAGCTCTGTCTCAATAAAACAATTTGTTTTGTTTCCGATGGACAACAAGTTGGCAAGAATGTAGCCAGAACTTTCATATGGGGACTTCAGCCTGGAAATGCCCTAACAGTTTCTAGCCGCTAGCGGGATGCCGCGCTTTGTGCGGCTCCTGCTAGCTTGTCAGAGCGCCCTCATTTGACGTATTTGAGAAGGGGTTCTTAATACAGTTAGGTTTCGAAATAGCGAGGTGGAGAGCACAGACTGCAGACTTTCTGACTGTAGTTGGCGCTGCTCATCGTAGCCTCTTCTTTCTGACACCAACATGATTTTGTAGATGAGAATCAAATATAGGGGCCATTACAGCCTCCCACAACCCCAACAAGTGAGGCCTGACCTGTGGACATTGCCTTGTCAGCAAAAATGCAATGCAAAAATGAAAATCCTATTGGTTATTGTCCTTAATTTGATTTCCCCTTTCATAAAAAGGGGGCGGTGATATTCAGGCAGCTTAGGAAGGAAAATTTGAAAACAAATAAAAGGGTGCATTTTGATGTGACCACATACACTTCCGTCTTTACATAGAGTGCAGAACAAATAGAAATCACTCGTCTACAGTGTGTATTGTGCCTGCGTGCTGTGCCCATGACTTTCCCGGTCCTTCTTAAATGCCGTGTTGTTATTCTGTCATTGCAGGATTACATCAAGAGCAAACCCAGCGTTACACTGCAGGTCAAACTGACACTGGCTCAGCTGTATATCATGCAAGGTATGGCAAGGGAATCACTACTGTGCAGAAGTCAAGTCTTTCAATAGTAGCATCTGATACCGAGCCTCTATTTCTTTGCATTCTCTCTACAATCATAGCACCAGAAGTACTGAATGGTCCATTTTGTCAAAAGATTGCACACACTTGCCAATATTATTTCATATAATTGTGACCGTCACCACAAAATGAGCATGAACTCAGACGTTTTAAGAATTGAGAATTGTTTATATTTGTGGTCTAGCGGTAGAGCATAGGATTCGTGATCTTGAGGTTGTGGGTTTTCAGAGCTCCGCTGTGGCCATATGTGTTGTGCCCTTGAGTAAGGCGCTTTACCTCAATTACTCCTCTCAACCCAGGTGTTAAATGGGTACTGGCATTATTCAAGTAATGCTGGGACGGTAACAGACTTGCTGTGGAGGAGGCGTGTTGATCCTCCTACAGCAGTAGCATTACATTGCGTCTGGCCCAATTGCTTTGAAAGAGAGATGGGCACTCCGTTCACCCCCTTTACCTTTTATATATTTGGACTCTGCAGAACTAGGGCTTTCTAATGGTATATAACATTTGGGTGTTCTGATTTCAGTTATGGAAATATAGACTGCCTACTAAATTGAAGTTGGATAAGTACTTTTGGAGAAAATCCCAATGAAAATGGCATTTTAAAATCCAACTTACATACTTGGATGAAAATAAGTTTTAAAGATGTTTGATGGGATAAAAATTACTGTAAAGGTAGAACGGGACATACAGATTGAGGTTCAGCTGTAAACGAGGTTCACTCCTTGAAATTTCACTGTTCTGCAAAGTGGTAATTTCCGACTTTATGCTCATTTTGTGATGACAGATCACAATTAAGTCAATTGGCACAACTCTGGTACAAAACGATAAAGAGAGACTAAAATAAAACTTTGTAATGCGACCTCAAACATTGGCTTGTGAAATACATCAGGACCTCATCTTTGGAAATTTTGGCCCATTTTGTTGGCTACAAATTATGTTTCTTTTCAATGACGATTTCGTGAAGCTGTAAAAACAAACATGGAACAGCCATCAAATTTGCAATTTTGATGCGTCTTGCTTATGATGCATTTAGTGAAATCGGTCTCAGGATTCATCTTAACTAGGATCGATCTTAGAGCAGGGACTCGTCTTAAGTCCTAAGATGAGTCGCAAGATAATACAAGTTTTGTGAATTTGCCTCCTGGTGATAGGGTTCACTATCAACAAGACGATTCAAATCCAGTCTTAGGAACTCTGACAGTGCTACCCAGGAATTCCCGAGCATACCTCACACTCTCGCATTATCTTAAATACAGCACACGTGAGGTATGCTCGGAATTTCCTTGGTAGCGCTGCCAAAGTTCCCAAGACTATTTTGATTCATCTTGTTGATAACCTGTATTACCACAGCAGCGTTACCCTGTTTGTCAGTGACCAGCTAGTCAGTGTCCAGTCTGGGACCCAGACTACAACCTGACTTGCTTGCCCGTGACATATTTGTGCTTATATAAGAGGGCAGTTACGAGAAAAAAAGAAAGAAAACTATCCTACACTTGATTTGCATGTCCTTTTCAGGGAACGTAAGCGAAGCTTGTGAGGTGTTGCAGAAGTTGGACGCAGACACCTACAAGCCTGGCATTGTGTCCAGCCTGGTGGCGCTCTACACTAACCTGGACAATCCAGAGGGCGCTATACAGGTGCTGGACAAGGCTGTCGAGTGGTACAAGCAAGAAGGGGTGAGTAGGGTTAACCTTAAATGTATTATCAAGTTTCTTTTATGTTTTCATATAACGTTTTGCCCTTCACTGAAATAATGTATGTGAGGACTGTGTGCTATGTGCTCTTTGAGGACAAGCGAGGACAAAAATGAAGTTGTGTTGGTTGGCCTCGAATTTGCAAACTTCTGCTTACTAGTGCAGATGCCTATATCACGTAACCCAAATATTACAAATTATCTAAATTCCATTAAATTGTAATCGGCTGGGCTTCAAATATTCTGTTTTCAGTGCTTTTTGTTTAATTGTAGATGGATATTCCATTGTAGAATTATGAATTTTTTTAGCAGTATGACATTTTTTTAGTAATGCAATGATTTGTAAAAGTTGGAAAAATTTCTCTAAAAGTTGTCCTTCTCAGTATTGAAAATTTAGCAGTGTCACCTTCTTTCTTTATTGGTCGTATTCTGAACATGACAGGTATTATAATTTTGAATTAACTGTACAACAAAAATAGGGGGAGCATTGTTTGTACATATATGACCTCTCCTCATTTCTGTCTGAATTCACAAGAACATGTCACAAGAACGTGTGCATTAAATTTGTATTCCAGTGTTGCAAAGGATTTGTTTCTCATGGATATGATGATAATAATTAATAATATTAATTTATTCATTTCTAAAGTGCAGATTCCATAAAATATGTTCACAAGCGCATTACAATTCTTGAAATTCTTAACGCCACTGACAAATAATAAATTAATTCAAATAACAATAATATTATGGGAAATTGTACATAAGGGAGACATGCCCATATGGTTGTGCACAGATTTTTTTCTAACTTTAATGGCCCCTAACCCCTATTTCCCTTATCCTTCCCAACGAATTTTGGTTTTAATAGTTATGTTTAGGAACACGAGCAATCAATCTAGTTTATGGCATTTAAATTTTGCCTCTAAATAGGAGTTGTGACATTATGGAGGTATTGAAATGTCTCCTTAACCCTAACCGAACTCAATCCATCAAAGTCCAACAGCAGGTGTTGTTGAAATATGTTAGAATGGGAACAGTACCCCTAAACTAGTCCAACAGTGTGTGTGTACGATTTCCCATGCGGGTGTTGGAATTTGCCTGGATGGGTATGGTTCCTAGTAAATTATGCTAGGGAGTTAGGGTTATTGTCCGGTGTCTCCCTAAGGTATAACTTATGACAAAAAAGGTATCCTTAAGGGTTCATTGAGAGGAATTGAATTATATACATATACTAAATTAATTCCAATAATAATACTGATTCATTTACTGTGCATATAGGAGAAACAGAGCGAGTTGAACACCCTTCTGAGAGAGAATACCAACTTCAAGCTGAAGCATGGCAAGTCTCAAGCTGCCGTCAGTATGCTGGAAGACCTGAGAAAGTTAGTACCTACTCCTTACGAAATGTCTGTCCCTTAATAGGACCTTGCTTTGCATATCTATAACTTAAGCCTAACTCTCCCAGATCATGCAAAACCCACCAGGAGGATTTTGTAGGATTGTGGAAGTTAGAGCTCGGCCACTATTTCTATACATAGGGCTTGAAATCCCTTGAAAGTTAACTTACAAAGAATGTGTCCATTGGGTCATAATTTGGTAGAATAATCTCCTTTTGTAACATCAAATAATCATGATTTTAATTCGTATTACTAGCTCTGTACAAACTTTTATGTTATTTAACTTCTGTCATTGTCCTTGTAATTGTTAGAACTTTGTTAATTTCTCACAGTGGGGTCTCCACTCGACAAGCTCATGCTTTTTGGAGACCACCATCTATAGCATAGCCTCTCTACTGTCTTAGGGACACAATGTGCTATTTACTAATGCTGTTGTCTTGTTTTTTGTAACCAGGGCAAATCCAGATGATGTTAGAACCCTAGCACAGCTCATCTCAGCTTACTCCAAGTTTGACCCCAAAAGAGCGCAGGAGTATCCTTTTGGCAGGCATTTGCTGAATTCCTTTTAACCCCTAGTAAAAGAGGCACTTTTTTAACCTTCTCACAGCAGTAGGGGATAGATTCCAACATCTCCTCTGATCCCTGCTTTGTATGAACACATTTAATTTCAATTGCCGTTTGCGAGCTAGCCACGCCCCTTAGACAAGTTTTGTTTGTCTCAGATTTTTCGCGTCCATATGTATATCGTGTAATTGGACAATATTTCACAAGGTGCATTGACGCGATTCTAATACGATAGCTCAATTGTGTGTGTGCTGCACAAATATCCATAAAGTGAAGTAAAAAATTTCAAAGGAGCAAGGAGGTTTGTGATAACCTTTTTTCCATGCTCAATCAATGAAAAATTCAGCAGTAAAACTTTTATAATTGAAAGGAGTAATATTGAATATAAGCCTATAATGCTTTACAAAAATGAAAGTCCCATCTGCTATTGGCTGTGTGCATAACTACCTGAAAACCATGTTTGCTACTGATGGACATTATCAATTCCATCATGTACCATCTCAAGATTTGAAGACTGAATATTTTGGATTGGGTAGAAATCCAGAATGTGGCACATACTCAAACCGTTCAACCAGTCAAACATTTACACACACTCTCAGTTTTTACGGTGGTTTTACCTGGTTGGTCACTAATGTAATACTACAGAACACTATATGCTGAGTACTCTACAGAGATTTTAAAAAAACATGCTTAATTGGGTGGGATACTCCATAATTCATAGACTGGACACCTGACCTCAAAGCACAGATGTATATGAAAACAGGCAACAGCCTCCTGCTTCTGATGTCTTATTGTTGCTATGCATAGGAGATCTTATTGGTTGAGCTTTCACGAACACTCAGAACAGAGATATCTGTGCGACACATCCAATTTGATATTTAAATTAGGTTGACCCTTACATCATAGGTTGACCTGACAGTTGACGTGCTGCCTGGTATCAAACTGTAAATGGCTGTCCACAATAATCCATCATTTGGAGTCTGTGTTCAGACTACATACTTTGTAGCAGTATTTCCTCCTGACCTTTGACCTCAAGACTGAGCCGTGAGCTGCCCCCAGTGGCGGCCTTGTCAGGCGCGGTGGACGTAGACGCCCTGGAGACCACGCCCCTCTCCTTGGCCTCGCGCCAGATGAAGAAAGCTGGAGGCAAGACAGAGAAAATGGAGACGGCGGAGAGTAAGACTGCAGCATCGATCGTTAAGAAGAGCAGAAAACGCAAGAAACGTAAGTTGTTCTGGACTCTCTTCAAGCTGATTCATGCTGATTGATAGAAATATTCATTGAAATGCTAATACTTATTCTCTTCATGTGCCTTATTCACGAGTCGGCTATATTGAATTGAATTTCAGGTAAAAGCTTAATTTTTAGAACTTGCGAAGAGAAATGAAAGCAACTTAATGTATAATCTTCAATGAATAATTTGAAATTTGTAATTAAACATTCCCTAATGTTTAAAGCCATATTTAAAAAAAAACAATGACAGTAAATTAAGGCTACATTGTGCCTGCATAAAAAGCCTGGCCATCCCATTACACAGTTAACAATTTCTGAAATACATTCAGGGAACTCGACAAAAATGGCCAACTCGTGAATAAGGCTCATTGTGAATGCAAATGCAAAGCTTGGTGATGTCAGGCAGTGTTGGGGCAGCATTTGCCAGAGTTGAATGTGAAAACCTTTTCCATATTTTTTGAGTACAAACTTTAACTTTCATTTTCCTGTTGACAGCAAGTCTGAACCCAGCATTCAGATTAAAATATCTGGATATGAAGGGCCCGCTGTTCAGTTGGGCCTCACAAAAGATAGGCCCTACTTAAACATATACAAAGAAATGAGGTTTGGATTTTCAGAAATTGTTTTTGTATTTGGTGAACATTAAACAGTTCCCAATATGATGAATTTGATATAAATTATTGGTAGTCACGAACTAGCGTATCTCATGTGTCACAGCATGAAGACAAATTTGTCATATTTCAACCTAATACAAGATTCATCAGTAATCTTCTTTAAAGAAGGACAAATTTAGTTCCCAGGACAAAAGTAGGGGAAGAAAATATAAACTTCAAGTACCACTCTCACTGTCTCTGTCTACGTTGATGTGTTTGTCACACGTACGTTTTTTCATGTTCTAAGATATATGTAACACATGAATTGTGCTTGACTGCAGGACATCTCCCAGCAAACTGTGACCCTAGTGTGACCCCTGACCCAGAGCGTTGGCTACCAATGCGAGAGAGGACCTCCTACAAGGGCAAGAGAAAAACAAAGAAGGGAGCTATTGGCAAAGGCACTCAAGGTGCTACGGCTGGCAGCAGTGAAATGTAAGTAGTAAACATGAGGAAAACTTACACAGAACCACGACCATAGAACCACAGAACCAAACTATAAACAAGAAAATAGACTGGGTCATGAAAGCAATCCATATAAAAATAATAATAAGAAGAAGAACCATAAGTTCTTATAAAGAGCTATTTCATATTGATCACAGCGCTCTGACAAGCATCAAACCTCATTTGATTGAACATTCCAGAAAAAAAGGATGATCTAATATCAATGATCATGACTACTACTAAGTTGGAAATAAGTGGTTCTTTTAGTTCTTCCTAAATGATTGAATAGTGTCTAACAATTTGATTTGAGATGGCAGTTCATTCCAAAGTTTGGGAGCTGCGTTAGTGAAAGCTTTGTCACCAGCAGAATTTAATACAGTCCTATGTTCAGCAAGAACAGTGCAGTCAGAGCCAAAGCGAAGGCCAGGTCATTAAATACACTTCCTGCAGTGCACATGTTTAGCAAGGGAAGCACGGTACCGAGTCTCTATTTCTTTAACATTTCCTTCACAAATCTGGCAGCCATATTGCTACTAACTAGCTTTAGTAAGTTTTTTTTTAAATTCTTTATGCTGTTTTTTTCTATTGAAATTTTCCATGTTCTTCCTTACTTTGACATAATTGTGACAAGTCTTAATTACTGAATGTATACTTTGGATTGGTTCAGCATGATTGCTAGTTTGTTTTGATTATAAAAAATATTTTGATTTGTTTTTACATATTTTATTTCCAGGGATGCCAGCAAGCCCAGTACCAGCACCCCCAGCTCCCCCCGCGCCGGCTCAGCTACGTCTTCCGCCCCGACGACCGCATCTTCTGTGGCAGGCCCGTCACCTAGGCAACAGAAACAAGGAGGACAAGGCGCAAAGAAGAAGCAGAACAAGAAGAAGAAAGGAGGCCAGAAATGGTGAGCCAGAGAAGACATCAGAAGAAGACGGCATGCTCATGCCAACCCGAGGTCCAAGATGGATACTTGGAGAAAATTTTATTCTCTATAAGTTCTAAATTTTCAGATTACTTGTTTTGCATTGCATAGGCAATACACTAAAGGCTACACACGTCAAAGGGAATATACAACATTTGAAAACATCAAAAAAACGAAATGATCAAATTATCATGAAATATCTCACTGGATTGTTACGGAATGACAGTCCAAAGCACCCTGTAAAATTGTGGCTCCTGGTGTGCTGACATTTTCAAGAAAACTTGTATTTTTCCAACGCTGGTCGGCCGACCAGCATTGGAAACAACTGGCTTTTTTTTTCAAATCCTGCCCCTAATTTTTCTTATTTAGTTATTTCACATTTTCTTTGCAGCCTGCTAGACTGATTCTCTGACCTTACAATTCCCCAAAGTCTATAAATTGCTCTGTTTAATCTTAAGTGCGGTCAGGGAACCAGACTACAAGAACATGGTTGGTTTTCTTGAATTTTCCAGCATCTCCAAACCCAAAAAGTCATTTTCACAATATTTGCTTTATCATACTAATCCTCCAAATCCATTTATTTCCGAAAAATTGCAGCAAAAGCAAATGTTGTACATTCCCTTTAAATGTAATGCATACCATTTGCACAAAAAAAATCATTCACTGAATCAAGAAACAACAGTACAATAAATCTGAAGCAGGTTTTTAAAAAACTACTTTGTCAAAATTTCGGCTCAGTAGATATACTTTTTTGAGAAAACTGTAAAAATGCATCTTCATTTGTCTCAACGCAATGCAAGATTTCTGTTGAATGCCCTCCATTTCAAAGTTCCCTTCCGTGTTTGCACCCAACATGTCCGTATGCACACACCAGGTCAATATCGCTGGCTTGCTCATCCCATTCATGGATATGTAACCATTTTCAAACCCAACTAAATTTGGTCAATTTGGGGCAGAATTTGAAAAAACAATCTTTTCCCAGTGATGGTTCTGTCTCAACCATCGTTGGGAAATGATGGTAATTCCTCTTTTCTTGAAATGACAGCATACCAGGCGCAACAATTCACTTACAAGCAAGTAGGATTGGCAGTTATGTTTTGGAATGTTTGCAAATGGTACCAAATACTTTCAAGCAAATATGCAAATGATAGTAGGACTGCACTGTGATAGTAATCAAAATGTATGAAACTCAAAATGTTACATTCATTGCCTATGTAAGCAAAATGTAGACACAATTCAAGAGGTTGTTGATTGCTGAACACCAAAATATAACACAATGGCACAGTCCCAGTTGTTTGCAATTCATGGTTAGATGTAAACGTAAAATTGATTGGTGAATTATTTTGTTCAGCGTGTGCCTAAAATTAAACGTCTGTTGTAGCTTTTAGGCTATCATAAAAAAATCGAAAGATTTGTGATATCGTAAGTAGCAGTCAGATTCTTCTAACAACTGATCGCTGTTTCGACATGATCGCAGCACTAAAGCTAAAACAACAGAACCAAAAAGCCTTGCTGGTGAGCCGTTAGTTTGCTACCCCCAGTTACGATTTTAAGACCGGCCGAGATTGAACTTGAAAAAAACAAACAGCAGTCAAAATTCATATATTTACTTTTACGACAAAATTTACTGCTTTGTAATTTTATGAATGATGATATCATCTGGCAGTCAAAGACCTCTTTAAATCTTGTTGAAATTATTGAAACACAATAACAAGCGAATACTCTTGTAAGAACTATGGTTCAAGCAAGAGGCTGAAGAGACTATGAGTTCTGTGAAATTATGTCTAACTCCAAAGTTGTCTTTAAGTGACCAAATGTCCAAAAGAATTTACTAAAATGAGTACAAATATATTACCAACATTTGTTGACTAAAATAATGTTTTGTTGTTCTCTGGACAAATTGGGGATGTAGACAAGAGTAGTACAACCACAGCCTAATATCTTGGTCCAATGTCGATGGAACTGCTACACAAACAACAGGTTACCAGTTAAAATCCCATGCAATACATATTGCTTATAACTGCTGATTTATTTCGAGTACATACATTTTCCAAGGAAGCAAAAGTTCCTGCTTAAGACCTCCATAAAATTGGGCCCAGCTAAAGTAGCTATGGGCTCCATGCTGCACAAGTGCCCCCCCCCCCCCAAGAATGGCAGATGGGGGATACCACTTGGGGAAACATTTGAACGCAATGCTGACGCTCACGCGAAGACGCCATGGCTTTGTGCACATTCAGAACTGAAAAAATGGTGCGTACTTTGCACTATACGCTCACGAAACAATACACACACGCAGTGTCTCTTGTCCAAGGGGCTCTCTAAAGTGATAACAATGTGTCCTCTCTTGTTTGGGCACTGAGCCCATAGAAACGCTGTGTAGAGATGGAAAAAAACAACCTAGCACAATTTCCACTGCACACTATCGGGTAGAAAACCCACTTGCTGCATTCCCATGTCATAAATGGGGGGGGGTTATATATCCCCCAATTTTTGACAAGGGGGGGGGGGGGGCTATTGAATCAAACTCCCCCCCCCCACTTTTTCGTAATGAGAAAAAAATTGCAGATTTCGATGTATTTTTCGAACATCCCAACAACCAAAATGTATTCAATAGCACTGAAAAATTGAGAAACAAAATACATAAGCTTCACAAATGGGCCGTTTTGATGCAAGTGCGAGTATACATTGCGATATACATCTATATCCTGAAGAGCACCCAGTGAAATGTTCAGTCCCCCTCCCCCAAATTTCCACGACCGGGCATTATTTGGATTTTGGTCATCCCCCCCCCTCACCCCCCCCCCCCCACCCTCACTCGCCAGCACAGATTTACGCCACTGTGCATTCCCATTCATAAATACAATTTGTATTGAAATCATGTTAGAACTATTAAAAATTGAAGTGAACTTAACAGCTTTAAATTATTCATTTTATTACGGGCGATTCACAATAGTGCGCCTTCAAGAGTTTGCAACGCGTTGGCCAATCACAATGCGCAAAATCAGTTGACCTTTTCCAAACGCACATTGGGTCAACCGATTTTGCGCATTGTGATTGGCCAACGCATTGCAAATCCTTGGAGGCGCACTATTGTGAACCGACCGTATTCTAAAACTCTAGTGAAGACTTTTTATTTATATTTGCTTTTTGGTGTTTTCTTCATATTCTATTCTTGGCATTTTCATCCCTGTTCACAGATCTGTGGGGAAAAAATCCACTTCAATATTATTTAAGTCCTTTTTTCAGCTTGAAATTTAATTTAATGCTACTTATGAGGATTCAATTTTTTTTCATGAACAATGTTTGAGGTAAAGAAAAGAATGTATCGTTCTTTAAGAATTGGTTGTTCAAGGACAAAAAAAACAGATTAAACGAAAGATAAAGTCACCTAAAGTCAAGAGTAAGGTAAACGATTTCACAGTCTGTTTTATTGTTCATTTCCCTGGATGACTATATGGAACACAACTTGAGGCAAAGCAACAGAGATGCGACGATGCTCTCCAGAATGCAAAACTAACATATTTAAAAATATTTAAATATGAAGAAAGTGGGGAATCGCATTGTTTGGATCAAATGTGACTGGTAGAGCCATTTAATATTGGCCAATCAGAATCAGGATTTCAAACTCTCTCATCCAACACTGACCAATCACATTAATCGCCCTGTGTCTGGTATCTTAAAAAGAAATTTCAAGATCAATTCTTCTGTTGTTTTTCAAAGCTTTAAAAAGTGATTTTTATATTCAAATTTATATATTTCTTCATTCTGTGAAAATATCGATTAATTTCGGAAAATACTCAAGAAAAATAAGGTTCTTCTAAAATTGTATTGCTCTGTTGCCATCCATGCCTTTAATTTTATTGCGAATGTCAGACAGGATTGGCATGTCCAATCCCCAACACAAGAATGCGTGGAAATGTAAATGCAAACTCCACGATGCAGTGTCAAACTTGCTGTGGCGCGACATTGAACTAGTCTGTGGCATGTAAATTATCATGAAAGGTACGCATTCCGTACCTTTCCGTACCTTTAATAAAAACAAAACAATATCATGCCTATGATCTGTGCATTTGGGCTGCATCCCCTTCTGTTTCCAAAAATTCCCTTGACACTGCATTGCATCATTCAAAGAAGCCATGTGGGCCTACATTTGTAATTAGGCCTCCCCTACGAAGCGCTAAAAACTTAATCCAAATACACGAAATGTAATTTCATTACTGCAATTTGTCTTAAAAATTGAGTAATTTTGTTAGTTACTTTTTCAATGGTCGGCCAGTAGGCCTACCAAAGGGTGTAAAACAGTCGACAATTTTGGTAGTTTTCCATTGTTTGGATTGTGATTTGAATTTTTTACATTGACATCACACTCACGTGCCTGCTGGCGTTCTGCCAAGCCGAAAAAGTGGTCAACAAGGTTCATTATTGGCACGTATAGTACGGGGCAACACGACAATGCGCCGTAGTAGGCCTACCCAAAGGGTGCAAAACAGTCTACAATTTTGGTAGTTTTCCATTGTTTGGATTGTGATTTGGAATTTTTCCATTGACGGTCACACTCACGTGCCTGCTGGCGTTCTGCCAAGCCAAAAAAGTGGTTCCCATAATACTATAATATCAACAAGGTTCCAATGCGCGGAATTATAAACACACGATTCGTGCACTTGTGTCAGACTTTCTGTGGCCCGACATTGAACTTTGTGTACCGTACCGTACTATAAATACTACATTGTATTTAGAGTCTGAAGATTGTGGCATCCAAATGCCTGTAAGTAAACCCCAAAAGGCTGTTTGTGCTCACTTGTATGGAAAGAACTACTCAGTAGTAGTTTGTAGCATTAGGGGCGGTTAATTTAGGGTTAAGCCTGAATATTAAAGGCACGTTGGCAATTAACCAAAAATGCATACGTACGTATAGATGTAACGAGAAAATTATTCCTCAAAGTGAAGACAGGACAAGTACCCTGTGAAATTATTCCGCATTGAATGGTATCATTCGGAAGAAAACAATGATCAATCATCAAGGTGGTTTAAGAAAATGTGACCACAGACAGGTTTGTTTTACCTGCGTTAGCAACGTAATATGGACTCCAAAAAATCGTACATACGTTTTTTTCTGTTTTCTCAAAATGTAGAGTATCTACTTGGCCCAAACTTCAGCAAGT